GGAGCAGGGCAGCAGCTGCTTCGGAGACGACCACAATAATGATGATGATTGCAGGAGAAACCCTGCAAGAAAAGGGCAGAAACTTTTTTCAACTGAGACAAATTTAATGACTCTCTTAAAGATGCACCAGGATGGTTGAAATCATCTTACGTAACAACGTCAAAGACAAATGACACCTCACCTTATTCCATGCACATTTGTTCAAAATACAATCTTTTGAAATATATTAAATTAAAACAAAAGTTTCAATGAATGAATATTTGCAGTTACTTAATAGTTTCTAATGACTGATAGCAGGCTTAAAGAAGTTAAAGAAGAGATACATCATGTCTACTGAAATTTTGGAGCTGCTATAAATGCAGTGACAACATGAAAACAGTGTTCCAGTAGTCTCTCTCTGGTAGTGATGGAGGTGCAGAGATTTATCAACAGAATCTGCAGCTGTATTCATGGTACAGATATTGGTTCAGCTCATTGTTTGCTCACACCGCTCTCCCTTTCAGTGGCGGGTGAGCTGCTTGTATATTCATTTCCTTTACACCAAACCATTTTAAAATCTATATGCAATTTTTTTGTGTTTACTCTGAGAGATGTGTGTGTGCAAGTTAAACAAACCTCTCTTATGGGTCTTTCAGCTATATATAAAGAATGTGTGGTTCTGTTGAGTATGGCCAACTAAAAAAACTCACAATTTCTGGCAAACAGAGAGTTAATCTAACACTGCCTCAACTCCTTGAATCTAAGTTCAAACTTTCCCATTAAAACATCATTTATTGTGGATCTCTCCTTTTAGTTATGATCTATATTTATCCACAGACAAGTTTCTAGCCACTGTTGACCACAGACTGACTGCCTCCATGACCCGTCACACTGATGCAGGAATTAATACATGAGGAGTCCCGACCAGGTACTGAGTTCTTAAAAGAGGCAGCCTCCTGGCTTTATTCTCCAACAGATTTCACATTTCTAACCTCAAGTTTGGTTAAAAAAATAACTCCAACTCTTACAGGTCAAATCAACCCAGTGACTCATTCACCATTTCTATCCTTCTTTCATTTTCAACAACTATAACCCAAATACCCACCTGCCGGTTCTACAATCTAGTGATGTCTCTCTTTTAAGTCTCCTTTAACTGCATCAGTCTTTTTAGACTCCCAAATGCGTCACCGAGAGACTGAAATGATACCAGACTTAAAAAGAAGCTCTCTCACTACCAAACGACGATTTCTCTTTTCAAGGTTGTTCTTGTTCACAGGTTGTCATACACCGAGCCTTTTTCCAGTTTTATGTAATAAAGACAGAATCCAGGGTGATGCCAGGGGAGGGCCTACACTTTTATATTCTGAAGAGTGCCACTGACCAAGCTACACTTTCAAGGAAAACTTGACAAAAAGGAAAAAGATGTTAAATCCCGTCATAGTATCTTCAGAGAACAGCTATCAGTTACTCTGAGTTACTGATGGGAGTGTGTGCTAAATTCAGGTGTTTTGTATGAACTCTTATGAGATCTGCTTTGAAACCAAATACAAACTGGTGATTTCTGAAACACGTCTGAATTATTAGGTCTTTGGTTTAACATTTCAATGCTCCTTTTTTTGGAGGGTTCCACATTTCCCATATTTGCTAAATCATTCTTTCTTATATGCGTTTTGTGACCAAACTGTTCACCTCATTAGACTTTCATGACAGCCTGCACAAGCCCATCAGCCAAATGGCTCAATGTTTTCATTTTACACAACATTGTTTCCTGCCTCCTGCTAGAGTGTGGGCTTTGCATGCTGGCTGTATGTAGGGAGTTACAAAACTCAAACTGAGACGCCTTTTTGCGTCTTAGTCTGAGGACAGACAATTCTGCACTCATGATTTGTGAGCTCCCTCTGCTTGTTAAACACACACTTGCTGCTCTATATGGATATAAATATAAATGATAACATGACAGGTATAATTGAGTCATTTTCAAGTGGGGCTGTATGTCATTCATAAGTCTATTACCCACAATGACTTGAGGTTAGTTCTGCCTCTTTGACAAGACTTCATTTTAGAGAGACTGTGACCCAAGCACTCAACAAAAAGCATTTCCTATTGCAATTCATTTATTTTTGCACTATTTGTGGATGCAATACAGAGGCAGTCCTCTGCTTGTAGTGTTTTGATCACCTATTCAGGTCTGATGGGCTTCAAAGAGACAAAAATACAACCAGATCACAAAATGAGTAATTCTGAAAGCACCAATGACATGCTGTCTACTGTGGACACCAGAGGACACATTTATGAACTGGAGTTCTCAGAAGAAGAATAAAACTCAATGGACCAGAGGAGAAAGGCAGAAAAACTTCTGTGCTGGCTGAAGAGCAGGAGAGATTCCACGTTACTTGCTGGTACTGGAGGTGTGTTTAAAATGAAGCTCATGTCTTCAAACTGAGAATTTGCTGCTAGTATTACGACCGATTAACACCACCTCAGGACCTTTGGCAATCAAAATATACACAAACCGCTGCAGTCTACAATGCTTACCAGTTAGAGTCCACTGATGTACTAAATGCTGTTTTTTTAGGGCCTTAATCCAGTGCAACCAGAGAAACAAATTCTACATTTTTCACATGAAATTCTTTACAATTTACAAGTCATATTTGACTGTCAAAAGAGTCAGAATGATGAGCTTTCTTTGAAAAGAAGCTATTAAAGCCTAGAGGACAAGGTAAGCAAAGACTGCTTTGTCCACAGGGGGCGCCAAAAGTAACACAAACTGATAGTTCCTCACAGAAGCTTTAAAAGAATAACCAGAAAAAGCCAAACAAATGTAAGCCTTAGACTTCTTATTATTTCTTTATCGCATTACGACGCAATCCATGGTCCACATGATATATTTACCTAATAAAAATCTTGAGTGGTGAATGAGGAGGAAGACTGAGCTGAAATAAAACCCACAGCTTTTCCTGTATCTACTGGATAATACTGGGCAAGTGTCTTAAATTCATGTCAACCTGCGATGAAAAAATACTCAGTTCCCAACATAAAAGGGACTTGATCACATACACTGATTAGCTGGTTTGATGAGGTTTCTTAAGATTAACTCAATTTTATGGCAAACCTAGCCCCAATATGCAGTAGTTTATAGCTTAGCCTGTTTCAGTTACTCTGCCAGTCTCTCAACAAAGGGGCTGAGCTAATCAAGATTCCCTGTGGGGGATACACTTGCTGTGGGAAAGTCTCTCATACAACCCTGCTTGTAAGATTAAAAAAAGAAAAAAAAAAAAAAGAAAAAAAAAATGAAGTACTCCTTTTAGTTGCGTAAAATGAAAATGTACTTAAGTTAAGTTAAAAAGCTGTTGTAAAGCTAAATTTGTGTACATACCTGAAATGTATTGAGATGTATTACACACTAAACAGGAATCTATTGATTAACAAAGCAAATTCTATGGCGGGTAAGGTAATCAGGAATATATTGATTGTTTTCCAGTAAAATACAAACTTAGATAAACATAAATATCTGAATTTTCTTCAGGTGGACGGTTAAGATCCATTTAATGTGCTTCAAACAAAAAATCTCTGACAAGCATCGCCTGATCAGTGAGTATCATATCATCATTGTACCACTGGAGAGGGAAAAAAGAGTGTGTGTGTTTGTGTTGTATGGTTGTGTTGTGTGTGTGTGTTTAAAGGACTTGCCAGAGCAAAAAGGGCAACCCCCTCGCTCTCTTCAGGGGTCTGCGTGGGTGGATGGTGCTCGGCAGATGGATTGCTGCTCGCCACTGGTCACTTCATAAACCTGAAACAGACACAGAATGAATAAATGATTGAACCACTGACATCATTGGGAAAAAAAATCAGGAAATCTATTTTTTTAATTTATTTATTTTAATTTTTTTTCATGGACCAGGACACAACATTTTTGTTGTTGTTGTTGGTTGAGTGTTGATATTGCACTGAATTTCTAATTTCATACGTTTATGTGGACAATTTAGTGCCTTTTGTGTGTGTCTCTGCCTGTCTTTGTCTGCATATTTATAAGTAAGAAATGAAAATCAGTTCTTGTGTATTTAAGATGTATGCCATTATTCCAGAGTGGAAATACAGCCAAAGCGTTCGTTGATTTTTTATGATAAGGATTTAAAATGTTTTCATATTATAAACGGGTTTGCACCAGTGTAACATTAATTTATACTTTTTATAACAGTGTTTATGTCAGAGAAGTTAATTTAAGTGTTAATGATAATGGTGGTTTTCCAACACCACAAAGTAATTTATTTTTTTAATGATTTATATCTAACTAGCTTACAGCAAATGCTGGAGCATGAATCTTCAAACGCCTGTCAGCCTGCTCCAGTTTTTATTTCAGAGCCTTGCTGAAGAAGAAAGATGTCATCATAGAAAGTATTTAAAGCCAGAAGACACAAACTTGGCATAAGCAGACGTTCAAAATTTAGGCCTGCAGGCATTTCGTGGTATGTACATTACAGTACAGAAACATATTAAAACACACCAGGCAAGAAGAAGGGAGAAAAGTATCCTAAATCATCCTTATCAGATATTATTTATATCCCATAACCGTCTCTTATTATAAATCAATAGACAAGCAGGTTTAGCTCCATGGCATTTAGCTACCATGCTCCAGCCTATAAATATTATTACTATCCAAATAATGTAACTAACCTTTCAAAGTAATACTATATCCCTTAAAAACAACTACAACTTGAAGTTTGCTAATGGGACAAACACCTTTTTAATTTCTTAATTAAAAGCTTGAGGGTGTTTTTAATGGGAAAGGAAAGTAACGCCACTATAAGCACAGTTTATAGGCATAAAAATGTATAACTATACCGCCACCTTGTGATATTAAGCTGGTCATTTATTACTACAATTCCCTCCCGTGATGCATTGCGCGTATGTCGTCATGCCTCCACACGTCCAATGGCGTCCTTTGTTTGGCCGTTGCTCCCCCACCATTGGTTGAGCGAAATTTAAAAGTACAGTTTGAAATGTTTCTGGTCTGTAGCTTCAGTGCGCCACAGAAGCCGTCCGTGGAAAAAGACTGCTGTATCTGAAGGGACGGGGGACCGACAAAAGTCCGATAAATAAAACAATTCAACGCTGTAAACGGATTATATTTTGAAGGGGGAAAGAAGGTCAACTGAACACCGACACTCGGTAAGATGCTCATATTTAACGCTAATTCTACAGTTAGGGTCGCTCGTCCAACACGCTAATGCGTTTTTGTCACGTCTTTGAATGTCATGAAACATCTAGATATTTCTCCAGCACTTTTATATTTCATGTCGTTAGAAAAAACTCTTGTGTGCCCTAAAATGTGAATGTGTACCGGTACTTCCAGACGACTGAAGCAGAGGAGAACTTCTCTCTGCAAACATGGCTTCACACAACCCGAGTGGGTCCAAACGGGATGAAAAGGGGAGAAACATCCAGGTCGTTGTCAGATGCAGGTATGGAGCGAAATCTAACTTTATTTTTGATTATTTTTATTATGGATTATTATTTATGATTGTCTTTGCAGTTGCTGGTGTCAAACGTTTAGTCATTACCGAGCCAGTTTCTGTCACAACTTGTCAAGGTCCAAAATTTGTCAAAACGTGGCAGTCAAAAATGAAAATATCTGAATATATTTACATGTCTCTGTGTCAATTTTGTGCAGTGAAATGAGTTCAACCCAGGCTTAAAGTCTCTGCCTTTAATTACTTAGAAATGTCAATAAAGTTTGTTTGGCATGGTATGAATCAAAGTGCTGGTGTATCTGTATAAAAAGATTAGTTGTTATTTTGGGGCATATTTTTACTTACACATGTAGTAAATCAGATAAACATCTGATTTGAAAAACTGTAAGTGGTTTGAAACAAAAGTCATTACTGTTGTAAGTTTTATTTGAAATCATGGTAGGAGGAGTTTCTTTGGCGATTACTTCCCTTTCATTGACCAACTCTTAAAATCTTTGGTTAACACTGTGACATTGTCAATAAGGATGTGATCTTTGGAGGAAGGACACTTTAGCACTGCTATCTGTCTGTTATCTTGGTCAATTTTGGCACGTGCGTTTGGTAATTTTGTAGAATCCAAACAATACATTCAAAGCACTGACACAGGCAGTCAATCTTTACTATTACTGAGACTAAAGTGTGGAAATAAAACAAGAGATTCAAGAAGCTTTGGCTAGATTTGTCCATTCTTCAATGCAGACCTTAAGGATTAAGACAAATCCCTGTGGTGGTTGTCTGTTGGATTTAAATCAAATGTTAAGTCTGACATAAACTAGGTCTGTACCGTGTGTTGTGTCAGTCTGACTCCTTTGCAGTTTTCTGCCTCCCTTCTCGGTTTCTTAATTATAATGCACAGCCTCTTGAAGTTTTGTCCTGTATGTCATAGCCATGCTCCTCAGTTGTCTGTAGTTTCATTGCACAACATCTATTTAGTCTGTTAAGTGTTGATTTTGGTGGTTGACCAAATACAGCTTTTCAGTGGCTCATGCTGTTACCAGGTCAGACAATGGTGAATATTCGAATCGAATCAAGTTTTATTTATATAGCGTCATTTCACAACAGTCGTCATCCCAAGATGCTTTCCAAAGAAAAAGAGCAGGTCTAGACCACACTTATTGTTTGATGAATTATCAAGACCCAACCTAAAATGGGATTTGGCCCATCTCATCTAACATGAGTATTTTCTGAATATTCACTGTCTGGGAGACAACTTGATGGTAACAAGCTGAAAGGGGGATATGCCACCTACCATAGCAGAAAGGGGGATATTGGGTGACACTATAGATTGCTAAAGATGGCTTATATCACTCAATACTGAAGACCACATACAATTCAATATTTAAACTCTAATCAATGACTGCATTTGATGCTGTTAGTGGACGATAGGAAAGATTTGTCATCATTCAGAGCAGGTAACAGTGATATCCACCTTGGTATTGCTGACGCCAGTATGACGCTGAATATGTCAAAATGCCATTAATTGGTCTATCTGTAGTTTATCTGCACTGTTTAACACCTGGTCTGTGAGAAATGTCATTTAGCTGTATGTTAATATCGTTCATGACCCTAGAGATTCTGGCCCAGAAATCTTGTCCATACACACGATTTTTTTAAAAGAGAGAAATGGTCTTATTAATATCTCACTGTGAGGTTCTCTCTCCAAAAAAACAGAATTGATAATTCGTTTGTGAATTTATTTCAACTCCACACTTTTTCCATATCCCAAAGACAACTCAATTTGATCATAAGAAATTCAAACAATGGTATTTCTATTCATGCAGATAATATCGGTACGGAAAGTCCATTTAGTCTGTCTCTGTTGCTCGTTCAGGCCTTTCAACACAATGGAGCGCAAGTCATCCTACGGGGTCATCGACTGCGATCAAAACAGGAGGGAGGTGCTAGTGAGAACAGGAGGAGTGAACGACAAAGCATCTCGAAAGACCTACACGTTTGACATGGTGAGAGGGTGCACTGCAGACCTGAATAAACTGATCAATATCTGACCCCTTATGTATTATTCTACATCTCTACAGAGAGGCTCTTCACTGATTATGTCAGAGAAGTCTAGATAGTATAAATGAAGCACATTCCTGTATATGTGATTGTTTGAAAGTACTTGCATTTATTTGGATTAATGATTCTTCTGGATAAGAGCATCACAACTACAGTCAAAACATGGTTGCTTTAGTGTTTAGTGCCTTTGAGTTCAGGTAGAGAGATTAGTCAAATGCACAGATTTTTCAGCCAAATCAACCAGCATCAGGGTGATATTTGGCTTTAAAAAGCACTAATCAACAGTTAAACTATATCATAACATTTAAATGATCAAACAACTAATTGATTAACTGAGTGAGAACAACAACACATTTTTTTTTGGTCAAAGCCTGTGAAAGCAGAGCAAAAATTCACACACAGCTTCTTCCCTTTGAAACTGAATTTGGCAGGTCATAATTAGGCCAGAAACACATTTCAATTCTATAACAGCTTTGTGAGAGTTTGATCAGATTTAGATTAGAACAGGAATCCTGAGTAGGTTATTCCCAGCAGTAACAAACCTGGTTGCATATCTTTGATTGCAATTTGCTCTGTCACGTCTTCTCTATTGTTAAAGTTCAGCATTCTTTCTTCAGGTTTTTGGTCCAGCAGCTAAGCAGATTGAGGTGTACAGGAGTGTTGTGTGCCCGATTCTGGATGAGGTCATAATGGGATACAACTGTACCGTTTTTGCGTGAGTACTATCAAGACATCAGACAATCATTATTGGCTGAAGTGTTAGTTTCTGTACTTTACTTTTCTGAAATAATGTGTCGTTTAAACCGGTCCTTTCCCCGCTTTCTCGCTCAGCTACGGCCAGACTGGAACAGGAAAGACATTCACCATGGAAGGAGAGAGGAGTCCAAATGAGCAGTTCACCTGGGAGGAGGTGAATTCATGTTTGTTCAAAGAAGAAATGGATGGTTTTCACTTTTATCACTACTACCTGCCAACTGCCTCGTGTGTTTCTGAATGTTTCAGGACCCTCTGGCTGGCATCATCCCCAGAACGCTGCACCAGATCTTTGAGAAACTTTCTGAGAACGGCACAGAGTTTTCAGTCAAAGTGTCTCTGCTGGAGATCTACAACGAGGAGCTGTTTGATCTGCTCAGCCCCACTGAGGACGTCAATGAGCGGCTGCAGCTCTTTGATGACCCACGCAACAAGGTAACTCTCAGATAGACCGGGCTGTCCTCCAGATAATTATCTGCTGTTATGAATACAGGGTTCCTCTTCTGAAAGCACCTTTAGCTCTGGTTGCTTAGTGAAGTATTTAACTCATTTATTTAAGGGGGTCTTGTGTAATATTTTTATGTAACACTTTTTGGAAAAGATCCTGCAACACTCCTAATTTGACTTTTCAAAGTTAAATAAGCCCTAAAATAGACTGAAGTTGGTGTTTTTAGAGGAGGATAACTTGATCAGGTTTAATATTGAACATACTTGTAGCATTTTCTTTATATCTCCCCTGAAAAGATCCTGTTGAACAAAAGGGATCAGACAGAAAGCAGGATGAGATCTCTTTGTTTGTCAGAAAACACTGTCTATACATGTTCAGGACCAGATCAGCAAAGACAAAAGGGGAGACTTGTGTCCAGATGGGACACCAGAATAAAACACAGATTGAGTTCCTTATGGAAGCTTTAAGAAACAGCTGTGACTTGCCAACTTGCTTGACTGTATATGTTCATCTCCTTGAACCTGAGTGGTCTCACTGACGGTTGTGGTTTACAGCGAGGCGTGGTGGTGAAGGGTCTGGAGGAGGTGACCGTTCACAACAAAGATGAAGTTTATCAGATCCTGGAGAGAGGATCAGCCAAGAGGAGGACAGCTTCCACACTGATGAACGCCTACTCCAGGTAACACAGGCAGTAGACTGTACTTGACTGAGCTGATTTTGTTCACTGAACTATTTAAAACCCTTTGTCCTGTTTCTGTGTGCAGTCGTTCCCACTCTGTGTTCTCAGTCACCATCCACATGAAGGAGATCACTCTGGATGGAGAGGAGCTGGTGAAGATTGGCAAACTTAATCTGGTAATTATTCCAATATCATATCCTGCATTACCTCATTCGTATCTCTCCTACAGTCTTTTGAAGCATTGAGAAATATATTTACCGAATATTGAAATCAGTTTCTATTAGATGGTGAAAAGTCTTATTCTTTTAAATATTTTGGTCGTGAGTTAAACATGTCAAGTTTCTTCCTTTTATTAAGGTGGATCTGGCTGGCAGCGAGAACATCGGGCGCTCAGGTGCGGTGGACAAACGTGCACGTGAGGCAGGAAACATCAATCAGTCTCTGCTGACACTGGGCAGAGTGATCACTGCACTGGTGGAGAAGAGGCCTCATGTCCCCTACAGGTAGAGTCATGAGCAAAATCAAGTTTATCCCACTCTGCTTTCACATCATAACACGACCAATCTGTTGTCTTTCATAGTATGTATGTATTAAGAAGAAAATCAAATCTATGAATGTAGGGCCAACTGTAGCGGACCTAGCTTTGCATAAAGACCAGAAACAAAGAAAGGACAGTAAAACTGGTTTCATTGAATAAGAAAAACGACTCCACCAGCAGTATTTAAGCCCAATCAGGACTTCTGTATTGAGAGGAAATAGAAAGCTCCATACATATCCTCTCTTTATTTGAACACTTCTATTGGTTAACTTTCTAAAATTCAAAGATCTGTGATCTGCTTTAAAATCAAAATACAACAATTACCAGTGACTGTACAGCTTTCCACTTAGCACTGTATTTAGGGGCTTTTTGACCACAGGAACTTTCCAGAAGAACTAGGAACCTTATAGGTTGTTGTCCCTTGGAGGTTGTACTCAGGGGGGCCTCAAAGGGACACCAGTGTGAAAAACAAGGCTTTTGATTTTTACCTGAAAATCATGTAAAGCTAATAAGTAAGAATTAAAAAAGATGCTCAGAGCCTGAAAAATGCTTTGTACCCCCCACCCCTCTAGTAATCAATACAGCCTATCTGCTGCCAGTGGGGTTTGTCAGAGTATTTTGTGGAGAGGTTCAACAGAGACTGGAAATTTACTACTAGCACATCTTTTTATTCTAAATGTCATCCCTGGATGTCATTGGCGTGATCTGTGTGATTTACCCAAGATTTCAGGCCCCTGGTAAATTTCAATTCTTTATGTGGTTTTTATCTATTCAGTATAGGCCATAAATGTCCAATACAAGCAGGTCAGATGGGGATGCTTTCTTTATGTAACCAAATAATACGATTTTAATTAAATAATTGAGTTGTGTATCTGTAAATAAATAAACAAAAAACAGATTTTTTTAAAAATCCTCATCCCTTTTAATTCACAACATTTTCAACAGTGTCTAGGATAAACTCAACCCCCTCAGTTTTTAAACGCTGCTATCCTGTCACTTCATTTCATGCGACACGTAGATTGAAGTAATTACAATCGGACAATATCAGCCGATGGATCATTGTGTGTCGCCTATCTGTTTCTGGCTGAACAACTTTTGTCCTCCTTCCTCCTCAGGGAGTCAAAGCTGACCCGAATCCTGCAGGACTCACTGGGAGGACGAACTAAAACCTCCATCATTGCCACTGTGTCGCCGTCCTCCAGCAACCTGGAGGTACGTACTGCTGTTATTGGGAGATGAACTTTTGAATTTGTTCATGCAACCTCTAAAAACTTACAAGCGTCTACACCTCCAGAACTTCTCTGCTTCAGCTCGTACTCATGCCTGTGATGTTGGTCTTTCGTTTCTGTGCAGGAGACTCTGAGCACACTGGAGTACGCCAGCAGAGCCAAGAACATCATGAACAAGCCTGAGGTCAACCAGAAACTTACCAAGAGGACTCTCATCAAGGTAGAGGAGACATATGTTTTAAATTTGAATGATTAAGGGCTAGGGAATTTGATTCTGCATGTTGGGAAATCTCCTGAAACTAAATTGTTAGGTCCTGAAAGAAAATTAAAACCCATGTCCCCTTGTCCATCAGGAATACACAGAGGAGATTGAACGTCTGAAACGTGACCTGGCTGCTTCTCGAGACAAGAACGGGATTTACCTCTCTACAGAGAACTACGAGTAGGTTGCATGAAAGGCTGTGGATATGTCAAGATTTTTATATCTGTATTACCGCATTATGCAAAAAGGAAAAAAAAACTTAAACGAGTTAAAAGTTAAAACTTTCAGGGTTTTGTAAAATGTTAGTGAGGCTGCAACCTTAGAATATATAATCTCTGCTTTATAAATAATTTCGTAACAATCAATTGTTCTTCGTTGTTGTTATTGATTTTGTTATTTCTCTTTGTGTTCCAGGAGTATGATGAGTCAGATCACAGCTCATGAGGAGCACTCAACAGAGTATATAGACAAGATCGCTGCCATGGAGGAGGAAATTAAGAAGGTACATTAGCATCACTTTCACCACCAGAGTGCTCCAACGTGGCGTTTCGATTTATATGGGGGAGTCTTAATTTGAAAGCGTATGATATGACTCATACACCAGAGCTGCGATCTGACCACAAGAGTGTTACTTGGGGCATGTTGAAGGTTAGTGGAAACATTAACCAAGAGAGGAACTAAGAAAAAAGCACCAAATCACATTTAACTTCCCCATCTACACATGATGATGTAAATCAGGTTTTCACCCACCCTTTTCTCTAAATATTTTAACAGTGCACAGAAAACGTATTTAAAAAGACAGAGATAAACACCTTTCCATCCACTTCTTTTGTTTGCTCATAAAATGATTGCAGTGATCCAAACAGATGGTAGAGCTGGTTCTTCAGCTGAAACAGCTGCAGAATCAAAGAGTCATCTGTTGTGTTTGTCTGTTCACACCTACTCTCTCTCTCTCTCTCACTCAGGTGACTGAGCTGTTTACAGACAGTAAGACCAGACTGGAACAGTGTACTGCAGACTTGGAAGAGAAGCAGCAGAGGTAGGTAATTATTGTAGAACATTAAAATACATAGAGGATTCCTGTAAGTGTGTTATCATTATCTCATTGTTACCTGGTACCTAAAGGCCCTCATCATCCATCTATCCTAGTATGTTTTATTTTACGGTACTTAAAGTGGAAAATATACGGTTATTTTAGGGTATGCGATTAACAAAGTGCCTTTGAGGTACGTTGCTTAGTTCTGAAATAAAGTTGAATTTACAGAGGAAGTTAAGCAAAGTACTTGATTGAAAAACTTTCACCACTCTTCAATTTTAGGTTGGAGGAGACGAGCCAGGACCTGCAGCAGACTAAAGAGAAGCTGAGTCAGGAGGAGTTTATCTGCTCAGAGCTCAGCTCGGTGCAGGAGGTGCTCTATGACACTGCGGGGCAGGTACAGATTTGCATTACTGATGTGGCAATAGTACACTTCTGTTTTCCCTTTCTTTTAATCTCTAAAGCTTTTTAAATTCTCATGTAATCAGCCAAGAATGAACAGCGGCATTGTTTACCAACCACAGCGTAAGAGGACTGAACTTCTGTTACTCAGGACCCTTTACATGGTAGAAACTAAAAACGATGTTAAAACATTTAGGAATCAAATGTGTGGAATAATCTTAAATGGACAGATTTCAAAACCAAAATCTTAATTAAAAAACATGTTTTTTTCTGTACATAGTTTAATCCCAAAAGTATTTACGTGGAAGCTTTTGACACTGTGCATACTTATATAAATATATGTATCCCAGTTTTAAGTCTTGTCCTGGTTTTGATCATATGAATGTGGAATAGAGTACGGTGTTTACATGCACCTAACCTGGTTTTTCCTATCTCTGCATACATGATAAATACTTGTATCTTGGTTTCTAATTATTTTGTTTTATGTGAGTAGGTGCTCGAGGTTTTCTAAGTTTTACAGCACAAACAATGAAATCTAAAAAAAAATAGACTTCTTACTTTGTATATTTGTAGTTGCTTGGATAAAAGATTGCTTTTTCTTTTAGAATTTTAAAATAGACTCTTATATAAATACACACATTGAACACTTCACAACAAACCATTGTAGAATTGTGAATGATGACAGCAAACTCGGGCTCTTATTGTTTGTTGATTAGGAGAGATTAGGAGTGTATCATAAGTAAATGCATCTCAGAAGTTTCGAACAAGTGAAACAATCTCTTTATATAGATGCTGTTTTTTCAGTGTACTCACTTCCTTCTCTTTTCTTGTCAAGAGTGTCTAATTTTTCTTTCACTAAGTATTTGTATTGCACTCCTTCTCCTGTCTTTTACTTCCTGTTTTTCTTCCTCTGTAAAGTCTTTCTCTGAAGTGTACTTCTGATGACTTTAGCCTGAAGCTGTTTTGGAATAAAACAACTCTTCTGTTTTTCCATTATAGTGACAGGAGTTAACCATTTCCGGCTTGTGTTTTTGTGTCTCCTCTTCAGCTGCTGAGCACTGCTGACACCAGCACCAGAGATGTGTCGGGCCTTCATGACAAGCTGGACAGGAAGAAAAAGGTCAAAGCACTTTTCAAACAGCACACAGTAGTTGTCAAGTGAAAAGCAGACTCAAAACGTACATTTGTTTTCTCTGATGAAAAGTAAGCACTAAAACACTGAAAACCTGAGGATTATTTAAAACACTTGACACGGCTACAGATATTCACTTATTTGGTATTTTGCATCTGTAGCCTCAATTTTTCCACATGTCTGAATCAGAACCCATAATCACACTCTCTATTGACTTGCAGGTGGAGCAGCACAACAATGAGATCCAGCAGAGTTTTTCCCAGCGGATAGACGGAGCGTTGAGCAACATGCAGCACTGCATTAAACAGCAGGGAACCAAACACCATGACATGCTGAGCAGCTACTCTCAGGCCCTTGGTAAGTGTAGCAATAAAGAGGTTATCGTTGGATGCAGTGATGAAAGAAATCGGGGCTTTTACTGATGTTGAAATTAAATGCATCACTTTTATGTCTATCTTCATCTTTCTCTTTCCGCTAAACTTGGTGATGTATCATGTTTTAATTTTAACTAGCAGTTCCCACCTCTTTAAGTGTCCCTGCAACACATCTTACAAACTGCTTGTCACTGATCCTTCTCAGAGACGGTATAATCCCCTCACTGCTGACATTCCCTTAAGTATTTAACCATGAAACAAATCAGTTTATCCAGCAGGCGGCTTCTTCTGCCCGATAGAAACCCTCAGCTCTGACTCAGCAGTTAGGTATAGTAGCTTCCAGAGTTGCATGATTGGACACAAAAGGGGAAAACATTAGCCTCTCAGCTGATACAGTTGTACAACCAGTACGCCTATACATCCCTAACTGAAAGATTAATTCACTGTGGGATATTTCAAAGCCTTCTAATGTGTAGTCCTAATTTAATCTGTCGATGCTTCATGGCACAAACAAACTTCATGAAGTGTAGTTTTAAAATAATTTTAAACAGTCAGCACATTTCAAAAAGCATGAGTGTTTTTGCAGTCTGGTCTTTGTAAGTGTTATTTCAAAAAATTTTGTATCCAGAGAGCATTTATTGGAACAGGTTGAGTGTATGTGTTTATTTTTCATGTCTTTTTCTTCTCAAAACAGATCAATTTTGTTCAGTTTTATAAATCAGAGACAAGACATCAAACTTCTACTGTACCTTGACTCTGTATGTGTGTGTGTGTGTGTGTGTGTGTGTGTGTGTGTGTGTTCTCCGCACAGATGGTCTTCTTGTGAGGAATGAGACAGCACTGAAAGGAGCTCTGACCACAGTGGAATCCTTCGTTGGTGGGGTTGGTCAGTTGGTAGCTGAGGGCGTGACTCGCTGTCAGGACAGAGTGCAACAACAGGAGACAATGTGTGTGAAGGATAAGGAGAGCCTTCTGCAGCTGCTGGTGAGAACAGGGATAGAAAGCCATGATGTGTAACCAAGAGGAGTTTAAAGGCTTGTGTATTTGGTTTGAAGCTGCTGTTGAACCAAGAACCTAAGAGTTTAATAACTTACCAAAATAAAAGTTTTTATCAGACTTTCACCAGGGCTGAAAAATCTTTCAAACAGCACTTAGATCCTGGTGACATACGTATATATTGCAGGAGGAGCATCGTCAGGACATGGAGGAGGTCCTGGTGGTTCGGACTCTTATGGGTTTGTCAGCCATCAAAGAGCTCAGTGACACACTCAGAGCCACAGTGGAGACACAGCGAGCGCTAGCTGACAAGGTCAGTCTCTAACTGTGCTCCACCTTCTTGTAGATCAGTGAACCCACACATGACAAGTGACCACCTTTGCCGCATCTCCTTAATGACTTTTTCACTGTCTGTCCCTCTCAGGTGGAGGGGATGAAGGAGGTGGGTGTGTTTTACTCTGGGCTGGTGCAGGAGCTGGCTGGGCTGCGGGAGACCTCGGTACAGGGTCTGAGCACTCTACAGACCCAACATGACAAGCTGGAAGACGAGATCAGACATGCGCAGGAGAGACACCAGACCGTAAGATCATATCTTCCAGCAGCTTCAGTTTAGCTTTTAAATCTTTTAATTTCTCTAATTTTGAGGTTGGATGTGTTTTCAGTCTGAGTTAACAATTTCTTCCCTTCAGCAAACAATACATATGTACACATTTGCATCAACTAATTATAAACCAACCAAAAATCTGTAGGTTAAGACCAGAACTTATTTTGCCCATCCTTTTGGATAACCTTGTGGTAAAGGCTTTTCTGTGCTGTTTATGTCAAGTACAGTATACAGGGTTCCTACACAGTTGGAATTTCAATACTTTTCCATACCCTACTTTTTAGAATTATTTTTGGAAATACCAACTTTTCTATTTTAGAAAACAGTATTTTAGAACTGTGGTCATAGTCTGGAAACATCAATATTTTTTCAGACTTTATTTTTCCTTTTCCATACTTTTAAAGACCAGGAAATTGATCAAACTTATTACCATACTTTTCCATACTTACCCATAACAAAACAAGCTTTAAATGTTTCATACATAATGAAGCAAACAGTCAAAAAGCAAAGCCCATCAGTGACAAGACCAACATATTTTATATTGTAAATTTTAATGCCTGATACTGGTGCGAGGGAATAGGTGTCACCTAAGTACATGAAGAGACAGCCCACATTTGACTGTCAAAAGTTGGTAAGGTGGTGTTTATATCAGAGGATAGGACTTAAATATTTAGATGGTGAGAAAGGAATCGACTGATTTTCCACCAAAATTGACACAAACCACAAGTTCTTTAAACAAACTTATACCAATGACTGCTCAGATCTTGTTGATAGTGGGATTTGTAGTTTAGCTCTATAATACACACCACTGTCTAAATCCTTAAAAGGAGAGGCTTCTTTGGTCACTTTGTGTCATTAACATTAAAACTGGCGTCACTGCTCCGTGCATCAGGGTATGAAGCAGACCATCCAGTGCCTACAGGACCAGCTCAATCTGCTGACCATGGAGGTTCAGAAGGACTACACTGACCTGCGCTCATCCTCCAGAGCTCTGCAGAAACCACTCCAGAGCCTCCAGGAGAACATCAGCAGGTGAGTCAAAGACAGAATAAATACTTGGTAGCAGTTTGGAATTTTAAAAAATGTTATGTTGAACAGTAAACCTCGTATAATCATCCTTTTAAACCTCATTAAAAACTGTCTCATATCATCTCTGTCTTGTGTGTAGCGGCTGCAGTACAGTAGAGCACCGGGCCTCCACCCAGGCAGACCTCCTTTCCTCCACCTCTTCTTCTTTGGCCACCTCTCTGCGTCAGACCACTGACGAGAGCCTGCAGACGCTGGATGAGATGACAGCCTGCTGCTCTCACCTGCACAGCACTGTGTCAGGTATCAATCTCATCTCTGTTTTATGTTTTTTTAAACTTTAGACATTTACAGTTCAGTCAGTGAAAATAAATATTAATTTTTATACTTTTAATTCATACTTTCATTCTGGTATTGCACTGATGGAAATACATGTCAGATATCGTACAATAATGGCTCAGACATCAGCTTGTGAGTTTACAATACAGTGTTGCAGGAATTTATCCACCTGATGATTTAGTGAGAGGGTCATTCTCTCCATATTCTGTATCGTATTCACAATATGTATTTAGTCAGTCACTGCTGGGGGAACTGCCTGCAGCCACTTTTGTTTACAGCTTTCTTGCTGGCCGCCAGTTAAATCTTGTCTTGCATCAATAAACAAGCTACAATCTTTCCCAAATAGATTGCTGGAAAGGAGCAGTCAATTCCAACACCAAAAAGTTTCTTGTGAAAATTATTGTTGATGCAGGTTTGGTGGATCGTGATCTGGAGTGGAGCTCCAGAACCAGGGCGCAGGTAGAGACTACAGCTGAGCAACACCTTTCTCTGATGAGGACGTTATCTGATGAGGCTGAAACCCTGCGTCAGGTAAAAATGGTCATTTAGAATAATGAACATGTTCATTTTGGCTGAAACCAACAGCGTCACCGAGTTATAATTCAGTTGGTTTTAACTTATTCTCTGTTGTTTCCCCTCCACCTCCCAGAGTGCCAACAAGCACTGCACTGAACAGCTCCAGACAGCCAAGCAGCAGCTTTCCTGTCAGCAGGAGGAAGTGAAACAGGCGGTGATGGTCGAGCAGAACCAGGCCTCTCTGAACAGGACTGTCCTGGATCAACAGCAGGCAGAGCTGTGGGACCATGTGGAGACGAGCCAAGAGCTGGTCAACCGCTTCCTGCAGAAAGAGCTGCAGCAGGATGTTCCCACAGGTGTGTGATGATTTAAGAATTGATTGTTTCTGTTTTGGTTTTGATTGAACACACACAAACGCACACTGAAAAACTACAGTTGTTAATTTGGAGATAACTTGTGGGAAGCCACTAATTTTTGTGAGTATCTGTCCATATCATAAACTTATTCTTTTGCCCTCAGGTGCAACTCCTCAGCGTCGGGAGTTTGTGTATCCCAAGCAGCTGGTGAAGTCACGGAACCGCGGCGAGCTCCTGGAGAGCCTGAGGAGGCAGCAGGAGGAGCTGCAGGCAGCTATGGAGGTGGAAGAAGAGGAGGAGGAGGAAGAGGAAGACAAACAGAGCCAAGTTGATCATGTATGTAGCAGTCCCTCATCTCCTTTAAAAGATGGTTTCTACGGGGTTTGTACAAATCTTTTAATGATGGAGCAAAAGTTGGCTAACTGAGAGATTTACTATATTCTGATTCATATTTATTCACACTTTTCATTTGTACTACAAAATCTCTCTCACTGGAAGGGATAACGCACACAGGAAAATGCCCCCCCTTGAATTAGTGCTCCAGCATCATCATTATTTCGCCCCTCTCTGTGCAGGACTCTCTGGAGGACGAGCTGAGCACTTGTAACGAAAGCTTGGCCACAGAGCCATCCTTCATCGATGAGAACCTCGTCTTCAATGAAAGCAAACGCCTCCCCTTCTTCAAGGTAAAAAGCAAAATATGCAAGATAAGTGGTGTTTAAAAAATTATGTTCAGTGTGGCATCATAGACAACATCAAGGGAATGGCAAATACTTTAAGTCCTAAAAAAATGAAAAATACAGTGTCCTAAAAAGTCTTAAAATGTCTCAGTTTTACTTGTGAGAGGTCTTAAATTGAAGATGGGACATGTCCAAGTCATGTTGGAATACTAAATCCACATTGTCCTATACTGAGTTCAGACATAAACGACATACAGCAGCTTTTACAAAGTATGAATAGAAGAGAGAGGGAGAAGAAAATGAGAGCATGCAAGTTCCAGAGTGCAAGTTTTAAGATGAGGATCTATGATTCAAAATAACAAGTTGGCTGGGGAAACAACCTTCATGAAAAAGGGACCTTTTAAATATGGAGTACAAATTTAATAAGATACATTTGTGTTTGTGCTTATGTACAAAATGGTAACAATGCACCCTAAATTGTCTTCAATTTAATTTTCAAGAAGTAAACAGCCTCCCTGGTGTGCCAGTTTGCTCAAAAATTCTATTTAATGTCAAAGTCTGAATGCTAGTTGGCTTTTAAGACCAGAGGAGGCTGGCAAAGACTACTGCAATATAGTAAATAGGACTAATGCTGATATTGGAACATATCACATGGAACATAAAAAGAGAAACATTTTGTACTCAATATAATTTGCCTTTTCTTGTTTCTTTCCACTTCTAGCAAAAGAAGGGTGGCAAGAAGGATACAAAGATCCCCAGCAGGCAGAAAGTACCAGAAAACGAAGCTCCATCAACACCTCAAAAATCCAGACTGCCTCTTCGCTGTCAGAACTGAAACAGATTGAATATTTTTATTTCTCCTTTTTGTTGTCTTTGTCAAATTTTTAATAACTTTGTCTTCTTAATGTCAGGAAACAGTCTTATGAATTGTTTCTTGTTTTAGTACTGTACCTGTCTCAACATTTTCAAGTTACTTGTAAAATTAAAGAGAAACGCATCTGATGGATTTATTTTTAAAAATGTATCTCTGGCTCTTTGAATTTATTTATTTACTTTTTTACCACTCACTTTCTTACCTTATTGACCATTCTTACTGTACTTACTTGTGCCCTATGAAGGTGCCCCCTAACCCTCATAGCTTAGAGCAGTGGTTCTCAACTGGTCTCACTTTGGGACCCACACATCCCCATGGTGCTTAAGTCGTGACCCACTTTTATAAAATTTAAACCAAGCAAATTTATTTTTCTATTAGAAAAAAGCCTTTGAAGGTTCTAATCTTTGACATAAATACACCCATTTTATTGAGTAAAGTGCATTTCAGAGCGCATGAACTGAGGATGATAACTAAAGTTGCATATACAGAAAATAACTAATATCAAATTGCACAAAATAAAAACCAAAAAAATATATATATATTTTTACCGCATTCAGGCCACATTAATACGAAACCGAGGAGGACCATGACATAACGCGTGGCTTTCAAAATATGTTTTTTTTTTTCTTTTAAATAAAAGACATGTCAAACATCAGATGTGCATGAAATGTGTACTTTTTTGACCAGCTGTTCGCGACCCAATTTTGGATCGGGACCCACCAGTTGAGATCCACTGGCTTATGCTATGTTTGTGTTACCTCGGTAGTGAGATGTCAGAGCTGAAAATGACGTCACACCCGAGTTACCAACGTTTCAGTTGCCAAGTCGGAATGAAGCAAAAAAAAAAAAAGGCCTGAAACAAGATGGCTCTATCAACAAAAAATTATTTCTGCGCTTGCTTTATATTCGGACAAGGCAAGCGCTAAAATAACGTGCAGATGTAGCCATCTTGTTTCAGGCCTCCGATTCAGCTTTTCTCCGACTTGGTAACTGTCGCTCGGACTTCTGACTTCCGAGGTAACTCGAACGCAGCAATAGAGTGAGAAGTTCCTGCTCGGTTTCAAGGAAACGCGCACTTACTTTCGTTTTGACTGGTGTTATGAGAAATAATGTTCCCCAATCTAAGTGACTCCCCCGACAAGGTGCCGTGCTGACACAAAATGCCCGCCAAGAGCCATGATAACTTATCATGCTTTCATTCCCTACCCCAAAATCTGGATGCGAATGTTAAGTAACAGATATTCACACTTTTCACAATTGAAACAGCGGTGTTTATATCTCTTTTAGTCGTGTATTTTTCAGAAATGGTTGTCTCGCAGTGCACACTCAACTTATCGAAACGCCAAGATGCCACGACAGAATCACATCACAAGGTGTTCTGCCACTAGTAACAATAATTAAAACAATCAAAAGTTTTTAATTAGAAGTAGTCTCGGGAAATATGAATCTTAAAAGTAGAGAAATGTGCTCCGGTTGTAGTTGCATTTTGTAGTGCGATCGAATTTTTAACCAGGCACTGAGATGAACACCAGCAAGCTGTCGTGGTCCTCCTCGACTGTCTGCCTTTTCAGTTACGCTTCAGTGACGAGGAAGGGTGTTTTCGCCTGGGCGCTGTGTCGCGCGGAATGTCGTGCTTTTGGGTGTTATGAAGGTCGATATTCATACAGCCCTGAGTTGAGTTGCGGAGATGGGGAAACGGAATGTGCTTTGCCTCTTGCTGGTGCCGCTTTTGATAGTGTTCGACCTCTCTTTTGCTGAAGACGTACGAGCGTACTTTATGTTGGGCGGGGATGTTACGTTGAGGCCTAACTTCAAGCGCCTTATCAACAACGTTTTGTGGAAACTCAACGGAGATCTGGTGGCTGAATGGGTGAAGGATGCCGTCCCTTTGGAGTATTACGGTCGGTTTCAAAATCGCACGACCTTGGATTACACCACCGGAGTTTTGGTGATGGGCAAGCTGACTAAAGCTGACGAGGGGACGTTCACAGTGGAAATCAACAGCCAGGTCCACCCTCAGACCTTCCTTAGCGAAGAAATCCTGGGGGTGCCAGTGCCGAAACTGTGGTGCCAGCCCGCATCCTGTGGTCCAGAATTGGAATCGCACTCGCTTTTCTGCTCGGGAGACATCGAAAAAGCCGGACCTGTCACCTTCTACTGGAAGGAGGGAGATGGGGAGTGGAAGGAGGGGACAGACACCATCGACATCACCAAGGCTGGGTCATCACATGTGAAAAAGTACACCTGTAAGATGAAGAACCCAGTCAGCGAGAAGGAAAGTGAGCCCAGAGAAAACGTCTTCTTTAAAGAGGGGACAGATTTGGGTGTGGCGGTGGGTATTCCCGTTACTATTATTGTTGTGATTGCGGCGATTGCGGCGATTGCGGGTAGGCTATGGTGGAAGAAGAAGCAAGGCCGAGTCGATGGCAACGATGTCAATAGAGCCAATGGCATGTCTCTATCTAATGAAGCTTCATCCCCTGATCCTGAAGTGAAACCTCTCAACAGTTCCTAGCTCAAGGGGGGCATGTGGCGCTCTTATCATCCGGAAGCAGCATCAGATCTGCCTGTGATGCGTAAAACTCAGACTGTTGTTGCTCCAAACTCTTGTTGAGAAAAGTGCACCTTTGACTGTTACATCAATACAAGAAATGATTTTATGTCATTGTTCGTCATTGAGTGTAAGCAGAGCTGGCTAATGTGGGTATGAAAACAAATGTGAGTTAAAGATACAAGGATGCATATCTGCATATTCACTCAATTCAACTTCATTTCAGACTTTATATATTACGGAATTGCAGTGTTATCATAAAATACACAAAAAATGTGCATTTGAAAATACTACTTGGCTCTCAAACAATTTCATTAATGCTTTGATCTCTTGATTTTCTGTAACTGGATTACCAATTTCTGTATTTGGCAGAATTGTCAAAGCAAAGACTTAACTATTTCATCTGCTTGATATGAACTTATCTCAAACTGTGTCACATCTTTGGAATCAACCGTGTATGCAAGGAAAAAAATGGGATGAGTTGGCAGAAATGATTTCACCTAGACTGTGAGAAGAACTTTAGCTCTTAAAAAATTTCTTTCCTGATTTTTTTTTTTCATTATTAGATTGCTCTTAATACCTGAATTGATGCCAGCTGTTAATTTATTTTATTTGGCATTGTAAATGTTTGCTCTAAAAATTGTGTTTTTTTGTTTTTTTTTAACATTGTGCCTTATATAATAAATTGTAAGTACTGCTCAGATGATGTTGTATTGTTTGACCTTTAGGCTTACTTTATTCAGCAATTATAACGATCTGAGAACAAAACACCTAGAATAAGAAATGTGTATGATGAAGAAAAGTGAGGAATGTACATAAGTGGGTTTTCAAGTCTGTTGATGGTCAAGAGTACTGCTGGCCTTCCTATCCATTTTCTTCAATATTTTAAAACAATTTTATTCTTTAACCAATCTGTGTTGGTTTTTATTTCAGACCATTTGCATTTATGGATGGAATAAATCCCCTGTTAAAGGGAAAGGTTAAAAAATCCTTTTGAAACCTTCTCAGTTAACCAGGGATTTTCTTTAAAAAAAAAAGGCAACACCACTGTCTTTGTATCATTCTTTTCAAAATGAAGAACATGTCTTTTGTGCAAATTAATATGAATTTATTTAATGTATTCAACAAAAATGCATTAAAAGGTGGGCCCAGTCAATCGAAAATGTGACGACTCATTTGTCAACAAAGTCATTAACTTGATCAACAGTCAGTCCATTAAATCAGTTCAAAATTAAGAAATATAAACTTAATGTTAAAACCTGATTAAAGCAACATGGTCCGCACCACCCTTGATGCAACAGAAAGAGACACATGATCAAAGTCCAGTAAAAGATTAATCCATGAAGATCCACAGATCACTAAAAATATCTGGAGGCTGTGTTCTCCTGCTTCAGCAGCCTGCGCTCCATCTCATCATGTAGGAGCATAGTTTGAATGTTTCTGAAAGACTGAAGGTGAAGAGCCTTTTCTGTCACGGCCCCCATCCCTTTGAACAACCTCTCTGAGGAGATCAGAATGGCAAATCTTTTGAAAACCCTTTGAACGTTTCCAAAACAGAGATGTTTTGTGTTTTTGTCTACCGTAGGCTTTTATACCAATTTCAGGCATTATCACCAACATTTTTTTAAAGTCTTTTGATTTTATTTTTTACTCTTTGCTGGTGGTGTTGTTTTTGTCTGACATTGTTTCCTTTCTGGCTATTGGTCTTTTTAACTTGTGCTATGATTATGTGATGAATGGAATCTTTTAAATTTACTTTAAATCTTTGTCGTTTCTGTCATCAACTATGTCTGAAATCTCTATTTCTTGCAACCCTAATGTTGTCACCAGTTTTGTTTCCACTTTTAAACCTTTGTATTCCTCACATTTTTGTTTAACTAACAAACTGACTGTGGGTTAAACAAGAACACCTTAACTGATGCACCGTCTCCTTCACTGTAAGTCAGTCAGCCAGTGGCACGCAGATGTCCTGTAGTGGTGAGGAGATGAAACACCTCAACATTACATGATGCAGATATGTCATGAGTGTGATAACTTTGTAATCACATATTTGTTTCACCTGTGTGAAAACACAGTTTTCACACTACTGATGCTCTATCATGTATAGAGAATAGACAGACTTGGTGAAAAAGACAACATAAAAAAGTCCTAAACTAAGACAGGCTTTTTACTTGTTTGAGTTGGAATTTATGTTAAAACCAAATGTTTGGGCTGCACTGCAATGAGCTGCTTCTTGCTTTCTCAGTATGTAAGCATTTGTTCATTGGCTCTTTGAATAAAAAAGCAAAAAATAACTTGTCTATTTGATGAGACAGTTTTGTTGGAGCTTTAAAAATTAAAATGAAGTTTTTCCACACTTTTTTTATTGCCTAAAGTATTTCCAATCATGGTAGTTTTTTTTTAAAATACCAAACCAAAGCTAATAACTGTTTAACTGTAAATATATTTAAAGTACCTAACAATGTGGTTAAAAAAAAAAAATAAGTGAATTGGCGGCCAACTCTGCTTCATAATTTAGGCCAATTTGAGAAACTGAGCAACACATTGAAGAGGTCAAGCTGACCAGCCTCCATTGTAGCCAATACACTAACTAATGAGTCACAAAATGGGATATAGCTCTTTTATTCAAACTAACTACTGAGGTTAGTCCATGTGAAAACTGGAACGATAAATTACTGCCATGTATTTACAGACGTGTACATGTATACTAAATGTTACCATAAGTAAGTGTGCCAGTACAGATGTCCAGTAATGATGGCACACTTCTGCATAAAACTGTTTTTGGATCCATCCAGGCCAAATACACATACTGTATTTTTAATATGCTGCAGTGCTGTGTTACTTGCCCTAAAAAACAAGTGTTCACAAGTGAACAAAAAGGCATCTGAACCAAGAAACGACAGATGACATCATAGTTAACAGAGAACTGACCTCCAGATAATAAAAGTCTACACAAGCCCCTGTCTGTCTGCCAGTTTAACAGAACACAAAATCAAGAGAGATCATTTCTTTAGATTAGACATTAATTTCCAAAAAACATTTTTTCACTCTAGAAAGTGAATTTAGTCCGTCATAAGTTTTATTAGAATTGTGATCAGACAAAAAAGATCATTTTAAATTTGTTTTATACATCAGTTGTGGTCTCTATGAGCTACAACATGAGGTCAAAAACCTAGCATAAAAGTCCACCATTTTAGCTTAGAGGACTAATAAAATCATAATAGTAGTTCTGGGATAAGTTGAGCCAGTGACTCAACAGAGAAAGTAAAGTAGTATGATGGGGGGATCAGAGTTTCAGTTCAGATTGTTGAAATGTGTTACTTTTCCTTTTCAAAAATACAGCTGTGAATGTTCTGAATCACTTAAAGGCATACTCATGCTAAAATGACTTTTTACAAAATGGCTTTTTAACAGTTACATGCAATAATAATAAAAATAATTATTGTACCAGTTGAATAATGTATAATAGATAAAAATACACATGAATGTGAAGAAGTCAAGGGTGTAGGTTTGCATAGGGATGGTAGAGACATAACACTAGCAACTTTTCAGGGTGCTCAAATTGTCCCCACCAACTTTTAAGCAACCTTATTTGCATTATATAATGAGTGCAGTTATATAGGTAATTTAGATTTTCTTCCCATATTTTGTAAGGATAGAATCAACCCTACCATTAATAAGTGAATTATTTTCATTATGTTCTGACTTACATTTACCCCTTTTTACTTGTTGAATGTGCCGGTCCATTTTTTTTCCTCAAACGCACGTTTGATTGGCTGATGAACTTGCTAACCTGCGAAGCATATATAATAATTGCCCAAACACTGATGCAATTTAGAGATGAAAATAACGGAGAAGAAGGTGAAAAAGACAAACAATTAAAGCAATGTATTACTCTTGGGGTACATGAAGGACAAAAGCTGTAAATTGAGACAGTAAATTGTCCCGTCCCGTGCAAAAAATGTACAAGCAGGTTATGCTGTTATTTCGTTCCTACCAATGTTGAGACCAAACCTATGACCTATGACCTATAAAGAAGTGACTGTTATTTAGGGAGAGAGAAGGTGAGGGAAGGCTGGGGTGGACTTACCCCGCTCCTATGGTCAACTTCCCCCATACGCGGGGTAAGTTGACCATAGGAAACCACTTTTTTTGACATGCTGTATTACCAAGACAGTTCTGTTTACACTCATTCTGTTGGTTTGCAGGGATGAACAGCATCCTAAAATATATGCAGATACACTAGTTAGAGACAAAACTATGATTGCTTAGATGTAGTGATCCGAAATGGCTCATCTTACCCCACTCTCCCCTATATCTCAGGAGCGACAACAATGACGCAAAGCTGAACCCGGAAGTGAGCGTTGATTACTCGTGCAGCTTTCCCTCCCTCTCTGGTGGCGATGCTAAACCGGAGAGCAGTCTGTCCGCCCCACCTGGGATGGATTTAGACGAAGCTCTACAAGCTGTCGGCGAGTTTGGACCATATCAGAAGCGGGCAGTTGTTATCCTTCTTCTGACACAGGTTTGAAAAAAGCGTCAATGAGTTTTATTTTTGTCTGTACAGAAACCCAGAGGAGCATCCCAGCTGTGCTGTTCTGCTGTCAGCTAAACGAGAGGTGATGTTGACGTGGCTCTGAAGACCTGCTGGAGTCCTTTTAATATCTGACCAAGAAGACACTCAGTTAGACAGAAAGTAACAACTTCCTTTAAAAATTGAGAGATTTGTTGGTCTTGTGGAAAAATTATAACTCAGTATTTAAAGAGGCATTTTCGATCTCAGGAAACTAGTTTCCACACAAAAACAAACCTCATGCTTTCATCGCTTATCCAAGTGGACTTTGACGGCAAACCATATCGATATTTCTTTACGTTTCACCAAAGCAAAACGACAGAAAAGGCAGAATTTTGGCACACGGCACTCCTATAGCTTAATATTTAAGTTGTGACTTCTTAAAGGGATATTCCGGCGTAAAATTATTTTAGGGTCAAACACACCGTAACACCAAGTTGGACACCCCGTCGAGAGATGAATGTTGCCGACCGCTTGCTTCTCTAGTTATACCAACTTTTGTAACGACCGCACGATAGCAGTTCACAGTGGTCTGAGGAGCCATAAACAAACCTCAACCAAAACACCACTCTATAGCCACAAATAATGCTCAGAACAGCACCTAACTTCATCAGCAGTACATATAGAGTCCCAGCCACAGCACTAGCCACCAAACATCTTTTTAGCTTACCTACGGTGTGTTTGACCCTAAATTAATTTTATGCCAGAATATCCCTTTAATGGTTTGTATGCTCTTGTACAAATATAAATTAAGGTATTTAATGTCATTGCTACTTGTGGGCAAATTTTCAAATTGTGAGGTATACTTGTGTTGGAGTAATACCAATACATCTTTGGTACTTAAAGTAGCGAAACGTGGCTTTGTAGAGTGGCAACAGTGGAGGTGACCTCTGGGGTGCTTGGTGGGGTTAAAGACATCTGTTGAAATAAGAAATTTCAGAGGCTGAAATGACAGTTTTTTTTTCTCCATGAGTTAGATAAAGATTATTTTTAATGTCTAAAACATTTGAAGTTACTACCAAGCCGTCAGCAGGTAAGTGCAACAGCTGAAAATGTGTATAATATCTCCTTAAGTAAGCAGAGTGTGGACTTATAAGCATGTCTGTTTGATAAGGATCTAAATACTGCACAGAAAACCATCTTGAACCACCGTGAAGCTTTGTATCCTCCATATCTGTTTTACTATAACAGCACAATAGTTTGTTTTACAGGTTAATGAGGGGTTAACTCAACCCTACCATGCAAATGCCCTTGTCCTGGGGCTTGTGGACACAGGTCTCTGTAACAGTTTGTTTTGTGTCATTTTGTCCACCAAGTCTAAAAAGTATGCTGTTCAGATGAAAGCAATTTTATAATGTAGTCAATCATGTCTAAGCATACAGTAAGGGATATGCAACTGGTTTTCATTGGCCCGAAATGTAGTCTGATGAAACTCTCCCCATACGATTAAAACAAATACATCAGCCAGTTATAATATTATGAAGACCCAGTGCAATTGAACACAACAGCGTTGTCACAAAATCTACTTTCAGGAAGCTAGATTAAATTGATAGTTGCAGCATTGGAAATGGTTATACCATTATCCTTTCTCCAGTAGAGCTTGTCTCACACCTGTGATGATGTGTGCGTGTGCGTGTGTGTGTGTGTTTCAGGTGTACATGGCCTCTCAGTCCATGCTGATCGTCTTGATTGGATCTACCCCACAGTACCACATCGAGCAACAGGACGTGGTCCCCTCCAGCCAGCAGGAGCTCATCCAGCGCATAACTTTTACAGAGGACATTGACTCCATAGTGACCGAGGTGAAGAAGCAATTGTTAGCATGTATGTGACGTGAGCTACTTTTTTAACCGAATGATTCAAAAAATAAAGCCAAAGTTGTTTTCTCTGTCTGTTACCCAGTGGTTTCTCATCAAGCAGCAGGCCTACAAGGTCAGTCTTGCTGGATCGCTGTTCTTTGCTGGGCTTCTGGTCGGAAACGTTGTATTCGGACCGCTCTCAGACAAGATCGGGAGGAGACCTGTGTATTTGACAGGTGAGGAAACCTCAAGCTGTGAGCTGTTGGTTTAGCAATCAGTAAAACAATTTTATGAAGTATTATTTACAACAAGAGTTTTAAGATTAGATGGAAGGTTTCCTTATAAGATATGATATGACATGATTTAATGCGACACACTTTATTGTCTTCTTGGGCAAACTTGTCCCTTGACACAAGTGATGCACATGTTCGACTACATCCATAATTAAAACATGAATTCATCTATGTGAAAGACTGGCTAAGACTCGTATACAGAGAACACATAGTGAGACCATCACAGCAAACCAGCAACACATATTTGCACATCACCCATTCTGCACAAGAGGACATCATAGTAAGAGAAAGATAAAACTACAAAGAAAAGCATAACACACATGGCAGAGAATGGTTAAAGTATTTACCTACAGAGCCCAGCAAATGTGTAATATAAATTTCAAGTACTTTAAAACAGATCATCTACCTCATTGCTATTAAGTGTTTCCCTTCTTTCCTACTGTATATTTATTCAAATTCTCTGCATAAGCATGTGCAGGTTTCCCACCAGCCTCTCTTAGAAGTGATTCAGACCAGCGCAGTCAAGGGAGTAAACATGTTCAGACAGGAACAGAGAGGAGAGGGGGAAGACTGAGCACTGTGTTTTTTATGCTTTCAGTCTGTATCAGATTTTGCTGATACTTAAGGTTTGAATTTAGAGAGATACAGTTGGGTTGATTCATTCCTAACTGTTGAATACACTGCGTGAAAACACATTAGCAGACAGTGGATTTTTTTAAAACAACCTCCTGCAGTTGTGAATGTGTCTACACAATAAAACCAAGCTCAGCAGCTCCTCTCACCTGTCTTAAAGCTGCATGTGTTTATATTTCTGCATACTCTGTCCTTATGTCTCTTCTGTTTAATCTGTGCTTCTTTGTTCGTAGACTTGTATTTGTTTAAATCATACACTGTTTAAGCTGCAGAGTCAAGCTTATCCTCACACTCAAGACAGAGACGAACAAAAAGCATTGACAACACAAAGTAACACATGGAACTGTGTAAAGCTTTATGGCAGCACAAAGAGTTAGACAGACACAGTACCCTGCAATATTTAAAAATGATTTAAAAAAAGGCTAAAGACAGTGAGGCTGAGTTGCTTACAGAAGTGTCAACTCTCTTTAAAATTTCAGGACATACTGTCACAGATGTTTGACTTTGTCTGCATCGATTTGGTGGGTTTAGCAATCCTAGAAGGGCCAATTTTTGCTAATTTACTATTGTATCATCCTGTTTGTCGTTCAGTAAACTCCACTTCCTTAAACTCTCAGACAGGACTCTGCTCCTTTCATTTTTTTTCTTTCCTTTTATCTTCTTCTGTCTCCCTGTCTTCCTCCCAGGTCTGTTTCTGGAGGTGGTCTTCGGTTATGTGACCGCCTTCGCACCCAGCTATGAGGTTTTTGCCCTGTCCCGTCTCCTCGTGGGGCTGATGAATGGCGGCATCGGCCTGGTGTGCTTCGTCCTTATTCAGGAGTATGTTGGGAAGTCGTACTGGGCCATGACAGGTAAGAAAACACAGAATCTTGACTGTATCACTGAATATGAATATCTTTTTTTTGACTGCTGTGAAGTTGATACTGGAAAGAAGTGGCAGAGATGCTCTTTGGTTGTTTAAGTACTCAAAATTAAGTTTTGTTCTTGCCTAATAGGACGAAACTTTGCTGTCTTGTTGGATTAAGTTATCTGTTTCTCTTCAGGGACGTTTGCCAGCATGGCTTTTGCTGTCGGCATCGCCTTGTTCGGAGCTCTGGGATACTTCATCCAGCCATGGAGGAGCCTGGCCACAGCAGCCAACTCATTTGGTGTCCTGTTCTTCATGTTGTCTGTGTGAGTGCAAATCTCAGCGACAAGAGCCACTTCCTGTTTATGGATTAAATCCTTTGAAAAGAAGACATGCTGTAGGTTATTGGATCCTTTTTTTTAGATTGGCTTCCTAAAACAGTTAAATATTGGATCAGTAAACATGAAGGCTCTCAAACTTTGCAGCAGCAGCTTCTTCTGTGACAGCAGGAGAAGCCCGAGCTCTGTGTAAAGCAATTGTATCTCATGTTGTTCAATATCAGTTTTAAGGAAAACATACTTTGGTTGGTCCTCTAACCACGACTCTGGTCTTTTTTTTCTTTCTCCAGCACTCTTCCAGAGTCTCCTCGTTGGCTGTACTGTCAGGGTCAGACTCAGCAAGCAGAAGAGGTAAATATATATTCATATGAAGGATTGATTTTAAAGTTTCTCAAATCATTGAGGCACACGGTCAGCGCTGAAATATGCAAAATACTTGTGTCAGATTTGTTTGAACTGATTTGCAGATTGGGTACAAATAAATAACCCAGATTTTGCTGTTGAAAGTGTTCAGATTTTTGTTTTGTTATTCAAATAGTGTCATCCACTATTTTTGAAAAGTATTTACTGGAGGGTAACAGTTCTTGTGGATGGTCAGAATGTAACCCTGGACCCCTTTGGCGGTCATCTCAAGACGAATAGGCTTTTAGCAAAGTCAGAGTTTGTGTTTTGTGTCAGCATTACCAGTCCAGCTGCATCAGTTGCCACCATAACAAATGTAACAGTCTGGAATAATGTTGGTGTTTAGTCCCACCTGTTCATAGTGGAGACCAACTGAGATGTCTTCTGTTTGATGACTTTGGCTGTACTGTGGCAAGTTCATCAGTGATAAACAGGATGGTCATGTTTCTTGGGAAAACGTTAAAGGAACAAAATTAAAACTTCTTCCTGAAATATTCACGAGTTGACCCTGGGTTGACTTCAGTGAACCACCAGGGCCACATATTCAGGAACTGTCTAATCCTTCTAGGTCCTGCGCTGCATGGCACAACACAATGGCAACACCGCCCCTAACCTGATGTTACAGCGTGTCGCCACTGCTAAAGCTGGTAACCCTGACAACAAGAACACTGGCATCATGCAGCTGGTGATCCATCCTGTTCTCCGCATGAGGACCGTGGTGCTCATGTATGTCTGGTGAGTTCATCTCCACAGAAACACAAGCATGCTAGAAGCTGCAGCTCAAAGTTTCTGAAGGGGCCTGTCACAGACTTCTGAATACTTCAACTTCAGAGTGTCCGGTACTGTATGACTGTTTCTGTCGCTGCTATCTTTACCAACAACTCTGACAGTACTGAAAATAGATCCACTGCTGAACCGTGTTAGTCTTTGCTGCTGTTAACCACAACTCTCCTTTTCATGCCTCAGCTGCCTCTTTAAATGAACCGTGGCTCAACTGCAGTTCATGTTGGGGAAAGTTTCAACAAAGAGAAATTAGATTTTGTAGTTTCCCAGGGTGGGGTGGCATGTCTTCAGAGCCAAACAGCTCTAATGGTGTTGTTGCAAACGTTCATGCTTAAAATAGCACTCGAGTGAGGTCATGAATGTCTTGACATTTTGCCAGAAAGCACAGACAGATGAGATTTATTGTTCTAGTTCAAGCACTCTGGGTGGGTCTTTTTGGTTTCTACGAAAAAGCCTCCATGCAGTGATCAGGTGACACAGAAACAGCTAGCAGTGAAGTGGAGTGTTTTTAGCCTGTCAATAATCAAAAACTGTTTCCCTGACCCTCCTTCACTCAGACTTTGTCACAGCTCCTTTAGGTGAAAAACAGACTTCACTTGTTAACTTTGAGGCTTGTGAATTGATTGTCAGGAATAAGTGGCATGTCTCCGGTCCGTGCTTTATAGATAACCGTATTAGATCATCTGTTCTTAGATCAGATAGCGCTTTTTAAAACCATAACGTTTCCTTTGCGGACAGGGTTTACATTGAACAGACTCCTCTAGTGGGAAAACACAGCAGGATGTGCACAAATAAATAAAATATCCCAGAACAGCTCGGTAAGCTGCAGATTCATGATCTTAAACTGAAACAAAAATTATTTGTTTTACCTCCAGAAGAAAAAGACAGAAGATGAAACTTTTAAAATCAACTTTAAACCCCAAACTCCCCACGTCCAATCCTCTAACACAGGGGTTCTCAACCTTTTGTGAACTGGCCCCCCCCCAAAGTTGGTCCAATGCAGTTGAGCAGCCGCCCCCCCCCCCAGCAGCAGCAGCAGCAGCAGCGATCAGTATTAAGTGTAATAAACTTCATCATCAGAGTCTCCACTATTTAACAGAGATCTGACATTAAATAAAATCTCTTACCTTCACTCTGGTGTCTAAAACACTCAGCATCATCACTCATCCAGCTCCAACAGTATAATAATCCACTGATATGATTCCCATTTACATCCTGTTTAAATCCCGTTTACAACCTTGCGGTCAGCGTCTCATCCATTCGCGTGAAAAATCAAGTTTTTAGCACTATTTCTGGTCAGCCGGCACAGTCGTTCATTTCCTGGTCTTCTTCCACTGGGACACGGAATGCGTCTCGGTTCCGACACGATGAGTCAGTCACGGCCTGTCTGGACCTGTGGTCTGGACTCAGTACCAGGTCCAGAGAGACACTTGTGCTGCCCGCCTCCTTACCCACACCCGTTCACGAGACCACATCACTAGGGCTGCAACTAACAATTATTTTGATAATCGATTAATCTGCCGACTATTTTAATAACTAATCGATTAATCGGATAAACAGGCTAAATTCATCAATGCAGCTGTAAATAGCAATAGCATAGGGCTTTAGTTTATCATATGAGTTTATCTGCCATGAGGTGTTGAGGTCTCTGCATGTGTAGGTTACTGACTTACTGTAATCATCCGGTCTTTCTCGTCCTAATAAAAACCTGCTCTATTTCGGCGAGTGTCTGTCTTCTTCTGTAGTCAAACCGCAAGATATCAAAATCTACCCGGATACAACACTGCTGCTTTTTGATTGGCTGTTCAGTAGATATACTTTATTTGATTGGCTTGCGCGTGGCACGCAACTTCTGAACTCTCGGAGAAACTCAGCTGATTTCCACCTGTTCCATAGTCAAAGAAGTGCAACTTGGTGGACATCACCGTGTTCAAAATGCGTGAGAAATACAATGTGTGGTGTGTAAGCGTGTGAACGAGTGGGAATGCGTGTGTCATACGCTGAATGCTTGAGACTTGAGAGCCCTGTGCTCGCGCATCATCGATGTACTCCCGTGCCATGCAAAACGGTCTTTGCAAATGTTGCACTGAACGCCTTCCTTTTCAGTCTTGGTGAAGTTTTCCCACACCACTGATGTTTTAGGTCGGGATTTGGGTTGGGTTGTGTCCATGTTTTTCTCAGCCGCTGTCTCGGCCATGGCTGTTTCTTTTCTGTGCGTCCTGCTGATGTTTACATGCCGGTGTCCATGGACATATATAAAGACCCGACGAATCGATTACAGAATTAGTTGGCAACGAATTTTTTCGTCACGACGAATCGACTTAATCGATTCGTTGTTGCAGCCTTACACATCACCCCCATCCTCCTCCGTCTACACTGGCTCCCCATCAAGCAACGCATCATGTTCAAGATCCTCCTTCTCACCCACAAAGCCCTTCATCATCAAGCCCCTTCTTATCTCACCGACCTACTCCAGCCTCATGTACCCCCGTAACCTCCGTTCCTCCTCTGCCCATCTTCTCACCCCACTGTCACGACCCAAGCACCGAACTTGGGGGGATCGGGCATTCTCCACAGCTGCCCCTACCCTTTGGAACTCGCTACCTCCCTCCATCAGACACTGCCCTGACCCCACTACTTTTAAATCCCTTTTAAAAACTCACTTATTTAAAATTGCTTTTAATATTTAACTGTTTCGTCCATCTTACTGTTTTTATGTCTTTGTCTTATTATCTTGAATTTTACGTACCATGTAAAGCGTCTTTGAGTGTTTTTAAAAGCGCTGTACAAATAAAATGAATTATTATTATTATTATTACTTGGTCGTTTAAGTGGGTGGGGCAAAATAGTAGTAAACTTTTATTGGCACTTGCCATGCCGTGCGGCAGCTTCTGGATGAGGTAGGCTGTATATTGGTCAATTTCCAACCACTGCTACATCTCCTTTGTACTAATAGCCGGTAAGGGAGGGTGTCCGCGCCCTTGAGAACCACTGCTCTGTAATACTCACCTGCCTGGCTTCTTTAAATATATTGTGTGTGTGTGTGTGTGTGTGTTTTGCAGGTATGCATGCAGTCTCGTGTATTACGGTCTAACTCTGGGAGCCAGTGATACGTCTGGTAGCCGGTACATGAATGTAGCTATGTACGGCCTGGTGGAGCTGCCTGCTTACCCCCTCTGTATATACTTCATCAACAAACACTGGTGAGACACACACACACACACAAACACACTGAACCAGGACAGACACCACACTTGGTCACACTGTTCACCACTTTTTATGCTCTCTGCAGGCGGCCTGAAGCCACATCACTCGTCCTAAGGTGTCACTTATTCTTTGTAGACGTGAAGAGAAATGCTATTTTTTGATCATGGTTTGGAAACAATGTGCTGCGCAGATGCTTGAAGGCATCGTGCTGCTGGCACATGTGAAGTGCTTTGTTTTCACCTAAATAAAAGCATGAGGGTTCTGACAACAAGAACTGATGTGTGGCCACTCTCACCTATCTACTGTTTGAATGTGACTTAGGATGGGTGCAGGGTTTTAAATTCAATCACTTGTTCGTTTGGCTGGTGGGTGGATGATTTTTGATGATTCAGATAAAGTCAAAAAGACAGAGGTGTAGTATCTGCACACACATTAGAGTTGCTCTTTATCTTGTTGTTGAGATTTAAAAACAAAAACAGTTAAGTTGGTGTAATCTTTAATTATCTCTGCTCCTTTGTTTGACACACATTTGTTTATGTGATGCTCCCCAGGGCTGGAAGGAGGAAAAGCATGGCCAGTTTCTTGTGTCTGGCTGGCTCTGCATGCTTCTGCACCATGCTCTTCCCTGAGAACGCAGGTGAGACGCTTGCGCTAACTTGATCACACTTTTGTAGCTGTACTTAAATGTGTGTCGACAACAAAGCGCCCCATTGTCTCAAACTAGGTTTTGTGTAACCTTCATGTTTCCTGAATGCAAAACCACAGTGTGAGCTCACTGCCATCAAACCTTTCATGACTGTGAGAAACAGCAACTGGTACAAATCTACCCGAAAGCTCTGGGTGTTTGACTGCAGCTTGTTCTCAGAAGTGATCACCTTTCTTCTTTAACCTGATTGAAATAACTCATGGCCACAGAGTTCCTTAGGCAGAAGCTCATAAGGCTGTCTTATGTTTTTCATCCTGTCCTGTCCATACTGTTATCACACTCAGCTGGCAGCAGACACTGAGCCACTGCTGCAATAATGGCATCACACACAAATAGTTAATCGTTAATCTATCACTGCACTTTGACTCAGAAAATAGATAACCCTGTTCAGGCAGGAAAATGTTGAACCAGTGTATATGCAAACAAATCACACCATTAAAGTTGAGTTTTGTGTCTTGTGGGATGATGGAAAGTTAAACAGTTGAGAAAAAAAAAGTGTCTGTTGTATTTGTATTTGTGTTTGTCAGGGCTGAGCGTGACGTTGTTGGCTCTGTTGGGTAAACTGATGGTCAGTGCCGCTTTCAACATCGCCTATGTCTACACCTCTGAGCTCTACCCAACAGTTATCAGGTGAGGAAGGAAATCCCCCCAAAAAACTCAGCATGTAGAAGTGTGTTGAGAGAGTTTAACTCTTGAGAATCTGTGTGTGATTTCTCATGTTCTTGTTTCTAAGTTGACTGTTTTGATACATTTTTTTGTTGTTTTTTTTTTTTTTAGAAATGCAGGTTTGGGAGTTTGCTCTATGTCGTGCAGAGTAGGAGGAATTCTTGCACCATTTGTCCCCTCTATGGTAAGAGTCTTTAAATGTGCAGTTCAACAAGAGCTCACAGCTTCTCTAAGTTTATTTTAGTTTCAACTTATGTGAAGTTTGAGGGTCGTTTCAGAGACAAATCCAGGACAGAGGTGACAGTTTTGTTTGCTCTCGAATAGATAAATACTTTAATGTGAGACTTAAAGGTCATTCATCATAGCTGAGCAGAGACTGAGCTCACAGAACGATTGGTGCTGTCTCACATTTCTCACAGACTCCCTGTAAATGTGCAGTTGTTGTTAAAATGCAGTTTTTGGTATGACATTTTTAAAAAACAAATAAAATGCAACTGGACAAAATAAAGAAAAAAGCAAAACTAGGGAGGTAAGTGTTGTACACAGTTAATATAGCACATAGTCACAGTAAAAAGCCCCACTCACACTGAGGTTTCTGTGTCTGTGGAGATGGTTTCAAAGAAGAAATCAGAGCAGATTAAAGTGTTTCAAAAAGATCCACACATTATCACATACAGGTTGCAGCAATTAATCATATTGAAAAAACCATGGCCATTTGGCTCTGAGGAACCGGGTAAGTATGCGGATAAGAACTTTTTATCACAGCAGAGAGATAGTAAGAGCTGCTTTTCCTACAGCTGTGTATACGCTCCCTAATCCTCCTGTTAGTCAGGACTGTAGGAACCTTTTTCACATGAACCCCCGACATTTTGTGGATGATCTCAAGACATTCAGGCCCTGATATGAAAAAGAAAATATTAAATTCAGTTACAGCAGGTGTGTAACAGTTTTTACTTTTTGAATGATTCTTTCGTTTGAGTTTTGGATGTTTATATTCATCCAGTTATGTGTCTCTCTCTTCTGCTTCAGCTCTGGTAACATGTTATTATCACTCCCTATCACTTCCTTAAAGGGAGTTTCCTCTGACTTTCTGCCACATTCTTTCATGAGCTCACTCAGTATCCCACCCTAAAGTAACGCTGAGGCAATATTTGAGTCAGTGCGTTGAACTCTGTTTTATGTATTCACTCAGCTTACTGGGGTTATTTTTGAATGGTTTAAGGAACTTTGGTGCTGGTGCAAAAGCAGTCACAGATTATAGTTCACTTTCATTTTAGCTCACTCACATTACAAGAGTATCTCATGTCATCGCAAAGTTTGAAAGCTGTTGCAGGGGTTTAAAAAAAGTGCAAGAATAAGAGTCATAAGAAGAGCTAGTTTATATGAGCTAATGTAGAGGTTCATGTCTTCATGTCTAAAACAACATTTGGTTTGTGTGTGTGTTGCAGAAAGCTCTACACACCTCCATGCCGTTTACTGTCTTCTGCCTGAGCGGTCTGTCAGCAGGCTGCCTGGGCCTCCTGCTGCCTGAAACCCTGGACAAACCTGCAGCAGAGACACTGGAGGAGCTGAACAAACCCACATACAGCCGCGTGCTGGAGACCAAGGTGATAAACACTGTACATCCGTCAATCACTCAAGCTTGAATGTGCTAAAACCACAGTGACGATCTTTATTTAAAATCATGTCTGACTTCTCCTTTTTGTCTGTAGGCTCTTCTGTGTGAGGATGACTGATGCAGATCGAACTGCGAGTGAAGCCAGCTCGTATACATCTCATTCCTACTTGAACCACTGCCTCAAAATGGTGAACTGTACCTTTAATCATGCAGCAGGTCTAATCACCATAGATTTCATGTCAGTTACTGTGACATTTCCAAGTGGGCGAGGGCTTTGACGGGGACAAACACTCTCAGAGTAGAGTGTGCCTAATTCATCTTTTCCTCCTTTGTGTAATTTTTACAGAGAGGAAAAAAAGCAGGCGATCTATGCCTTTATTTAAATTTACTTTAAGGTGCTCGTGCCTTATTTGGAGGTAGGGAGAGGAGACAGAGAGCACAGAAACAACAGGACAGGTTTATGTCTTACATTCCAGAGAGGTTCTTTAATCTGAAGATTTCACTTCCAGCAGGCCGAAGTGCCAAACTCCACGGCGTCAAAGGGGGTGTTAGGACAGCACGGGAGTGTTTACACCGCACATTTACCTCCATGTGTCCAAAAGCAATCAGGCATCAGAGACAATATGTGTATGAAGCTGCTTTCAGAAGTCAACCAAACTCTTAAAAACAAGTCATAAAATTATCCTCCATGGCTCAACATTCATAACAGTTTTTCTTCATTTTTTGTTTTGTAAGATGCCAAATATTTTACAAATGTTTCCTCCTCTACCAAACAACCTGACCTGATGATTAAAACCAGTCACAACAGTAACAAAGCAGTTGACTGTAAAGCTCGTGGTTTCCTGATGTGTCAGGAGCTGTGCACTGATCTGCCTATGTTTATATGCTGACTCCAATTCTTCACATGTTTTGGTGATATGAAAAATAACAGTGTTATGACTTTTAACAATATCAAAGTAGTTGCCTGAAGATGTTTTAATGTCAAGCCAACAGTCGGGCTGTATTTTCCAGATAAAAGATGACTGTGACAGTAGTTTGTGTGAAGGTGTCCTGGCTTTGATTTGTTTGTGTTACACTGTAAAAGGTCAAGCTGCAGGTTTAAATGAGCAACATGAAAACTAAAAGAAAGATGGTGTCATGAAATTAATGTGCTGAATCCGTCATGTTGGCTATAAGGAGTTAAAGCTGCACTTTCAGCACAATTCCACCAGTTTCCTCTTTTTTAGTTTGATTAATAAACAGTGTCAAAACTGAAAGAGCAGAGTTCACTCCTGCTTTATGGTTCATTTACTGCAAATCGAAACTGATCAAAAGAGGCTTTTTTTGTCATGGGATCTTACAGGCAGAGGCAGAGGTACAAACTAATGAAGACGTTCATGTCAAGCTGTTTACAAAATTGTGCAAATATGTCAATTTGAACATTTCTAGAGACAGTTTGTTTACGAAATAGAACTTTGGGCACAGCTTTTCCAGATTGATGCTTTGTACTTTAAGAATTTCTGAAACCAGGAGTCATACTATTTATTACCTTTGTGAAACATACATTTATCAAGACTTCTTACACCTCCAAACTTCAACAAGCCTCTTAAAGAGGTTCAAACACTGGACCTAGCCAGTAAAAAACACTAATGCTCGAAACTCTACAAATGACTTAAAAATAAATGTAGTAAAATAGTACCAAAAAAATGAAAGCTAAATATTAGACTGCACCTTTAAACCTTTAAACTTCATGAGTTATGATCCTACAGCACTACAGCCAGAAGCTTACCCTCCTGTGAAGACTTTTTTTGTAGTTTCTGGGATATATTGAGTAAATTTGACAGCTGTGAGATTTATTCTGAACTATCATTAATCAAGGTCTTTCTTCTTCTTTATTCCTACTAATTCTAGATACAGAAGGATTTAACACCAAATATGTCAGAAAAATACATCAATGTACAACTGAACATGCACCACAGAGCTAAAGGTGCCGGTGAGCGTCCAAAATGTATCCATTTATATTCTGTATAGAAATCACTCTGCCTCCTGTGCCTTTCACTATCACGTGAAGATGTTTCACATTTATTGGTAAATGTTCTTGAGATGTCATTTTAAATATGAAAATAGTTGAAAAAATGCTGCCTGTGATGTTTCAAATGCCTTCATTTTGTACTGTCTACAATCATACAACAACAACAATGAAGGCAGGAAATATACACTGTATGGACTTTGATGAAAGATTCTTAAAATGTTGAATGGTCTATTTATGTGAAGAGCAGTAAACTGTTCAAAACGTCATGAAACCGGCTCCAAGATGTCTTATTTTCACAATGACACTCAGTTAGATGCAAAGTGCACTGTTGTTTAGTTACAAATGAATCCTCCAGATTATACCACAACATTTGTTCATTTCAATTTTTGTAAAAAGTAAATATTAACTTTAACAATTAAAACAAAAATGCACTGTCCTCAAGACATTGGAAAGAACCACTGGACTCGCCCGCCATGATGGACTGAGATTAGTTTACTCTGACCAAACACTCATTTCATGTATGAGAGGACACTTTCTTCACCTGCTGTGGCAAGAATGTAGATATTCCTCAGGATAATATTGAGAATATCGCAAGGGGTCATTTTGTCCCTTTTTGAGTAAAAGTAGTTATCATTTTACGAGTGAAAAAAGGAAGACATATCACAGCACTTCATCCCAAATGAGTGATCAAAGTTTTTCTCTCTTTCTGTAAGTGAAATCTCACCTTGCTTGAACTCTCAACATGTAAAACCTGAGAAATGTCAAGATACCTTGTTTAGGATCACATTCGGATACTGAGCTGTCTTTGCAGTAATGACAGTGGGACCATTTATTTATGGAGGATGATAGCCTCTGCCCTCACAGGCTTTAATGTTCAATTTCAAGCACTCTAATACTTGCACGACCACATCAATAGATTAAATATATATTTTTTATGGGTTAAGTTCATACAGAAGCAAAATGAAAAGCACCTCCCCTGAAATGAGCCTCTCAAGAGAAAAAAAAATATGTGAGGTGCAGTGAAACTTGAGCAGCTTGTGTGACACAAATAAGTCAGCCAGTCTAGCAGCTTTGTGGTGCTTGGAGCGACGCACAAAAGCTCAGCCAAAAGCTGTTTCAGGTTCACAGTCAATAGAATGTAAATAAAATAGATGCCCATAAATATCTGTCTGGTTATAGCCAAAAGACTCAAAGCTCCCTCTGCAGACTGACTGCGGTATAGGCTATAAAATCTCTTACCTTCATGTTAACTGAGGGTTCACAGGCCAAATCAGAGAATCACAGTATGAGCCTTTTTTTACGTACAGAGCCCCTGCACAGTTCTGTACAGCTCCACAACGGCAAAAGGAACATGAACGTGAAACTGTTTTTTTTCCATAGTCAGGAGTTTACAGTGTTGACATGCCAGCATTAGCAAGTTGGCACATAAGCACAATTTTAACCCTATTTGCAGTATCTGTTGGGGTGACAGGTTTCTGGTATTGGCAGTGTGGAAATGTTCAGGTGTCTGTTTTGTAGTTTCAAGTGTCTGTGGGCTTTGAGTGATTGAAGACAAACTGTGAGAGGTAAAGGCACAGAACTCCCTTCTTGTTGGATAGAGAAAAATAAATGTTTTGTCTGCTAAGTGGACCCATAGTTTAGACCAGGGGCATACTCAGGCCCTATGTCCTCATGTGAATATCACCTTGTTTTAATTCTTTTACTTTAAAGGTGTGAAGTGGTTTCACAGCGGAGAAATGAAAACCCAGTGCACCACAAACTGCAGGAAGAGCCTCACAGGAGGGGGTGAACCTGTGATGACTTTAGAGAACCAAAGCTAAGATATCGTTTTGCAAAAAGGAAGCCCTGAGCAATATAAGTGTTATTTCAGTCCTTTTTAGTTGATGTGCTGACACGCAGACAGTTTGGTTTCCAGATGATGGTGCTACTTTTGAAGGCCGAGAGCTTTTTCTGTAACTTAAGATTGAACAACTCACTTTGAGGTTGGTAGTGAGCTCAAGTTGAGGCCTGATTTCCTTGATTGAATCACCAACAGTATTTGTAAACTCAGCTGAGATCTGATGGCTGATTGGGTGGTGGATGCTGCCCGGGTGGTTTACTATGACAGGTTTAGTGACAGAGGTGGAGATATTATCTTGTTTTCATCTTCCTTTTTCTCAGTCACATTTCCTACACCTTCTTCCTCCTTGCCCTGTTTCTTGAACTGCCCTGCCTCTGTAACAGAGTTGGATATAGTGTTTTTGTTGAATTTCAGCAAAATTCTTCAGACTGTGGTTTTAATGTGACTTTGTTGCCACCTGGTGGGTTGAGAAGCACAACCACAACTGTCAGGGCTCCTAGCTGGCCACTGTACATGCCTCAGAAAAGGATTTGTCTCCTGAGCTGCAGATTTTTAAGAGCCTGCAGTTGCCTGTGCAGTATTAAGACTGTATTGGTGACTTTCACCCTAGGAATAGATGCATGCCAGAGTAAGAGCAACTTCTGCGTGGTTGTGAAGTCCCTACCGCACCATACACACGAAGGTTATCAACACACATCCAGGATGGTCCAGTAGAAAACACTACCAATTACACCTCCTCCTTTTACTGTACTTTCTTGACTTGCCTCTGTCTCTGCACTGGATTTAAATCCAGAACCATTTCACTCACAGGCAGCAGTCTAACCACCTCACCACAGGTCTACCTGGCTGTGCACTCCTAAGTCTTTTCAGCAAACAATTATAATTTTTTTTTTATTATTTTTTAAGTTGACTACAGGCTACATTTCAAAGAAAGTATTTCATTTGTTTGACAACAGGAAGTATCTGTTCTGGGAGGATTTGAACCCAGGACTATAACAACTCAAGAATTAGAAGCATTCAAAACTTACATTCAAACATGCTTCTGTTGTGCATAGCTGAATTCTTGAACTCTTATTGCTACCGTAGACAAAGAGCTGGAACCACTCTTTGTCACTAAGATTACATACAAATCTGGTATCTAAATCACTGTTTATTTTTTACTTTGGTTAATTCCCTTTATTTGGTTGTTCCTTCTCTGCCTTGCAGGATTGTTGGGTTGGTGACCCAGATGGAACTTCAAACTGCTCAGACCAGTATGAAAAGCTGTCTGACATGTTTGGACTGCATGTGGTTTACACCTTTCACAGTATGCGGGATGTGCTGGTGTTGTTTGAATGAATATGAGGTACAAATAGGCTGTCAAGGACTCGAGTAAAGCTCTGAAGGAAAAAATTCAAGCAGGATGCCAGGTGAGTCTACTTTCATCGATAGGTCAAAAGTCTGTTTACCCACAGTTATCCTGGCATCAGTTGGGTGATGCTGTAGCTATTTACCATAACTTAACCAGGAAAAAAAGCAAAGAAAGTTACAGAAAGTAACTGGAATCTTAAAGTACAACTCCAATTTCAACTCGGGTTTTCGTCTAAAAGTATTGAGCTCTAGACAAGCTGTTTTATTATACTACTGATTGTTGTTTTTGTCTTCAGTTTATCTGTAGTTACAATGTAAGTTTTATCCCCCGTACTTGAGCCCATTTTGAGCCACTGTTAAACTGGAATGAGAAAACCCGATCTCTAAGGCATGTGGACCGTCTTCTTTGAAACGCTCAGCGATATACAGATCTATCTGATTGCGCATGCGCCCCGCATCAACGTAGAAGAGGCTTCTGGGTACAGGAAGTCCAAAATGGCGATGGACGGTATGATGTCCACGTCTTCGGGTCTGTCTTACCACAATGCTGGGGACTTTTACCCTAGAAAGTTCGGCCCGAAGCCGGACGTGGTGCCATCTGGGGTGACCGAGAGGAAAGTGGGTCCGCTGGATAAACCGGACATGGTATCGGTGGACGTCATCAACGTCAGTGATTCAGGTTTGTTATGCTAATGAGGCTAACAGCTGATCCAGAGGGGGACTGTGGACATCAGAGGAGCTTTGAGAGGAAATTCAGCTGCTATCTTCAATAAACTACACAGCAGATACTCACATTAGCTGTTAAAATAGTAACTTTTTATTGTCTGTGTTTCTCATATGAACTAAGACTGAGATCATAATGTAAATTGATCTATCCGTTGTTTCATGGTTATTACAGCCCAAATTTGGGGGTTTTGCTGCTAATTTATCAGGATATGAACAAGGAAACAACAGTTACAACAACTAGATAGACATGTCTGCTAAAGTGTGAGTCTGCATTAAATATCTGTACTAACCTTATTGCTAAGAGATAAAAAATACACAGTATTTTTCATACATCTTTGGTGTTTCTATTACATTATAGTTCCCTGGATCATAAAACATGATAACTGAGACTAGGGCTGGGTGATATAGAAAAAAGTTCATCACGATTTATATTTTTTTACATCAGTTGATATCGATATATATCACAATATAGAAAATGAAATTTAACAGTGCTTTTTGGTAGCATGTCTTTTACAATACAATAAGCTTCTGCATCTGTGAGATCTTTGTGTCTATTCGACATTTTGTTGGAAGGCGTTACACTAGAGAAAGTGGACTGAATGGTCAGCTGTTTGTTGTGCATACTCTGCCGCGTGGCACTGCTTCTGGTGGTGAAAACATTTTGAGGTACACCCCGACTTTGCAAGAACATGGACTCAACATAATTTGCAGCGCACAACATTACTCTGCTTCATGTCTGACCTCAAAAAAACAAAATACCTCCACACCACTGACGTTTTCGTGCCAGTGTTGTCGACGATGTCATCATCTGTTGAGCCTTCATCTGCATTTCTTCCGGGGGTAGCACTCAACAGTGCTGTCGGCTTCACATGTTAAAGTGCTATGGTTGTGTGGCAGTAGCCTGCTACTATGAAGTTGTTTGGTTCTAATTCAGCACATGATTGGTTCAGTGCGAAGCAGACTCGGAGCAACTCCCCTTTTCATTGGCTATTTGTATAGTCTACAAAAACATGTCAGAATGCCGACTACCGAAAAGCATATTGACCGTGTTTTATATTGATATTGGGGAAAATTAATTTTTGATATTTATCGTTATTATTTTATCGCCCAGCCCTAATTGAGACTGAATGATAATGGTCCATCTGCTGTGTTACCTTGTTGTGTCCTATGTCCTACCCCTTCCTCACTAACTTAATAGCAGAGCATGGGTGCTGCCCCTCTCCTCAAGCAGCTCTGACTTTCATTTCAGCTTGGATTAATGTGAAAACATTTTTTAAAGAACAACGAGGTTGTGCCTTCTGCTAAGATTCATGCTAGGAGAGGAGAAGGAGTCTGAAAAGCACAGGGACAAAATGAGCACAAAGAGAGAGAGACACTGTTGCAATCACGAGCACTAACTAGTTTTCAATCACAGGGCCAAAAAGTGAGAGAAAAAGTTATGAATTATAAAAAAAAATTGCATTCCAGAGTCTTGACATTACACAGAATTTTATATCAAAGCTCAAAAAGAATTAATAATTTGTGAGAGCTGCAGCCTATAATAAAATGTAGGCAGTAAAAGAGCTCAAATCCTTCAATTTTCCATGACACAGTTTAAAAATACTTAACTTCAAGTGAAATTTTGTATTTTATTTGACAGTATCATCAAAATTGGGAAGTGAAAAAGCATGATCCCTCTCAGATGTAGTATTCAACAAAATCAAATCATCCAGCTGGAAACATATGCTTTTGTAAACAAAAGAGAAGGATGAACTGTTTTCTTCCTTCTTGTTTTGTTTTTTTCAAAGAATTAAGAGTTTTTTTATTTTTACAGAGGTTATAAGTTTTGTAAATGTGTGTAATGCAGATAATAAATCATGGGTAATTAATTTTAATCCTGTCTATCCAACTAATCACAGTTATGATTTGTTTTATAATCAAGCATCCCTCATGGTATATCTATACAAGAGAGTTGGCAGGGTAACCCCCCAAAATGTTGAATTCCACAAATGCAAACTGGTAAGGTCCTGTTGCATTTCTATATGTTATCATAAGAGACAGACCAAATAATTTAGGCCAGCTGAATGAGCAGATTCATGTCATTTGCCTTGGGTAAATTTTGCACTCATGAACCTGATTAAAAAAAAAAAAAAAACCTTACAAACACTGTGAGCCGCTTCGTCAGTGTGTCAGCTTTCACACTGCCTGTAAATAAAAACAGAATTTTCTTATTCTCAATAGCAGCATGTCAAATCTAAAACAAATATGTGTTTAATACAAATCCTGTTGTATTGTATGAAATAATGCAGTTTAGTGTTGCTCCTGTCCTGACATAAATATCAACCATGGTCTGAGATCTACATCATAACCCAGTGTTATTGTCTATTTCATGAATTTATTAAAACCCACCGAAAACATGTTACTGGCTAATAGGGCCATGTATACACTGATGTGTACGGAGTAATGGGAGAAACTATTGTGTAAATGCATTAATTTATCAAAGCAACAAGGTGACATCAGTGTGATTTATCACATACAGTAGTATTCTCATCATGCAGGCCAGCTAAAGTGCAAATGCTACAGAACACTGAGCATTTCAAAGAAATATGATGTATTAATGATAACTGAAATATGACACTGAAAAATGCACGTGCACTTTATGGCCATGGGCACTCAAAGTGACAGTGCTTTTGAGTTATAGGTTTTCTGGTTAACTCGCCTGTGTGTGCATTCAGTGTCATTTTACTGGCTTTACTGAAAGGTTGGAAAGGAGATTTTTTACATTGATGGTACCCTGTTGTTTTCCCACAGATGTCCACTTGCACAGAAAGAAGCATGAAAATGACACATACGTCTTGGTGAGTATCTCATGGGTTTTACTAGTTTTATGGCTTCTTGTATTTATTTTATTTTATTTTTTTGCAGTTTTAACTCTCACCTGAATACAGACTTCTTTTAATATACTTTAATCTTAAGCAGTGAGGGAGAAAAAATACAAAAAAAAGAACAAAGCTGCAAAATGTAGCTTTGATATGATAGCTTTACTGAGACTAAACCTCTAGATTGTCTAATATAAGGTATATGGTGTCTTTATTCTAGAGAGAATAATTCTGATCTACACATTTGTTATTACCATCTCAAAATTTGCATTTCTTTAACAGTTTGGCAGAGATTCTCTCTTGAATTGTTTAAGTTATTACACTGATTCACCACTTGATGTCAGTGTAGATCACACAGTTATTTGTACTCTGCATCTCTGTTTGGGCTCCCGATCAAGCTGACCTGGTGTCATCCCTGGCAATGACACAGGCCTGAATAGAGCTGGCAACTTTGCCTCTTCCTTTATTCAAGTGGTTTTAATTTTCCTTTGTTGCTTTGCTAATAACTATGAATGATGTCTTTTAATTTACAGGGAACCATTCATCCATTCAGGAAGACGCACAGATCCATCTTTGGAAAACTTTCGCAGGAATTCAGACTGGTCTCCTCAGACAGACGAGTAAGTGTTTAAAAGATCAGTATGTGTCTTTTTTTGTTTATTTTTTTACTTTTGGTATTATTGGTGACAAAATCCACCTGGTCTATATAACAAAACTCATCTCTTTAACTCTCACTGAGCAGTTATCATCCAGAGCAAACCTTACTGTATAATCCCGTTCTGCTTTAAGCTGTTTGGATTCTGTTTCTCCTGCACAGCCAAACCCAAACACCTCCAGTAATCCTGTTTGTCTAGCAGGTCACCGTGTTCTAGTGAAAGCCTCAAATTAAAACAGCATCAGTCAAAAGCTGCACCCTGGTCCACTTTGGGTGACCTCTTACTGTTGGCGGTTTAAAACTGCAGGCTTTATTTCTGTGTAGCTTTTTAAAGATGCCCGCCCAGGCTGTTTGAAGTTACTCCTGCAGCAGTTCTCCTAGCTTCAAAGTGTCATGAAGGTCATTTAGACCTGATGCTTGGTAAATCATACAAAGCTCTCCACTGACTAGAAAACTGATGAACTACACCTTACCAATTTAAGAGATTAAAACACAATTACTCCACTGTTTCCCTTGCTTTGATTAAATAAGTCAAATTCTGAATCGAAAGTTTCGGATCCAACTCTCCAAATCTGACCAAACTTCTTTACTTTCTTTTGGTCAGTTGTCATTAAACATGCGGTGAAACTAATCTGGTAGAAGTCATGTTTTGAAAGCATTTAAATAAATGAATGTGCACATATATCGTAGACCTATGATGTGGGCGAATAAATGGTGAAAAAGGAAGATAAGTAGGTATATTTGGTGGGAAATGAATATTTTTTGGTTAGGTCTCAGTCCCTAAAAAGCTTGGTCGTGCCCCAGGCTCAAAAGTGACTTGGTTTTGGAAGTCTTGCCACATAAAAATGCTTCATATGCAAAAAAAAAAGATAAATTATTTTATTATTTTTATTTATTTATTTATTTAATTTATGAGGCTTTAATGTAAATTTGCCTCTTGAGCCATGCTGTGGGGCCCGGTTGTCTCCCAACACCCAGATCAAGCTGATCACATGTAAATAGCACAGCTTTGATGCACAAGTCCTTTAGTGAGAATGAGCATGTTTAGCATGCTCGTTTTACACTTGGTGGGTGATCTGCATAGATCTCCTTCTGCCCTTACGCGGTACTGCTGGTTTAAATGCCAGCGAAGGAACTTCTCTTGCTGCAGGCTGTGATCCGCCTGATGAGCATGAATAAAATATTCCACCTCAACAACAACACTGAGCTCGCTGCTGTAAAAACAGGAAACAACAACAGAGTCTGTCCCAGTTTTCTCACTTGAAAATCATGTTTAGTTCAAATAATTGGGTGAGTTTTTCTGCAAATTCATTTTAAAAAGTATGAGCGCACTGTGGTCACAACGAAGCAAGGACAGATAAAGAGAAGTGAAAATGAATGTTTACGGATTTCTAACATGCATCTGTGTATTTGTGTGTGTGTGTGTGTGTGTGTGTGAGGGTTATTGTACCATAATCCACTTTGACCTAACACTGGCAGGGGGTCTTGCTTCCCCAAAGAGCCTTGAATTGGATTACATGGTGTCGTACTCAGTTTAGGGGCCAAACATAGTTCAGACGGGTGAAAGTTGAGAAGTTCTTCCTCAGTGTCTCATTCCTCTTGTCTTATGTCTCCTGTTGCTGTTGGTGTTGGGGAATAAAACCTGGTCGATTTCGGGTACAGTTCAATTTTTTTTTTTACCAGGTCAACTGTTGGAGGATTTTGCGCTGTAATCTCTCGGCCTGTAATCTCACCCTTTCATGTCATTGAGGGTTCCACATCTAAGGAAAACTAAAAAAGCAGACAGGAGACTTTACAGTGATTAGTCAGAGGTGTGAAATACACCCTTTGATGAGAAAGAGTGTGTGACTTATTATCCATATTTGTGTAATTTTTCACACCTTTCTCAACCGTCACATACTTTTACCATGCCTGCATGTGTGGTCCTTTGTAATAGTGGCTGGCACACACTGTGGGAACTGGAACACACTTATGCCTTTTTAAGCGCGCTGAACCATTAACACGTCTGCTATAAGAAAACTAATGAGATTGTTTCATTATTACCCTGTTAAGGATCCCACTCTGGTAGCTTGAGTTTTTGACCTTTTTCTTTGGAAGCATTCTCTTTGAAACGGTGAACAGGAGGCGTGTCTGATACTATCATGTCAGTCAGTACCATGGCAGACAGACGGCCTCTGCAGACACCAGTCACTGTGTTTCAGATTGAAGTGATGAGTTTTTACCATAGACTGTTTATACTATAGACAACTTGGTCCCACCTTCCACCAGTATACAGATTTTAAGACGAAAAGCTCTTGGTAATTCCACATTTTTCTCCACTTCCTGAAACCAACATTGCGCAGTAACATTGTACGCATTCGGCAGGAGAGTCGCTGTGATGACGCTCGGCTCAAACAGCGTATCCCCCGGTTGAGCTACGAAATCTTCGTACGCCCATAGGCTGTATCAAGTGTCAATCACAGAAAACATGAACCCCCTAATAACTTTTAAAAATGGAGCTGTACAGAAAAAAGAGGAACAAACCAGTCTCACAATAACTACATGTCAATATCGCAAGCAGGGGGGAGAAAAATTTCTATTCTTTATATTAATTATATTCTAATTAATTTCTGAAGTTTATCCACAGCTCCACAAGCTTTGCTGGAGGAGGCGGGATTTATGACCTATATTTCAGCCCGTCACCAGAGGGGTGGCTTCACCCAGTGAGGAAGCAGATGGCGTCCATTCTATGTACAGTCTATGGTTTTTACAGTAACAGGGTGTAAATATCATCTGGATTATTATCAGTGTCAACATCAGCTGTGGAAAAACTCTAAAAAAATTAGTCAACCACTTTTACAAAATGCCATTAATCGAACCATTTAATTGGTCCATCTTTAGACTTTTGATGGTTAAACAAACTGTCAATATTTGGTTGCTGCGAGAAAGCCATCTTCCTCCTCCTCTTCCTCCCCCTCCATAACTCTGTAAGAACTCCATTTTGGTAACAATATGATGTGTTCAAGGTTGGGTTGGTAAAATAATTATAAGTCAAATGTCATTATGATATGTCTGAGTGTCAGTCCCAGAAAAAAAATGTAGGATTTAATGATCAGCTTGGTCAGGAGAAATTAGTTTGATTACTCAGCACTGTAAGACAACAACAACTTGTTACACCTCATAACATGAGCTCTAATCAGCTTAAAAATGAATCATTAAATCCATTGGCAAATACTCAAAGTATGAAAGTTTATTTCCTACTTACTGAAAATAAGAGACATGCTTTCCCACCAAATAATCCAGAAATACAGAGTAGGCTTGAGAAAAACTTCAACATCTGTAAAAAGTTAGTGACACAAGAACAAGAACAAACTCCAGACTACCCAGAATCCTACATTCAGGATCATACGGACCTCTCAGAAGTCTACTTTAGTCACTAGATGTTGGTCTAGAGCAGTAGTTGTCAAGTCCAGTCCTTGAGGCCCACTGTCCTGCATGTTTTGGATGTTTCCCTGCTCCAACACACCTGATTCAAATGATCAGCTCGTTATTAAGCCATTACAGAGCTTGATAACGAGCTGATCATTTGAATCAGGTGTGTTGGAGCAGGGAAACCAAAACATGCAGGATAGGGGGGGCTCGAGGACTGGATTGAGAACCACTGGTCTAGAGAAAACTTAATTCACAATGTCTGTAGTTCAGTACTTGCTTATCTTGATTTAGCTCATCAAGCACGTCTGCAGTAACACAGTGTCCTTATAAAGTGGACCAGAGACATCATCAGACCATCAACAGAGGAAAGACATTACTGCAGGACAAGAGACTTGGAGGACCGGGTGTCACCCATGTCCCCAAAAACCAAGTCAGAAATCTCCCTGTACCCTGTTCCAGACCACCACCACCACCGCCACCCTGGTTCATTATATAAGTTGGTTTATTTTAGGAGGAGAACACAGCTACCCTGGAGACACAGAGTCCTGATGGCTCTGATCAGAGCACACAGATGACAGGAGAGGATATTTTTCATGTTTTTACCATAACCAGGAGTAGACTTCCTTCAGGATGAGGCTGCTGCCCACTGCAGGTCTCACTCTGGGCCAAACCTCCCACAGGAACACATTTCTTGCCCATCAGGTTGAAACTGACCTCCCTTTCCTTCTCTCCCTCTCCTCTTCAGAGGCTAAAATGAGTCACGCCTCCGCTCACCACCATGACACACATTTGCTTGGCGCTGGCCTATGATGCTGCAGCATGGCACGGCGCTTTACAGTGATGTAATCAGGCTTGGCATCAGCAGGGGCTCCTTATTTATTACAGTACCTGGTGACTGAGCCTCTGTACGGGCACTGCAGCGCTGTCACTTTGATGTCACATGTAACCTCAATATGTTGGCTCACAGTGACGCCGCCGGACAGCCGGGTGAGGGTGCTGACCGACAGACGGGGGCAGCAGAGCATCAAGGATTAAACAACGTGCACTCTCCTGCAGGCGCTCTGTGTACGTGAAGGGGGGTGGAGAATGTTTTGGGCCAAGTGCTGTCTCTCTGTTTGCTAACAGAGACACGTGCACGCTTGCATACACACATGTGTGCATGCACATACACATACCATGGGTCTCCCATGCCTGTCGCTGGCTAGTGCTGTCACCAGACGCCCCAGTGCTGTCATAACACAGCACACCACAGTAATTGTAGATTTCACAGCACTCTGCGCTCCCCACTACGGCATATGACTCCTACATGAAGTGACAGGCTAGGACGTACACACACACACACAGACACACACACAAAATCACACACACGTGTACATATTCCCTTGTTCGTTTCGTCTGCCCTATCAGACACACACAGACCCACTCTCTCTTTTCTTTTTCTGCTAAGAGGACAGGTTGAAACCTTTTAGTTGTATATTTTTTTCTTATTTGAAAATTCTGCTTAATGTTCATGGGGGAGGAGAACAGTGCTGAACAAAGAAGATCAAAGTTACATGGAACAAATGTTCCCAGTGTCTTCAGTGTGTTCGTTTGCTAATGTTGTTTTTAGAATTGACTTTGTGTGTATGAACTCTAAGGGCTGTCTCCCAAAGGCAAAGACGGGACTGTTGGCATCCAGGGAAGCTATTTGTGACAAGACTGAAGAGAAGTATAGTTTAGTTATGTCCCAGTCTGAGGGAAAAAGGATAGACACAACATGATGTGTGACTTCCATTTATCCCAATCCTAAGAAAGCTAGTAGTACGGGTCAAAAAAGATTGAAGCAGCTGTTTTAAAGGCTTAAGTTGTTATGAAAAAAGTACATTTTAATCTTCTCAAATCGAAAACTAAAGTTTAAACAAATGGCAAACTTCCTACCGACACAAAAGAGTAGAAAACAAGAATAAAGTGAAAGTGGTGTTTATTTATAATGTATTTAAGAAAACTGTCAGTCAAACAATCCATCTATCAAAACTTAAGCAAACTCACAAAAGCAGGCTTATGCCATTCACACAGATCTGAGATTCAAATACACAGTCTAATGCTGGACTGTAGGAGGTGGAAAGAGGAGGGTCAAAAAAGGCTGCAGCAGCTGAGATCTTCACCCATTAACCTTCATTGTCATCAGATCCAGATGTAGCAATTCTGTTTGAAACACCTCCTGATGGGAGGAGACAGAAGCACTTTGTCTATTTAATGTACAGCTAATGGATTAAATGAGCAAACATCTGTGCACAAGCAAGACTTCTCATCTGCTGTTCATTGTTTTCATAATCTAACTGGAAAATGTAGGTGTGAAAATGGAGTCTGAATACAGTAGATGTCATCTATTTAAACCAGGTTTTCATCTGCACTTATGTCATCTCCCGATAGAGGTGATTAAAATTTAAAGGGATATTCTGGCTTAAAATTAAGTTAGGGTCACAAACACCCCGTAACACAGAGTTAGACACCCCTTCGAGAGATGAACGTTGCAGACTGCTTGCTTCTCTAGTCATACCAACTTCAGGAACGACCACACGATAGCAATACACAGCGGTCTATGTCTCCATGAACACACTTCAACTAAAAAGCCACTCTATAGCCACAAATAATGCTCAGAACAGCACCTAACTTCATCAACAGTACATATAGAGTCCCAACCATAGTACTAGCCACCAAACATCTTTTTAGCTCAAACATCTTTTTCAGAGGAGTTTCGCAGCTCAAGGAAGAACATTTATGATCATTACTTCATGGAAATGGAGTCAGACTGAGACACAAAGGCAGAAGAAGTACAGCATCTGCAGTGCAAAATGATTATTATGATGGTTATTACATCAAGGAAATTATCTGCTGCACTCGGTGAACGACTTGCCCAGGCTCCCCTCACATACAAGCGGCTGCTGGAAGAGAGTAGGTGAGTTGTGTTTAGTCTCTTTGCTAAAGAAATCAGTCAAAGTTAAAAAGATGTTTGGTGGCTAGTACTATGGCTGTGACCCTATATGTACTGTTGATGAAGTTAGGTGCTGTCCTGAGCATTATTTGTGGCTATAGAGTGGCGTTTTGGTTGAGGTGTTTGCGTGGAGATGTAGACCACTGTGTGTTGCTATCTGTGGTCGTTACTAAATTGGTATAACTAGAGAAGCAAGCAGTCGGCAACATTCATCTCTCGAGGGGGTGTCTAACTCGGTGTTTGACTCTAACTTAATTTTGCACCGCAATATCCCTTTAAGTCTGTAGACAGCCTTATGTTGTGTTATAGCAGTCAAGTAATATCCTCAGATGTGTTTATAGACATTCATTTACCTTGATTATTTGCACAGGCCCAGCATGTATGCACTGGCCCGCACATGGATGTGTTGACTGTGGGTCACTTGGCGTGCCCAGCAGGTGGTGCATTAAATGAGTGATTTATGATGCGGGCTGCGACCCTTTGTTTGTACTCAGTGAACAGTTATGTGGGTCACTTTACAAGGTACTGTCAAATGATTTATGAGAGAGATGAAATGATTTTGATAGCTTTGTGTAGTTTAATGTGTTAAATCTTTTAATGGCTTTAGTCCTGATATGCTTTAGAATACATTAACAATCTTGGGTCGTGTTGTTTTGTTTCAACATCATAAATTTATGAACTTTTTTTTAATTTATTTTTTTATCCAGAACATGATTGTGTTGCAGAGTAAGCTTTTTCTATATTCAAGAGTTATTGTTCCAGCTGAATATTTTCATTTATGTTCATTTCTTTCACTAACCTAGAATAAAAAATGGAAAGATTTGAGAAATAGCTCAGTGTGGTTAAGGAGCAGAGCTGCTGTTTTTCAGCACTGCGCCTGTTTTCTGCTCTCAGGTCTTCTAAAGTTGACCTTCCTCTGAGCTGGTGCTTCTGTCATTCAAACTGCAGTGAACACGGTCGGCTGCACAGTCAGGTCCCGTTCACTCACGGAATTCACCCAAATCCCCGACACAGTAGGTCGACAGCAGGACAGCAGACTCACTGTCCATCAGCAGCTCCCAGTCCCTTTTTGGGTCTGGATTGAGATAAGAGGACAGCTGGTCACCTGCCAGAGTTTGAGCTCCAGGAAGCTGACTGACAGGCGGGAAAACCCTGCTCTGTAGAGCAGCCCGTGTGCATAAAGCTGTATTATATCTGCTGGGGCTCTACAGGAGCTGAAGGTCTACATGGCTTGCTTTGATTTAATTTTTTAGCTCGCAGACTAATTAGACTGAAACCATTAATGACAAATGAAGATGAGGAGATTGTGAAGTGATTGACAATCATTATGGGAAGAGCCAGATTCATTTCTCTGTAGTCTTGACAACTAAGAAGATTCTTGAATGTTGAAAATGAATTTTGCTGTAGTTTTTGGTGCACTTCTTACTTGAATACATGCTTTTTCTATTGGTGCTGTCCAAAAGTAGTATAATAACCATTTATTCAGGCTGGCCTCTGACCGTCAGCTGTAACTATAGGTGTTATGCTTTTAATTAGGGATGTCCCGATATGAAATGGATATCAGATATCGGGTCGATACCAGCAAAAAAAAAACAAAAAAACAAATATCGGGTTATATCGGCCTGCATCTAAATCCATTCCAGGCTCTGCTTTGGCACCTCTATCTAGCATGCAGAGCCCACATAATCACAACAACAGTGTGTACTAAGGTTCTAACAAAGTAGCAAGGAGCAGGAGTGATATCAGCTATGTGGCAGTGTTTTTCGTTTAAGTCCAAAAAGGATGTTGCAGCTGAGTGCAAAACTTTGTGCCAATATCGGATCAATATTGGCATTGGTCAGTATTGAAGGCTACAATATGGGTATCATATCGGAGGTAAAAAAAGTTGTATCGGAACACCCCTACTTTTGATGACTTGTTTTATTGCTGTTTTGTCTCTTTTTTGCCTCTAATATCTCCTTTAGTCTTTCTTTCTTTCTTTCCATCACACCATGTAATCTGTAACGAATGACCCTGACTGGGACCTGACCCAGAGGCTGAGCCACAGTGCTCCATTTATTTCTGTCCTTTAACCATTATTGTGTTTGTTTGTTGTCGTTTTCAGTCGTGGAGGATCCTGCTGTTCGGGGCTCTCAACCTGCTGTGCACCGGCTGTCTGCTGATGTGGTGCAACTCCACCAACAGCATGGGTGAGCACACAAACACACACGGTCATACACACACACACACACACACACACACACGGAGTCAAACATGGAGTCATACACACACTTTAAGCAAACAAAGTGATAGAGGTGATTCAGATGGACACACACGGACGTACACAAGCTGACAGACACACACACAAAGGAAAAAAAAACTCAACTTTGAGATGTGGACACTGACACTAACAGGCGGAGATACCTGTCTACACACACTAAACTCTGATTGACTGTCACACAGTCTTACACATATGCGCACAGGAGTGTGTTTGTGTTTGTGTGTGTCTGTATGTAGTTGCGCTGCTACACAGTGAACAAGTCTTTAAAAGTGTGTTAGCAGGGTCATCTCACCAGGGGGGTCCAGACTGATCCTGCTGCTACGGCTGCAGGTGTATGAGTGCATCTACTAGAGTACAGTACTCGTGTGCGTATGTGTAAAGGTATGTGTGTGTGTGTGTATGTGTGTGTGTTGGTATGCTCTCCTCGGTTAAAATATGGCACTTGAAAGGGCATGTTGAAGAAACAGAGCCCTTCACAGCTTCCTTTTTCACCCTGTGGTGCTGCGACACAGAGAACACATCAGTCAGGCTGACAGAGTGGGTTTTTTTTACATCCAGGGCAGAGCACGGCTGAGTCCACACTATTATGTCTATCATATTAAGATAAACAGTTTTAAAGATATTGAAAATCCATAATATTTTTTTTTTAAATAAAGTTATTTTTCAAAATAATTTCTTAATTAAAGTTGCTGCAAAACTCCTTCATTCTCATCTTGATAAAATAGTTGAACAATGTTTCTTGAGGTTTTGGGGCTTGTGCAAAACTGTTGTGATTTCCTTTTTTTTTAGTCTTTCAGTTCCTATACTGTCCTCCTTTTCAATATGGGTAACATGTAATATGTGTTGCTTCTTTGCTGTGGTGGTCTTTGCTAGTTTTTTACATTGTTGAATACATTTGTTGTATTTGTTGATACTAATGTGGATGCAGTTAAGCTTGTGCAGCAATCGAGTCCAAGATAGATTTCTCCAAGGGAATGATGGAGTGTTTCAAATCGCATCGTATTGTATCCTATTGCATCCTGCTGTATGGTATCATATCGTATTTTATCGTAATGTATCGTATCGAATCGTAACTGCTCACTTTTGAAAGCAGGAACAGTTTGAACTTTTTACCTCTTGAAGCCCCCCAAAACAGACTGCAGCTTTGACTGTTGCAATTAACATTCTGGGTTTTATTACATTTTTAATTAATCTTCAGCAGTGATTATTTTTCCAGAACAGAAAGTTAATGAACAAAGGTCAGGCGGTCATTGCTGCATTCAATGACTCAGCTTTCTGATTCAGGAAATTCACTCCCACTCCAGGATCATTAAGTGCTGAGGCTTCTGGATTGAAAGAATTTGAATATCCGTGTGAAATATTAGTTGACAGCAGCTCAGCCAAATCTCAGTGTTGGTCCTAGTGTCTGTCTGTGTTATCTGGAGCCAAACAGCAGCACTTAGAACCATTTCTCTGCCTCAGCTGAGCTGTCCACTGGGCTCTCTGTGGATGTTGTGACAAGCTCATATTGAAGAGGCTGAATCTCACACACACACGCACACACTTTAGCACATATCATCAGCTTTCTACAGGGAGAAGTTCTCGTCACAGGTACGCTAGGTCATTGGTAAATTGTGCAGATTGGAATTCAACATGAAAATGAACGATGAAGGAGAATTACAATCAACCATGAAGTCACTATTTGGCTTCATCAGAAGGTTGTTTAAGTTTTTATGATCTTACATATCATGTCCTTTAGATGCTAAAATAATTTTAAAAAATTACTACAGTAAAACTCACAGAAACTGTTTCAACCCCAAATGTAGTTCCTGCTCTTTAATTCTATACTCCTTTGTTTTTACACCACTGAGCTTCTCTTTTGCTCAAACAAAGACTAGTGAACTGTAGTTAGCCAGCCTGACTCTGGTGGAAATAGTAGTAAGATGCTACTACCTTTACCCGATTACTCAGACAGGCCTGGAGAGAGTACAAGGGATCAAATACTGCACAGTTGTTATATCTACACCTGTGCTGCCGTAATGTCCAGCCAGTTAAAATGACAGAGAAGCTACTCTTCTGGTTTTTCCCCATTGTTCTTCATGAATATGGTGAATGAGACCACACTTACTCTCTTATCTGTTTGCAATAAAGATTTAGATCAAGTATGATTCAGGGTGTGTGTGTTATGGATTGTAATAGTGAGACGGCTGTGCATAGAGACAGTGGTGCAGTGAGACATGGTGTTCATGGTTAGTGAGGCTCATCTCTGCCACCAATCTGAAATCCTCTCAGGGATGCCTTCACTCAGAAAAATGCTGCCATGAAAAGAACAACATGCAACCTTATCCCGGCTCACCTGCTCTGACTGCAAATATTGCAGCACCCCCCCCCCCCCCCCCAATCTCCCTACCCACCCCCCCAAACACACACAACAGTGGCGTCGGGTGTCGTACAGACAGGAAGCAGAGGACAGAGGTATTGAACACGCTGGAAGGCGACACCCTTGTCGATACTCAGCCCTGATGAGAACAGCAGGAGTAGACGGTGGCCCAGCCTCTGTACTGTCAGTCAGATTCCTCCTCCTGTGGAAAGTCTTCTTCACTCTTCGGATTAGCATGCATCAGCTCTAGCACACTTACTCACCACACAGTATTTCAGTCAAACATGAACACACGACTCTGATGGCCACTGTTACAAGGAGCAAAACCAGTTGAGATGTCAGTGTTTTCTGAAGACGCATAGAGTGCATAATAATCGGACGTAGTGTTGTCGAGGTCACCCTTCTGTTTCTGCTGCTGAGTTTTGAAGCCAGTTGGCAGTAGTCACCACCACCACGTTGGTCATGCTGACTCAACCCAACATCCAGTCAACGTACCAGAGGCAAGCTTTTAGCCACCTCGCATCAGTGTGCCCGCCTGTCAGTCAAGTCAGTAGTTGATCTGACTCGCAGATGTTGTAACCTAAATAACTTTAAAATAAATGCATTACAAAAAATGAATTCCTTGGACTACTGTAGGTGCCGTGGGAGTCCACAGCTGCTAAGATCTAAACCTGTTTTGAACTAGGCTCTACACATGTGTACTTGGCTTGAGATAAACAATTAAAGAAAAAGACTTAATATAAATAACGAATGATAATTAAAAACAGCAAATTTAATCAGCTTTTACTTTTTTCCATTTATGATACATTCTGTTTTTTTTCCACATGCAGAAACATTTCCTGTCTGTGAAATTATGAGGCTCTTAAGTTTGCTACCATTGAATTAATGCAAGGACACAACCGTTTACTGGTTTCTGCAAACAATAAATGTTGAATTATTCAATGGCTGGAATCAGTCAATACTAATTATAAACATATCTGCATACCAGGAGTTGTATTTTTTTGTATACTTAACTTTTTGTGTGCCTGAATCAGTTTATGTAGAAAATAAATTTGATTAACTTTTGGGGATAAACTTAATGAAGTATCCACTCACCTTTCATTTCAGTAAAAGAAGGAAGATAAGGAAGTAGAACTTGAAGTTGTCATATTTTCCTCTTGTGTGTTGAAAAACAGCACATAAATACACATCTGTTTGTGTTTGTTTGGAGGTTGACTGAAGGAACCTGGTTGTTTACGTTTGCTTCTCTCTGCTCTGCTGCTCTGCTGTCACATTGAACACACTCTTTTTTTGCATCTCTATGTACAGTTTTATATATATTTATATATATTTCTCATTATGGCTGTATATATGTATGTGTATTTGTGTGTGTGCCACGGCCAATGAGATCTCTTCATGCCCTCAGCTGTTTGTGAGCCCTCATGATGTAGAGCATACAGTGTTTGTCTTCCACCTCATTAGTCTGGAGCACACACACAAACACACATTTACATCTGCTCACATGTTTACACTTTCATACCTCACTGAGGTTTGTGGATACAGAGACACAAATGTGATTTTTATGTGGACACTTACAGACACAATGAGTTGATTTTCTTACCTTTAGCATCAAAACTTTTAGTATTAAAAGGTGAGAAAGTGTCTTTAATTTCCTTTTGCTTACTTTTGCATCAGTGAGCTTGTGAAAATATCCCTGTCTGTCAGCTCTGCCTGCCGCTTCTGACTATCACCAACTTAAACTCCATGCACAGATACTTATGAAGGGTCTACTGAATTTCATAAACTCACAAGATATGATTGGGAGTGAAAAGTAAAACTCTCAAAAATGCAGGACTTCATTGAGGCTATGTGAAGATTTTGTTTATGTTTATGAAGTTCGAGCATACAGTATATCCCCTATGATAGGGATGGGCGATAAATTATTGTTCACAATATATTGTCAGAAAAATGTTGATAAATGATAAATGCAAGGTGATGACATAAGTGCAAGCGATGGACTCGCAGCCATAGCCCACACAGAGCAGAAGAACAAACGAACAAAATAAGGAAGTTTTTGAGCAGCTTGTTACTGAACGAGGCTCCACTATGGGATTTCCTTCAAGACTGGGGCTTCGATAAGAGCAATCAGATATGCCTGACATCGGACATCGGAACTTGTGGTTAAGTATCTTATTTGACCACTCCAACTGATGTTCTCAAGACAAAATAGGTCAAAAATATAGATTGTAATTATAATATCTTTTATCGTTATTGCTAGAATGGCAAATCTCATTGTGATAAATTTTTTAGCCCATATCGCCCATACCTCACACAAACTTAGATTCATGCCAGCATCTTATATCGCCACAACTATTAAACATAATCAAATATTAAAAAATAAAATGTTACTCGCAAAAAAGTTCAGGGTTGGCCAACTAATAGCCTGCAGGGTTACTAATTGGTAATTAATACAATGATATGAACTCTCTTACGTTTGCTTTTGTGTTTAAAATAAATGTAATATATTTTCCTCTCGGGTATCAAAAAACTAACTTGAAACAAACATGATGAGCAAATGTTCGGATAATTCAAATTTTACAGATTTATCAATGAAGTCTGTAGCAAGGGGTCTGACAGCTTCCTGCTTAGCCTCCACTTTTATAGAATAACATGACTTTATCAGTTTACCAAGGTCAAGAGGGCATGGTAACAATGAGAGCGACCTCTGCTGGCTCATACAGCAAGCTACTTTGGGAGGCTTGTGACTCAATGATATTTACAACTATATAGAACATTGATCTAACATATTTGACAGTAGGAAAGCTTGTTTAGATGTGTAACATATCCAGCAAGTTCACAGACATGGAAACCACAAGAGTTTAATAGAAAAAGCTGCAGGATCTGTCTAAAGCCTTCCCTCCAGTTTCTACAGTTTGCATTCGGTTTGTCTTCCAGTGCATGTGGGTTAGTTGGAGCTCCTCATGGGTTTATCAAGATGTGCTCATGAAGCTTATAGTACATTCCTACCGTTAGTTTAAATGAAGCATAACCTATATAAAAGCCCCCCCCCCAGAACATACACACTGAGGCACTCATACACAAACATATATGTCCCTGTTGACCCCCCTCTGTGAGTGTAATACCATGTTCTAGACCAACTGCCACACCGCAGCAACAAAGCCTCATATATATATACATTCTGAACATGTTCCTGCACATGCTTCCAGAACTCATGCATGGAAACACACATGAACACACATACACCCACACACTGTTCTGCCCCCATTAGCTCATGGCTAACGGCTTAACAGACAAGTTAATGCACACACAAACCATATAGACACACACAAACACATACACCACAATCTGTTCCCTGTTCTCCTCTTGGCTGTCGATGTGTTTGCAAACACGTACACGTACACGTACACACACACACACGCACACACACACAAAGCATATACGGACTCCATACATGCTTTACTGGCGCTGAGGCGGTTAACCCCTAGTTGACCTGTGAAGCTGCTGAGAGAGATAATCATTGTTCAGCTTACGCAGACCCACCGGTCTCCATGTCTGTCCATGTGTGTGCGTGCAGTTGTTAGGATGTTAGTTAGATCATGGGACAGATTTCTCTATGTAGGTTAAACTAATAATGTGTCGCAAACAGGATGACTGTACAGGACTGACCATACATAATTCTCCTCCCTCCCTTCACTCCCTCTGAGTTTGCATCAGAAGAATTATCAGGCTTTTACTGCCATTACAAAGCAGGATATTTACGTCCAGAATAGTGCTACATGTTTATTAGTGGTGGATGCTGATCCACCGCCAGACAGCTAGAGTCATGATATCAATGTTTTGTTTTTATTTTCTACCAGAACCATTATGAGCTCTGATAAACCTGTTGATCCCAGGTCTGGCTCTGCTCACTTTGCAAAGTTTACAGCTCCAGACAGCAGGCGGCTTTAGGATATTATTACTAACCTTAAGATCTAAGATACTAACTTAGAACAGAGTTTCAGAATCAATGCCAAGGATACGAGTGAGGGGAGTGAAGTCCAAGGACACAAATAACATTTTGTGACCTCTTTTCCTTGTGATGGTTCAGAGTCTATCGTCTATCAGTCGGTTTTGCCAAGTGTCCTTGGGCGAGAGACTTAACCCCAAACTGCCCCCACTGGCTATGTCCAGCAGTGTGTGAATAGGATTAAATAAAACTGATGGGTGCTTTAGACAGTGGCCTCTGCTTTCAGTGTGTGGTGAATTGGTGAATATGACATGTAGAGGGAAATGCTTTACATGTATAACGTGGTCCAGTTAATGAACTTAATGAGAGCTTCCCGCATCCCCAGTAATGAACACACAGCTCAACTATCCAGATTTTCCTCAAACGTCCAGCTTCTATGTCAAATATGCTGAGACGTTACTGTTTTCACTGTGAATGAAGGTTTGTGTTTAAGTGCTGCTGAAGCAGAGCTGTTGTTGCACTGTTGCGGAAACATAAGCTGATGATGATTCTACAGAACTGTGTGTGTGTGTGTGTGTGTGTGTGTGTGTGTGTGTGTGTGTGTGTGTGTGTGTGTCGGTGTGTGTATTCAAAGTAGGCCTCCCATATCAAATTGTGCAACAGACAACTGGATCAGCTTTCAATCCTTTTACAAAGTAAAGACATCAGCTTTTTGTCTTAACTGACTAACAACACACACACACACACACACACACACACACACACACACACACACACACACACACACACACACACACACACACACACACACACACACACACACTGTAGCAGATGAGCCATGGATGTGTCTTTCCATCAGTCTGTCTGCTTCCTTTTTTTTCCACTCTGAAACACACAGACAGCCCGCCACTCTGAGTCACTTGGACACACACACAAACCTCTCAGCTGTCTCTCACCTTAACTCACCTCTTCTTCCTCCTCCCCCCTCCCTCTCTCTCCCTCTCTATCTCTCTATCGCTCTCCGTATCTCTTTTTTTATCCCCTTTCTGTGTCTGTGTCCCAACACTCATCACCTTAACTCCCCCCTTATCTCTTTTCTCTCAGCTGACGGATTTTAGTTCTCCATTTCAGTCCATAGTCTTGAGGCTTCAGTTTTGGTCTCATGGTAGGGCTCTAAAAAGAATTGTGTTTCTTTGCAGTTAATGACATTATATTTGTCGTAACCAGCCTCGGCTCTCTCACTTTGAGGGAATGGGCTCATGGTTCACACACCTGCACCACCAGGTAACTCAGGAGCTCTGCTTCCTTGTGTGTAAAGGAGGTTCTCCCTTCTCTCCTACAGTCTGGTGGATCTTGCTCTTCCTCAATTTTCATAAAATGTATCACATGGATTCACAGTAAATCGAGAAAGAGACAGAGAAAAAGGGGCTACATGGGGGAATCAGATCTGGGCTGCCCACTTGGAGAACATAGCCTTTGTACATGATGTGCTTGATTTACCCTCAAGACCAAATAGGCACCCTGACACACTTGGTATTAACAAGTATCTAATGCATCTGAAAGAAAGGAGAAAACCTTTTAAATATGAAGAATACATTTTATGGTCAACGTCTTGTTGGCACAAGACTTAAATGTCAGTGCTCTAATACCCAGATGTAAACAAGCACAGATGACAGATGGCATCTTGTAACGCATTGCAACTAGGCAGTTCTTTGATGTAGGGCTGGGCGATAAACCGGAAATTTACCTGTACCGAAATTTACGACATAACCAACTTCATCTTGTCCATGTCAATATATTTGGTGTCAAAAAATGAATAAATAAAAGTTGATTTTGGATGTGTGTAGGGAGGCTACGTCCTTTTAAGATGTTGTCCTATGTCGGAGACGTGTCTCCACCTCAACCAGTCCATAACAAAGAGGGAAAGGTGGAAGACGGTTCAAAAGTTGTAGTGGCTGGAGTGGCGGCCGAAGCAGACGAAGTTAATGAGGGAGCGGTTGAGCAGCTTGTGTTGTAGTTATCGTCCATTTATCGTTATTGAGGTGAATTGCTCAATATGCAATTGCAAACACCACTCAAGTCTGTTGGTGCTAGCTCTGCCAGCATCAGCCGTACTCTGCATTCTGCACATCAGTTTGCCAGTCCATGTTTGGCCATTTTAAATACATCTTGTTCAATCCTTTCCACATTTTTTCTCTTATCCAGGTCCATTATGAGGCCAAAGATAAAATAAATATTATAAATATAAATGTTGTCCATTTTAAGTGTATTTTTATAGTGCTTTTGAGTCCAAATGAATGTGTACACGTATATCCCTTTCAGTGTGTGTAACTGTTGAGTTGAGAACATGTGTGTGTATATGAGTGTGCGTCTCCAGCTGTTTTGTGTCCCAGAGCAGCAGCACTAGGAAACCAGGTCAAGTGTCTGCTCCACAGACCAATAACACCATCCTCTACTCTGTCTCATCATCATACCTCTCCTCCTCCTTCTTCTCATCCTTCTCCTCCTCTTTCTGCTTGTTCTTTTTTTTTCCACCTGAATTTTTCCCTTTTCCTTGCCAACAATAGAAACACAAAAATACTTCATTCTTATTGTTTGCTGGAACAAACTACTAAAAAAACAACCTGTGCAACTTCATCTGTAAAATAATTACCATTTAAGTTAAGGCTTATCACAGATTTTGTGACGTCATTTTGTTTGCGTCACTGCAGTGTATATGTGTGCGTATTTATTTAAGTGTTTGTTGGTTTGTTATATCTGCACATGTAATCGGAGCTGTGTGTGTGTGTGTGTGTGTGTGTGTGTGTGTGTGTGTGTGTGTGTGTGTGTGTGTGTGTGTGTGTGTGTGTGTGTGTGTGTGTGTGTGTGTGTGTGTGTGTGTGTGTGTGCTGTCCCCAGGCCCTGAATGTTCCTGTGTGTCAGAACACAGCTGGTAAAGCAGTGCATCCCACAGGGCCTTCAGTCCAGCCAACACACACTCATAGATATTTGTGTGTGTGTCAGTGTGTGTGCCTATGTGTGTATCATCATCTTCTCTTACTCCCCAAACAGCCACCACATCTGCTTTGCTCTCAGTGAGGCTTGATCATCTAAACATACCGATGATGTCTGGGGCTCTCTCCCATGGGATCCTTCATTGTAAGGGCATAATGTCCTGCAAAAAACACACGGGCTGCTAGTTAAAATCACTTTAACGTGGAGGTAGGATTTTATTTGAATGCTGTTCTCTTATGATCTGATCATTTTCTAAACGTGTCCAACCATATTAGACTGAATAAAAAATGCACACTACAGGAATTGGACAAATATTTTGGGGACTGCAACAAACTTATTCAGACAGACAGGGTGTCATTTTTTTTAAATCTTAACCTTAAATAGTCAAACAGTCAAAGTAGCTGTTACCACATCAGCATCCAGCCTCGTGCTTACATTGTTAGCTTCACATATCAGCCTGTGCAGTGCAAGAAACCACCTTTGCTAAGTGTTAATCAACCACAGCAAAACTTGATGTGAGTTATTTAATTGTAGTTAATGCACCATACAAACATTTATAGAGAGGAGTGTCAAACTTGCCATTGAACTGAAATAAACCACTACTTATTTGACACTTTAACTTACAGCTGGTGTCCAGTCACAGCTGACCCTATTCAAATGTAACAGGAAGACTCATCAAACAATAGTGGGAGAGAATTTTAAAGCACTGGAGCTGGAATATGTCTGTAGACTGTCATCAAGTAATCTACAGATTTTGAGCTGAGTCATAAAACTCAAAAGGGGATTTATCATTATAAGCTTTAGATTATTGTCATTTTTTTAATAGAGCTTAAGTATATATCCGGTATAATCCTCACTACAGCGGCTATGAGGCTGGTCTTAAACTTGCATTTGACGCCCTTTTCAGAGTGATGATTATACAAAGTTAACACTTTTCCATGAAGGTCCTGTAGTAAACATTAATTGATTGTCAAAATCAATCAATCAATCAAACTTAATTTTTAAAACACCTTTCATACATAGATGAGGCACAAGGTGCTTTCCATTCAAGCAGGATATTAAAAACAATTAAATAAAACAAATAAAAATACAAATACAAATACCAAACCCGCCCACCCTCCCAACCCCAATTCAACACATACAGCCTTTCATCAAACAAAGGCTGTTGAGGTTTATAAGCACCTCAAAAAAGGTCTTATAAGTGACTTATTAAGTATTAATTAATGCTTTTTTGAAGGACCTTTATATGAAGTGTGACAAAAAAAGAGGTTAATCATCAAATTGAGGCCCCGCCCGATATTCATGAATGTGTGAATAGTAGCCTAATTTCTGGTCCCAGGTCAGCAGTAGAGCTCTTAACATACCAGCACTTAGTTTAGCTAATAGCAGTTTTGTTTGAACAGATGATGTACATTGATTATCATCAGCAGGGAGCACGTCGGGTAAAGGGTCAGGGCACAAGGGGGCATGAGGCGGGGTGAGCAGGAGTGTTTTTGGTTTAACATATCACTGCCAGATGCCACCCTAATCCCATGTGGACACAAGAATCCTTTTTGCTCTGGTCTGGTTTCATATTGACAGAAGCTTCTCGTCATGCTTGAAGGTGACATGCTGTCTGTGTGGGCCATGGATGTAACTTGGAGTGTGTTGAGGTGTGTGTGTGTGTGTTCATCATTTGTAGTGAAGCGTTTGAGAGCTTTAAACTCTTTTTTTTTCCCCTAAACAAGACATTAAAAAAAATCTTTTTGAGCTCTTCTAAAAAGTTCGTCACAGTCGTTGATTGTGGAAAAGACCATTGATTTATTTATTTATTAGAGTATTATTTCTTTCTGCAAAAAAAAATCACCAATTTTGACGACCAGAAAAGACGTGTGTGTGTGTGTGGATGTTTGCATCATGTAGATATTAATAAACTGTTGTGATCACTTGTTCTGTGTTGGTACTCTCTGCCAGTTTGTCTATCAGGTTAGTGTGTGTGTGTGTGTGTGTGTGTGTGTGTGTGTGTGTGTGTGTGTGTGTGTGGGCCCCTCAGGTCCAGTCTCATGTTTCTCCCTCAGCTGTCAGCAATTTTTGGGCTGGCCAGAGATCCTGCTGTCACTGCCTCCTCCTTTTTCTCATCCTCTTTCTTATCACTCCATCTTACTGTGGGTTCATCTCCTCCTCTCCTCCTCCTCCTCCTCCTCTTCTCCTCTCCAGGGAGACTCCTTACCACAGCAGTTAGTGCGTTCGATAGAAGCTTTTAGTTTACATTTGCAACACACAAGAGCTGACCTGACACCGCGACCCGGAGTGTGTGTGTTTGTGTGTGTCAATGTCCCAGTGTGTGTCAGTGTGTTTCAATGTGTGTGTGATATACATTAGGTCTCAGTTTACTATTTACCGGAACCAATGACACTAAGCTGCTGTTTGCTGTGGTTAGCACATTGAGTGTGTGTGTGTGTGTGTGTGCCATGATAAGTCTAGATTAATTAAAACAAAATCTACTGATATGTACTCATATGATCAGCTCGTTATTAAGCCATTACGGAGCTTGATAACGAGCTGATCATTTGAATCAGGTGTGTTGGAGCAGAGAAACATCCAAAACATGCAGGACAGGGGGGGGGCTCAAGGACTGGATTGAGAACCACTGGCATAAGGTATGCTGTCCACTTCTTAGAGTGGAGGAGCCCAAAGCCTCAATTTTAGAGCACTTTCCGTTTGAAGGTTTCAAAGGTAATCTCACTACGCTTCTGCAGACACCTTTTGTAAATGTCCATTCAAACTTTCAAACTTGGGATCAAACTTTCAGGGTACTTGTTATGAGAAGCTAGTAGAGTCCACCCATCATGGATACTAAGATGCACTCTGCTCGCTTGAGGCAAACTTTTATCTTTTTTTCCTCTTTGTAGAGAGCTGCTCATAGAGTTTAACGCAAGTAAGGCTGTGATTGGCGTTAACACTCCAGCTCCAGCGTGTTTACTAATCTGCTGAATACTTCGTCATCATCTGTAGATCATTTCTGTAGGTCTTTGGCTGTATATTCAGTGATACAGCTGTCTAATCTCTAGAGTTTAGACAGGTTGTTCACACTTCCTTTACAGTTTTATGGCCTAGCTGGATTTATTTTCCTCACATCATATAGAGGGTTTTTGAGGTGGCATTTTTGCCAAGTGACTTCCTCTACCTGCATCCCAACTGGATGTTACTAGTCTAATTGGTTTCTCCTTAGCTGGTGTTGTAGGTAAAGTTGATGCTGAAAGTCCTGCCCTGTTTTGTTTTTGATAGGGAGAGTGAAAACTGTTGTAAAACCATAATAAAAAGAAGTCCTGGATTCATGCCCTTGATCACTAACCCCCGACAGAGTAGACTTCAGCTTCCTGAGCCTTTCATCAAACAAAGGCTGTTGAGGTTTGCGAGCAAGTAAAGCCCAGTGAGTCTCCAACCCTCTGATACGACCCTCATGAACTTTCCCTGAATGAGCGCCCACACAGATGGTAGGCAACATGTCTACATACCTATATGTTTTGCAGGACCGACATATAAATCTTGACTCTTTCAAATTAAAAGTCTTTAAAGAACACACCCTTAGTTTCTCTGGCATCTTCACTCCATTATTACAAATGATTTACACATTTTATCATTTATTATTTCAATCTATTGTGTGCACAGTTTAAGTCCCTATATTTTGTGTGTATTTGTGTGTGTGTCTGTGTGTGCGTGTGTGTATTTGTGTTATGGCTGCTCCTCTGCAGACAGCATTAAATATTCATCCTCCAGCTCGTATTTCCCCCTCTCATCTGTCTATCTATCCTTGTTTCCTTCTTTTCCTTCTCCTCCTCTCTTACTTTCCCTTTCTCTCCTCCCTACCTTCCATCCTTTTTCTTGTTCAACTCAATCTCATCTTTAGAGGGTAAAAGGAACTGAAGAAAGAGATGTACTTTAAGGGGAATAAACTGAATTAACACTAAATCTTTGAAAAGAGCAAACCCTTCACACTACTCTTCCTTTAGCTTCACAATTCTTTAGATTTAGGTTATATATTTTATTTCAGTCATAATACAAAATAAACAGAAAAGAACAAGGCAGGTAAGACATATGTACATATAAATATACGGTTTACATCGTTGTTTGACAGAAAAGGTTTAGGGCTGGAGCCGAAGCTTATTTAGACAAACTCCCAATGTTTTGGTCCCACTTAGCTCAGAAATAGTGAAGCTGAATAAGAATAGTGAGCAGGATTTTATTACACCATGTGCACCTTCCTCCTGAGATAGTTAGATGTCAAGCCAGCACTTTCTAAAATGCATCTAAAAGAATTACACATTGAGCTGGAAGGAAGCGGAGAATGAACAATCCTACAAACTTTCACTCCAATTTGCACTCTCAATTTTTTCCATCAGAAAAATCAACAACATTGGACTGAAATCCTGTTTGAAGTCCAAGTCACAGGACAGGTCTTCATGTCTGAACATGTTGGGTCTGTGTTTTGCACATTTCTCCATGTTTGTTTTTGTAGTTCATTAATGTGTGGGTCATGTTCTCCACACATCCTGTTGTGTTTGTGAATGTATGTGTGTGTTTGACAAGAATAATGTGCTGTCCTCTGTGTTTGTTGCTCTGGTATCACATCAGTACGTCCTCTGGGTGTCAGTGTTTGTAAGCAGGAGATTTATAAAGGAATTGGACCTCTGTATTGAGTGTGTGTGTTCTGGTGTGGTCTATATATGTAAACCTATCTGAGCACAGCACAGGGAAATTTCAGCCCAGGTATTGATTTGGTCCGGACCGTGTTTCAGGGTCACTGTGATGTCAGCGTTTGTGTTATTATTGCTGTTTTTGTCTGCAGCTTTTGATTCAACACAACAAGACGACACCGAAGCCCATTGATCCTAATGGGAAGATGACCTGCTGCATATCAAAATAACAGCATATGGCAAGAAAGAGTTGACTTTTACAAATAGTATAGAAGGGAAGATAAAACACAGAACTTCTGATGAGAAAAAAAAAACACATTCCTGATGCATAAAACAATAGAAAATGAATAAATGAACAAACGCATTACGCTCTATGTATGAGTATACTAACTGTATGCAGAGGTTCTGTGGCTGTGTTGTGATGCATACAGTATGTTACTGTAACTGTGCAGCTCTCTGGCTCTATTAATGTAACATTATGGTTTCAAATGAACATGAAATCATCCTCAGGTAACAATCATTTAATAGTATTTTTCAGCACTTATCAATATTTCAAAGGCTGTACGGCAGATCTCTGAGGTTAGCTTTGCTGAATAAGTTAGCCTTCAGATCAAGAGAGTCAGTTTCATGACACAGAAATCGCTGACTGTGCAATTCACCCCTCAACCTTTTCTTTGGATTTTATGTTGCTCTTGACTAAGGCTATAAAGTCCTAGTCGTCCGGTCGACTTATTTGTCGATATGTGCTGAGTCGACCAAAATTCTGATTTGTCGACTTGATTTTTTCCCCGCGTCAATTTACAGTCTATGGTTAATTTCATCAGGAGGAATGTACCAAGTGCTAATGGGGTTGTTTTCAGAGCACCCCTCTTGTTTTCACCATTTTGGATTCGCCTAACCCACTGGAGACCGTCTGGAAACAAGAAGACAAGACAACGTGAAATCACTGTCCAGTGGTTTGCTGAATAAAATATTAATTGATATTAATTGCCGTCTTGTGCTGATATTAGTATATTTTCACACAGCCGAGCCGAGTTGTCCCCCGCCGCAGAAGGGTTTGCCATTAGAGTCGGGAACCCCCACCCCTCGGTTGTCAATTTTTGGTCGAAAATTCCAGGGGTTTATGTCGACCAAGAATATCTTTGGTCGATTACTGCCCTACACTTGACCCTAAACACCAACAGTGCTTGCAGTCTTTTCGGTTCTTCATGCTGTATTTTGTCACAATGATTGAACATTCACTCGCAGTGAGGCGTTTCCTCATCCCAGCTCATGGATTCAAAGGCACAACGTACACAAACAGAATGGAAGACGATAATGCACAAGCCAATTATAGCAAAACCAAAAAAAATTAGAAAAAAACAACAATTTTGTGGATGTTTATTAAACGATTCAACCTTGAGAATTGGTGTATCTTAAATGGACATATTACCCTGGTGCTGAGCAAGAAAACACTGATTGTATACATCAGGTCATTTCCTTATGTGTGTGTTGAATTCAGGTTGGGATATTAGCCAATTTGCAATTTCATACTGACTAACCTTTATGAAAAGGTCTCGTCCCCTCGCCATGGCAACAAAGTAATTCAAGCATAAAGATGTGAAGGAACAGCCACGACACAGTATATTTAAATGTTGATGTTTCTGTATGAGCACTGACACAGAAATACAGCTGATGGAAATAATGACAGTTTGATATTCACAGTGTCATAAAGCAAACACCTGGACGAGGATGTTTTGAGCTGATGGTGGCGACAGATGAACAGTTTGAGGATTAACAAGAAGTCTTTATAATATTAATAAAGTTTTACAACAATCCATAATAATTATTTAGACTAAAACAAATGTTGTGAAATGGTTTTGTAAATTGTTAAATATCCAGTCCTGTTGCCTCTTCATCCAGATCTACTCCTGTTTGCTCTTGTTCCTTATATCGGTGCTGTAAACACTCAGTCTTAATAACAGTGCTGTAGACTTATTAAGAGGTCATTCTGCGGGTAGAAAGAGTCAAATTCACATCTAAGTAGCTTTGATTTTTGTACTTTTTGCATTTTTTTTGGCCTGCACTTATATTGGTATTGCTGGTATAGGATGTTGAAAGTCATTCAAGAATACAGACTGAATATTGTTGATAAGTTCAGTGAGACAAATAGGCCACCTCCCAAAGATCGGCTCCATGTCCGGCTGATAGATTCTTGCATCAATAGCAGAAGCGGCCCGTCTGAGGCTTGTTCTTACATGTCTCCTTTTATGCCTGCAAACTGATATCTGCGTCAGAGAGCAAAATCTGAAGGAGAGGGAAAAGATTTTTGGTGTCAAGAAGGTTTTGTTTCTGTTTGGGGTCTGATTATTGTTGTCCAAGTGTGTTTCAGTGAGCTGAAAACAGACTTCTGCACACACAGCCTATCTCAACACATCGAACTCTCCATGGTGATAACAGTGGTGTGAAAAAGGGATTCTTGGCTGTGATATCCAGATAACCACTGCTGCACCAGAACTCTAGAGAGACTCGTCTTCTCACTTTCCTGTTTTATTCCTCTTTCACCGATGTTAAAGGATTGTTCCTCGCTCTTTCTCTCAGACTCATCCACTTTCTCTGTCTGCCTGTCTGTGTTCATGTCTCTCACCCTGTCTATCTGTCCTCTAAACTCTCTCTCTCCTCCCGTCTGTGTGCCTCAACCTCTCAGTCCATCCATCTGTTTTCCTCCTCGTGTCTTCCTCTCCCTCCCTCCCTCCCTGCCTGTCGCTCTGTCACTCAGTTTCATTTCAGCAGCCCGTCCTCCCTCTATCGTCTCTCTCTCTCTCTCTCTCGTCTCTCTGTGTCTGTCTCACCCGGTTGTTGCTGTGGGTCTCTGTCAGGATTACACGGCGTCAGGTTGGCCAACATGGACGTCGGTGGTGGGGAAACAAAATGTTCTTCTGAGCACAAAGCCGCTTTAATCCGCTCTCCTCATCCCCCACAGCACAGCCTGATTACAGAGAGCTGGTCGGCAGGCATTAAGACAAACTGTGAGGCAGAACGGCTGATCGACTGACAGTGCAGTCTGGAGTGAGTTTATTGGCTTGTTGGCTGACTGACTAATTGGCCTACTAACTGGCTAAGTGACCCTTTAACTTACCTCATTGCAGGCTAGCTCATGGGCCCTCAGCCGTCACACTGTCCAGGTGATTGTCAAAGTAAAAGCTTGATTGACTCCCTTTGGACTGATTCAGTGAGTCACTAATTTAATGACTCTCTCAGGAGTTGATAAAAAATTGGATCCTTATATCCAAGTTTTTACTTTACCTACTGTATGTTTATGAGGTTGTGTCACAATGAAGAGCTGCCCACGGCTTGACTTCCACACTTTGCTCATTAACACAATGAATCCCTGCAGGTGATGACAATGTGACGAAACAGCGTGAAACAGCAGTGGCTGTGTCTCTCTGTGTGCTCTGATCTTGATCAGAAATTGAATTGACACTTGGTGCTACTGCACAGTGTGAGAAGATATTGATTAAATTACTAACTCTGTGCTCTGCAATTTTTTTAACCTCTTGGTATGATGACATTGAGCCCCAAAGTCCACCCTTGGTTGGTGTACCAGAGTTGTATGAATGGATCACACAGCGGCCTCTGTGTATGAATGTGGCATGGATGGGTTAATGTGACAAGTCATGAAAAAGTGCTTTGAGTGGTCAGAAGAAGTGGGAGTGCCACACACATTCAGTTCTGCACACACACAGACAGCTGTCCTAACCCGTCTGCTCAGGTCCCGCACATCTCCCCATTCCACCGTTACTACCTACAGAAGAACCACTTAGAGTGATCAGAAGACTCGAGGTAGTGCCACAAAGCCCCTTTACTCATGACCATTTTTATCTTTTGGAAAGGGCTCACCACTTTTAGAATTAGGGGTGTTCCGATACAACTTTTTGACTTCTCATACGATACTGATACTGTAGCCTTCAATATTGACCAATACCGATATTGATCCAATATTGAAGTTTTTCACTCAGCTGCAATGTACTGACACCCAGCTTTTCACTCTTACTTCTTGGTACTTGTTAGTACCTTAGCACACACTGTTGTTGTGATTTTGTGGGCTCAGATAAGGGCGCTGCTAGATAGAGGTGCCGGAGCGGAGTCTGGAATGGACTGTTTGTATCAGAGTGCTGATATCAGAGATGTTAGATACAGGTCGATATAATCCAATACATATTTTTTGCTGATATAAGACCGATATCCGATATCAATATATTGGGACACCCCGAATTAGAATATGCAGATTTTACTGATTTAATGATGTGGGTCTGTGAATGGATTGGTATATGATGAAATCATAGGAAATCGGTCTTCAGTTCAGCCTCTCTCCACCTGCATTGTCAGTTTCCCCCGTCTCCAAATGTACAGTTTAAATGCATGATTCCGAGTTTCCCTACTGTTGTGCACACCCCTCAAGTTTGTTTGCACACAACAAGTTTCGATCACAAGAAGGGTGGCGTACAGCACATTCAGGCCCTTTTTTGTGCAAATGCAACACTTTTATATGGAGGAATTTTGACTTTTCACTTTTCACTCAAAACCTTTAGATATGCCCGTCACCCTAGAGGCTGAATCAGATTACCAAAATGCTTAAGGAAATTCGCTTGTTCTTGTGAAGTGATGTTTTGTTGTTTACATGCAAAATCTAGCAGTAGGATTGTTTTGCTCAGTTGTTCCCCATGTGGATTATTCATGGTCATTTGTGAAAAAAAAAAAAAAAAACTGTCTGCGTGACCAATTTCATCTTCATTTCATTTTTTGCACCTTTGACTGATGTGGTTACAATTAATTAATGGTGAATCAACTAATTAATTGTCTGACTTTACTTGTAAGGTGACTATGATCATCTAAATGATGCTGTTTTTGTTTCTCTGTTTTCTCATTTCAGCCTTAACTGCCTACACATACCTCACTATCTTCGACCTTTTTAGGTAAGTGTGTTCCACCATAACTGAGATACTAACTGAGCGACACTTTACCTCCCGCTGATTCTCTGCTGCTGTTTCTGATTCTGTTGCTTTTCACTCATCTCCCCACCCCTCTTCTCTCCTCTGCTCTTCCAGTTTGATCACCTGTCTCATCAGTTCCTGGGTGACTATGAAGAAACCCAGTCAGGTCTACTCCTTTGGGTGAGTTTTGGGCTATGATCTGCACATTACAAGCACACTGACCAGTCTTAGAAAATATTGGTGGGCTGTTCCCTGAATGCTCTTGCAATTAATAATCATTTAATTGTGGGAAGCTATTTTACCTGGAATATGGTGTGACAATGTATCACTAAAATATCATGGTTATGTGCCATCATGACCACCAGGGCAGTCCCAACTCTCACAACTTTCAGCTGAACTGGCAGCCTATGCAGCTTGCAGGACTTCAAACTGAATGATTGTACTGCAAAGAGCTCTATAGCACTACAGAAACTTCACTACACTTTGCTGAATGTAATTAAAACGGTGATGTGGGGCTGTCAACGAATATTCTAAATTCGAATATATATTGGAATATATATATATTTTTTAAAAAAAGATTTGAATGTGAAAATTGATATACAAATATTAGATAAACAGCTGGGAAAAACTGAGGGAGAAAAAGAAAAACTGACAGAAAAAAAAAAAAAACTTTGGCTGCTTTGCGGGTGAGCGCACTGTAACAATGGGTCAGGGACAGGTCACAGAAACAGCACCTGCAGTGAGACTCGACAAAAGCCGTCCATGGCACAAGGAGAGATGGCGGGATGTTCGGAGCCAAACTCTGAGAGAGTGGTCTGGACTCCAACAACTTTTAGAAGCTCTATTTTGAGCAGACACAGTAGACAGAAAAAAATTCTGAGTGAGATAAAGTTATATGCAAGCTGTGTAAGCTAGAATTAGCTTATCGTCCCACCACTAGCAACCTGAAGAAACATCTTTAAAATGTGCCCTTAAATGAGCATGCCATGATGTCTGGAACTCCAGCTAAACAGCCACGTCTCGACTGCAGGTTAATTTTGTAATGTCCTAGGAATTCTCAAAGATGTTATAACTGAAATAAAAATAAGAAATACCTATACAAGTAGTTATGTCTTGTATTACTTTGTCCTCCTGTTGGCATAGGGCGCAAATATAAATAATTGAAAATGTTTGAACCTATGTGTTATTCTTGGAACGAATATTTGAACGTCATTTTTGAGCAATTTTGACAGCCCTACTGTGATGCAGGTGGCCAGTTTAATGTCAACAAGAAAATTATTTCTCACTGCACCCAACCAAGTAAGGATGGCCCAGTCAATACTTGTTCATTTGGATGTGTGTTGACGTAGAGTTGAAATAATTTGGTCATGTTATGCCGTAGAGTTATTATTGTATCTGCTCTCAAATCTTCTGGTAGACTTTTGTGTTTTCACCTCTCCTGCTCAAAGAGACAAAAAGTATTGCCTCACTCAATGTTTGTTTGTTTGTTTGTTTGTTTTTGCGTGCGTGTGTTGGTGAAATGGCTGATGGGTGATCAAGTGGAAATCTGCTTGTAAGCTTCACTTAGCCCCCATAATACCTTTGTTTGTTGGTGTTTGTCCGTGTTAATTGCCTGCCAGGAACACAACAACAGTGCAGATTGTTCAGTGATTTTTATAGCTGCAGCTTCCAACTCATTTCCAACCCGGAAAGAAGTGAGTGAGATTGCCCAGGAATTAGCTGGATCCATTTCACTCTTCTTTTATTAATGTTAAATGTCTTCAGTTATTTAATTTGGCCTGATGAGGTTTGATGAATGAATCTTTTATGCTCTGCATGAGTTACTAGAGTTAAAAGTAGGTAATAAATGAGGCATAAAGCATTAGGAGGCTGAGGTCTCTTTTTTTAATGCAAAGTTTGTTCAGAGTAGTGTTCACAAATCTCTGGACTCCACAAGCTTGTCCTAAGTAGCTTGTTGTAACTTGAAAATATGTCTTATCAGTAGGACATGAATGTTTCATAAGGGTGGGAGAAAAAATCGATACAGCATAATATCGCAGCATTTTGTCTGGTGATATACCTTATCGTCTCATTTGCCAATAATCGTTTTTTTTTTTTTTTTAATTAAATGTTAATATGAAGTCAAATCTATGATAATGGAAAAATAAAATCAGCTGTTTGTCCAGTGAGGTTGGCAGAGATGACATTATAGAGCAGGAGATAGTTAATGGAACAAATATAGCAGCACCTGGGGAAAGACATTAGGAATTCAGCAGGGCACTAATGAGATGGACCTGACATATAAGGTTTGAAAGATGTGTTGGATGAAAATAAAATACTGTGTAAATAAGACAAGCTGAAAGAAAAGACAAATGCTAAATTAGCTAAAAAGTTAAAATAATTGTATAAGTCGCAATATGTTGTATCGTAATGCTCACTGTATTGCAAAATGTTATAAATCACAATAGTATCGTATCGTAGCCCAAGTATCGTGATAATATCGTATCGCGGCCTAAGTATCGTGATAATATCGTATTGCGGCCCAAGTATCGTGATAATATGGTATCGTGGCCCAAGTATCGTGATAATATTGTATCGTGGCCCAAGTATCGTGATAATATCGTATCGTGGCCCAAGTATCGTGATAATATCGTATCGTGGGGCCACTAGTGATTCCCACCCCTAATGTTTCATGGGATGTTATTTAACGAGAAACTGTAGTTTTATTGCTCTTTTCTAAAGACAACAGACTGCAAAAGCAAAAGTAGTGATACAGTATATTTGAGGAATGGGAGTTGGTGGGCCTTATCTGCCTGTACAGGTCAGAGTCTGAGTTCTGATCCAACACAATAATTCCACAACAATCAAAGCAAACAGTATTTATGCGTGTTTATGGACCACCCTCACTCTGCCAGCGTATGCTCGTGTCAGCAGCCAGCAGACGGCAGGTTTTCTCTGTGGCGCCCACTTAGATTAACCACAGGCTGTTTGTAGTGCAGAGCTTGACCTTCGACCCAGCAGCATAGAGGCGATCAGGCCAAACAGCGGGCACTAAGTGTTCGAAGAGAGAGGGAGTGTGTGTGAGTGACACAAGCTTGTTAAGACATAGTCCCTTTCTCCTTGGTGTGTGTGTACGTGTGACTTAAGAGAGACTGTTTGACCAACCAGTGACCCAATGAGCGGACACCTATGGGTTAATAGGTTGTCTATGTTTACTAGGGATAGAGGCTGGACCCACACACACACTCACACACTCCCTATAGTGGTATGTTTTAAACCTAACACAGATTTGTATTGGCTGATGGGTGGTGCAAGAGTTAGTGATGAATATCATGGTTTTATTTAAGTCTTTTATAACAGTTACTGTTTTGGAATAATTTGGTACTTCTGCATGTAAATATCAGACGAAACAATTGTACGAGGACTGTGGTAGTTGTGGAGTAACTACGCATTTTATTAAATAAAGGTAGCTACACACACACAATCTGAATTGAAGGACTGAGATGGGGCTGACACAAAACAATAACCGCATAATTTAGATCACTTTGAATGCAAATAATCTAAAAGATCAACCAAAAGAGAAACTTCTGCTTTTCTCTTGCACAAAGAAAACCGATTGATACCCTGAGCTCTGAACATGTAGATCTACATGGTGCACTTCATTCAAAAAAAACAACTCATGTATCCTCCCTCCCACTCCCCTCACCCTCTGCATGTATGTGGTGATGTGTCATGCATGAATTTATAATGCACTTCATTGAACTTGCACAATAGCTCTTAGTTTCGAGGTTTATAGCTTCTGCAGAGAAGCTGGGCATGAGATCACTGACAGTCAGCATTAGGTTTAACCCCAATGAGCTCGGCGGACCGCTCACTGAGACAAAGCGGCTCATCCTGGACAGACTGCAACAGGATCGACCCCCTGACCTTGTGATGAGGTCAGGAGGTCGGCAACAGTTGCAACTGTAGGTTGTTCCTGTTGATAATTTCTGCTTGTTATTTTATGGGACAGAGTTTAAACTCGTGAACGAGTTTTAAGAGGAAAGTGAAAGGCGGGAAGGAGCCTCCTTACTCAAGCTGGTTAATAAATATGTAATTGTGTCAAAATAAAAATCAGCACCTGATTGTGTGCTTGGAAAAAAAGCTTCCTTGAATGAAAGATGTTAGAATCAAGATAGATCTCAGCATGCAGGCTCAGTCTGTCAGAAGTAGTTGACATCTAGGTTTTGATTGTAGAAATTGTCTCATTGTGACTGTAGCATGTGACTCAACGCCTTTGTATATAAGGAATGAATGGAGTTAAGGAAATGACAGGTCGTTCAAGTTGGCAATACCACCATCATGACTTTATCAGTGGGGTCACTAAATGAAAATGTGGTCCGCTGTGAAATATCCTCCTGTAAAGACCGTCTCTTATTATTTTTTTTTACCTCTCTTTCTTTCTTCTTTCCTCCAGGTTCGAAAGACTGGAGGTTCTGGCTGTTTTTGCCTCCACTGTTCTCGTCCAACTGGGAGCCTTGTTCATCCTGAAGGAGAGGTGTGTGTTCCCCCTCACTCACACCTTCACTCACTGAAATACTTGTTCATACTCGCTTAAAGCACTTAAACAATCTTGAGACAATAAGCACAACATCTCTCTTCTGGTCTGAGTTTTTTCAGAGGTGTAGTCAGCGATCTGAGCCAGATTAAGATCCCATGCCACTATCTTTGTGCGTGTCCTTGTTTTGAGTCTTTGTCTCTGTCTGTCTCTTTGGATTAAAATTTCAATTATTGCAGCATGACTCAGCACAATCACTGAATTACTATCTCCCGCGGGATACACAAAATGTTTCCAGTCATTTTTCTCTCTTGTATTTGTTTTTGTCCCTGCCAAATAATTTCACCAGATCTTCTAGTCTCGACTCAGGGTGCATATTTTTTTTCCTCCTTCCTGGCTGTGCTTTGGCTTTTCCTGAAAACAATGAAAAAAAATGCAGTAATTGCACCCCAGGCTATTCAAACTACATCTGCATGGTTTTTTTATGTTATAACAAAAGCTGTAATTACCACAACTCTGAGAATGAACAACACTCTTTAGTCAAGGGTCCTGTTTTTGAAAACAGCTCTGTAGTAAGTGAAAAGTTTTCGAGCCGAACATGTTGCTTTATCTTAAGTCTGCATCATGTCTGAGCAGTGTATGGCTTTTTTTACGGCAACTGGCCCATTAATATATAGGTGAAAGGTTGCCATGTCATGTTTACCCATGCTTTTTATATCATGTAAAGAAAAAAACAAAATGTAAGCAATAATGTCACCCTGCTGTTATATACAGTATTATATATTTTATGTATTCCTACAGTAAACATATGAAAGGACAGCTGAGATAATAACCTGATACGACCAAAAGTTCTCAGTAATTTGGTTCATTCATGTGTGTCTGCGGAAATCTGTTATGTCTGTCACCATCTGAGAACACACTTTTTTGTTTAAAGGGATGGCCATGGATTTACTCTTAAAGGGATGGAGTATTAGTGAGCGTGTGTGTGTGTGTGCGTGCGCATGTGTGTGTGAGAACTTTTGAATTTTTTAGGGCTGTGGGAAAGTCACTGCCTGGCTGTGTCAGTCTTTCTTACACACACTCGAACACATGCACACACACAGCTACCTCCAGGCGTCCTGTGTGGGGTTGTCTTGCGGTCAGTTCTCAGGGAAAGGAGGGGTATTTCCAATATTACAATGTGCGCATGCACACACACACACACACACTTACACACAATATCACACAAATGCAGGTCAAGCAGCTGGCACGTTGCCTGTTCACACTTTCATGTGCAGATGAATGTGTGTGCTTGGCTGCTGGACTCAAACTTTGCCGACACTGTATTGAACAAAGTGACAGGGATGTGTTTATACAACTTCATGAAAAAGACAAATTCACACTTGTTTCTAATATTTGGTGGCTTCAAAATAGTCAAAAATATTCAATATCATCAGATTAAAAAAGAAATTCAAAGTACATCAGAATGTTGGTAAATGAAGCAAAGATAGTGGAGTGCCAGACTCAGTTTTTCTTGACATGACTGTAAGTGTGAGTTATTCGAAGTGAATTTTTTTTACCTCAATTTGTAAATATCAGTTTAACAAAGCAATGAACTGGTATTTGATTTATAGCAAAACATGTAGAATACAGAAAAATAGCTCAGATGTTCATTTCCATGTTCATGGCTGTAGTCCCCAAAGCTGTCAGCCCAGCTTTATTTCCAACCTGCTGTCCTTTACGTAAAGAGATATTCCGGCGTAAAACTAAGTTAGGGTCAAATACACCGTAACACTGAGTTAGACACCCCCTCAAAAGATGAATGTTGCCAACTGTTTGCTTTACTAGTTATACCAACTTTAGTAACAACCGCACAATAGCAATACACTGCAGTCTGAGGAGCCATAAACAAACCTCAACCAAAAAGCCACTCTAAAACCACAAATAATGCTCAGAACAGCACCTAACTTCATCAACAGTACAGTACAACTCACCCACTCTCCTCCGGCAGCCTTTTTTTTGTAGGCGGAGCTTGGACGAGTTGTTCACCAAGTGTAGCGGAGTTTCGCAGCTCAAGAAAGAACATTTATGATCATTACTTCATGGAAATGCAATCTGACCAAGACGTTAAGGCAGAAGAACTACCGCGTCTGCAGTAAAAAATGATTGATATGATGATTATTCAAGGAAGTGATCTGCAGATTTGTGCTCCCACAACAAGAATGTGTTTCTGTTTCCTTGCATACTTTTCACACTTTGACTGTTGTTACGATTAACAATTGTCAAAATGGGAGTCAAACTAAAAGTTTTGTGAAACCTGAAAAGCTTACAAAGGAACTCCAGATGAGAAAAGGCAGAAATTTGTCTCCTTGCTGTGTTTTCTGTTAAATCTTTTCAGGTGGCAAGAAAAGACACTCATACAAAAAAAAACAAATACACACAAGTTTTGAATGGCTCAGTAGGGCAGCACAGAAGCACAGAAGGAGAAAGACTGTGTGTATGTGTTTATGTGTGTGTCTGTGTGTGTTTGAATATCTTTTAGAACATGTCCTGTTTTCTTTGTGTTTGTTCACCCCTTGTCTCTTCTTGCCTGTTTCAACTTGTCTAGAACCCTCTCTCTCTCTCTCTCCACTTCCAGTACACACACACACACACACACACACACACACACACACACACACACACACACACACACACACACACACACACGCACGCACACACTCACAGTGAGAGTAGTCCCACCTGGCCACTGTTGTTGACTGTGTTTGTGTCTGTTTTGTCAGTGTGGAGCGCTTCATGGAGCAGCCTGAGGTCCACACGTAAGTATTAGCCTTCAACAAACACACACACACGCACACACTTAAACAGACAAACAAACAAAAAAAAAATCCCCTTCTGCATCCTAAAATAAAACAGACACAACATGAGTCAGTCTCACACACACACACACACACACATGCGTGATGCCAGCTGTTGTCTTAACAGAACATCCCAAAGGTGTGGGTCAGACAGACAGACAGACGGACAGATGGAGAAAGTGACGAAATGATTCAGTCAGAGCTTCTGAGAATCAGAGGACTGACACCGTTCACCGTCTCCTACCATGACAGTGAGAACTTGTGTCCACACCAGCAGAGATAATTAGCTGACTGACTGGCCAAATCCTCTCATCAGCACCAGCAGCAAACACGTAACAAACAAAACACAACCAAAAATCTAAGGGTAAAAAAAGTGTACATAGTCATATAACAGGTAAAGGGTTTTTCTGGCTTAAAATGAGGCAGAGGTGATAACTATCTTATCCTTTGCTCACACATAAATGGACTCAAATGGACACTTAAAGACCTGCAGTTGTTTGCACTTCCTCCTTTCCACCCTTTACATCCATCACCAGCAGTTGCAGCTCACTTTTCTTTGCCTTTGTCAGTTTTGACATCATCTTTACTCGTGCATTGGACTGGTTGCAATTATTGCCACCACATTTGTACTGTCAATTAGATATGACAAATTCCCTAAGCACTGTCCCAGTTAGAAAGCCGTATCCCTCTTTTAAACAGTCCAACAGGCTGTTACCCAAAACTGGGGTGGTGTCTAATTTAAGTGGGACCACAGTTTCCTAATTTTCAAAACAGAAAAAACAAATCTGAGTTGACAGAAGTGTGTCTTTTACTTATTAGTGTTCATTCTGACTTGATACTGTGTGTGTCCACACAGCATGAGAGAGTGTACAGATGGCAGCACAGACAGAGGTGGGCACAGTTAATCCAAAATTTAGCTCTGTTAACAGTTAATCCATTAACACAGATGTTATCTTTGATTACAGTTAATCCATTAATTCTGTTCAAAGTTACTTTGTATCCATTAGGATCCACAGATTACCTCAAGAGTACAGACGCTATTTGATCTTGTTGTCTGTGATCCATCTTCCTATTTAAAAGCAGGGTTTGGATCCTTCTTCTTTCACAGATAGATGACCTCTAATGCCCCTATTGATAGGACTACAGGCTGTTTTTAATGATCCAGATCATTTAGCTCAGCAAAAAATGGCTCTTTCAGCTCCCAAATGGCTCTCAGTACCAACCAGCTTGTTTTTGGGGGCCAAGTGATTTGCAGCTGATACATCACTAGATACTACCCATGCTCCGAAGCAAAAATAATGACTTAAAAAACGAAAAAACAGAATTGAACGGAAATGAAAGGTTTCATAATCGGTTTTAAATAAATGACGGTGTAAAGATAAGTAAAAGATTTAACACTGATAATTTACAGTGGGCACACACAGGCGTGTGCCCAGGTCTGCAGACTGATAAGTTAAGTCTGTAAAAAGTCAACAAAATGAGCAAAATAGAGTGATGAATCAGTCAGCTGATGAATGGCATTCTGATGTAATTATCATCATATTGGCATCGGCCTTCACAAGGCCAATATCACCATTGCCTTTTCCAAGTGAAATCCTCATTAACTTCAGAACTCTTCGTTTACGCTCAAAGAAACAACAGATCCTGAAAGTAAAAAAGGCAGAAACCAAAAACAAAGGAGATTCATTTGAATGGTGACTAAGATAAATAATCATTTAGATGTGTTGAATTGTGTTTTTTTCTATCATCTCACTGATAAAGTGATCAAATATTTTGAATGATTTGATCCTATAGCCTTCTAGCATATATAACCTGCAAACACAATGAAATGGTACTTGTCTGCAGAGAAGTATTGAATGGGAGAATATCCTATTATGTTTTTTTAATATTTCCTTCAGATGAATCCCTTAAATATTTCAGAGTGTTAGAGTAACCTTTTACAATAATAAAAAAAAAGTATTTATTCTTGAATCACACCTTGTCTCTTTCTCTGTCTTTCATTGATCTTTTTTACTCCTTTTGTCGGGTGACATCAGTTAAGAGATAACACAAGCTCTACCGCCTCTCCATCTCTTCCTCTCTCTCTCTCACTCCATCATCTCTCCATAATAAAACAGATTAGTGGCGGCTTTTATAACCTTAAACACAGCAAGACTTAAACCTGTCTCCTGTGACGAGATTACCCCCCCGTTTCTCTCCCCTCTTCCCCCCTCTCTTCACTCCCCTGCTCTCTCTGGCTCTCTTCTGCTCTGAATGGATGTGATTGGATGGCTTGTGAGACAGACGCTAACCAGAGGGACAGGTGTCTGCTGGGTGGAGAGAGGCACACACACATTCTCCCTCTCTTTAATCTGTTCTTACAGGGAGGTGGGGGATCGGGTGGAGGGGTGTCATCCAGTTATTGTGGCTCACTGTCGGGCAGCCCTTCACCTCCTGCTGATTGTTTGGAACAATTTTTAGGCTCTTAAATGGATTGTCTCATGTGATTAGTGTATTGAAGAGTTCAGCTGGATGTGTGTGTGTGGGTGTGTGTGTAAATGCATGTGTGTATTTTTTTGCCTGCAAGTCCTCAGATCCTCCCTAAATGTCTGTTAGGTTTGTTTAAAAGTTAATAAGGTAATTCATTGTGCATTTTTCATCTTTTACTCGATTTCAAAGTATTTGAAAATACTGACAAAACGTTCATGTGAAGACCATATTTCATTCAGTACGTTTACATGACACTCGAGAAAACCAAATTACTGCCTTACTCTGATTAAGACCACACAACTGAAGTGCATGCAAACTCCTTAGTTCAACTATAATTGGAGTTTGAGAACTCTGATTGGAGTCAGAGAACTCCGATTAAGACACCCAGATAATGTGATTGGAATTCGATTTTCTTTACCATGTAACTAGCGCAGTCGGAGTATGATTGGACAATGCATGTGCACGTGCACCACACTACTGTAACCCTGAAACAAAAACACCAGAGAAGAGGAGTAGCATGCACCTGCTCTGCAGAAAAGGTAGCACGTACATCATGTACGACAAAAACAACGCTGTACGATGCTCAAAAATGCTCAGAAATGCTCAGTAGCAGTTGTAGCCACTTCTGACGTCTGGCACGGACCTGCTGTTGTTGTTGACAGTTGTATGGAGTCAGAAACAGCACAGCTGAAAAGACCCATATTGCCCCCTAGTTTTGGCGAAGAGGATACGTTCACGTCAATAATCCTATTTTCTCAGCTGCATGTATACATGGACAAGGAGAGAAGTCTGATTCTGTTAAAAAAGTGCGCAAGTGGTGGATTCAGGGAGTGGAGAAAAAAAAAAGGAAACACTGTGAGCTTTTTTGGCTATAAATCCGTATACTGGCGGAAGGCAGAACCAAGTTGTCCATCGTATATACAGTCTATGGTTTGGGAGATATTTAGGTCACGAGGTTGAAGAATCAGAGGCGCAGCTGTCTTGACTGACAGGAGGGCACATTGTTTATGAGGAAGCTGTAGGCCCTCTTCCGTCAAGTACACCAAAAATGAGGTTGATTCAAGACATTCTAACTGCTGCTGCGGCTGAAACACTCCTCTTTAGAGACAAATGCATGACATCACTGAGACTACATCTGTGTATTATCTATGGTCAGCAGCGGGGGGTTGCGCTCCCTTATTTAACCTTTATTTAACCAGGTAAAAACCCGTTGAGATCAAGATCTCATTTACAAGAGTGACCTAGCCAAGAAGTCGGCAGCACACATCACAATAATAAATAATAATAAAGAAGAAAATGACCTCCAGAGACATAATCAAAAACACCCTTCCTTCATACACAAAGCTACACTGCGTACATACATACATATGTAATATGCATACTTCACTTCCCTCCTGTTTACAACTGCTTCCTCAAGATGTCTCATAACCTTTTTTAACTTCACCCCTACAAAACTGCTGATGTTTTAATAAAAAAATTAAAATGTGTTAAAATGATAACCTTGCATTTCAACTACCCCTAGACTTAAGCTTTGGAGAAACCCTCAAAATAAACAAGTTGTCAAACAGTCACAAACTCCTTTTTTTGTTTTATAAAAGTTGACATCATAATTACATTGAAGTTAGGTCAGCGACATCCAGACCTAATTTCAACCTGTTATCACTCTACTGTCAATTAAATCCTAATATTTAAATATTGTCTGGTTGTTACTGGGAACCATTTACAACCATGGTGTTGACAACAAATGTAAGAAATGTAATCTAATCTCATAATTATTTGTTCCACCAGTTTACTGAAGCCTTTCATCATTTTTGAGTTCTGAATCCTTTCCTACAGACTGAAAGAAGCTACAGGCAAACACAGCTGCACATTTATTGCTATCAGAGCGTAGCAGCGGTTATTTTCTGACAAGTCTGGTAGAAAGCTGAAAAGGTCAGCTATTTGTTCCCTTTGACCTTCAATGTAGAGAACAGACGATTTTTATTCCTGTAATTTTAGGACATTGCCAGGACCCTTATTATCAAGTTAGACAGAATATGGTTTTCTCTTGAAATATGAAAAACTAATAAAGATTTATTTTGTCTATGATGAGAAACCATGAGCTTTTCCAACCATCAACTGCTTTTAGTACTCCAAAAAATTCAATTTTGGTTCCAGTCAGATTTTTCTGTTCTTTTTCCTTCTTATTGGCAGTAAACTGAGTATCTTTGAATATCTGTAGACAAAAACAAAGGTATTGCTGGGCCTTTTAAAATGTGTGTCTACATTTTCTTATTCATTTTTGACATTACAGATGAAGCAAATCATTTATATCTAAAATTATTGTTAGTAAGCTCCATAGTTTTAGCTCATTTAAAACAGACAGATATGTTAATGCTGTATACTAAATGTTCATGCAGTGTGTGAAGATGTTTTTCAGTACGTTAACCCTCTTTGTGTCTCCTTGCAGTGGCCGGCTGTTGGTGGGGACCTTTGTCGCTCTCTTCTTCAATCTGCTGACTCTGCTATCCGTCAGAAATAAACCCTTTGCTTACGTCTCTGAAGGTACAGTCACCCCCTCCCTGCTCTCCCAGTTCAATCTTGTTCTTATCTAATTTTTTTATTTTTTTATAGGGGCAGGCTGGATTAAGTTATTTTTGTTTTCTGGGTTTTCTTCCCTGGTCAGTTGGGGTTTGGTAATCCACAGTGTCACTAGGGAGCAACAACAATTTGGCTTTTGTTATATTTTGGTGGATTACTGAAGTGAAATGAAATGCTTGCTCACTGTTTTTGTTGGTACAAACAGTAAATCACAGAAGGCAGCAGAGGGATCAGAGGTTAGTCCTTTCCTGATTGTAGAAATCAGTGGGTTATAAAACCAAAACACAGTTTGTTCAGAAATTTGACAATATCAGTTTGTCAGATTACCTTCTGAAGATTACTCGGGGTTATCCTGAACAGAGGAACAGGAATGACGTGTGTTGACACTTATCGGCTGCATATGAAGTGGATTTAAAAGAGACATGTCAAATGTCACTACAGCTACACAAACAATAATAATCTCTATTTAGAGATTCTATGTGAAGGGTTGGACTCTGACAGTGGTAGGGGAGACTGGGTTTGGTTGTAACATTTAAAAAAAAAAATTTTTGCTACTTTTTCTTGTACTACAAAAAAAAAAAAGAAACAATTCAAACCCCTAAAAGAGTATTGTAAACATAGAAAGAGAGAGTGTTCCTGATTGGGGGAAATGTTTACCTGCCCGTGTTTCAACCATCCCTGGTCTCCCCTACTGTTCTGGTTTCTGCTGGTACATCGCAAGCAGAGTTGCCTCATCATCATGTATCGGCAGGTTTGTGTGTTTGCATGAAAAATCTGTCCTCACATCGACTGGCACCTTGGCTCTTTGTAGCTAACAATCTGTTCAAGATCTGAACCTTTATCTTGACCCTATGTCAGAAAAAGACTGTCAGTGTTTGGATTTTATTAGTTCCTGGATGTCCCACCTTCATTGAACAGACATGCATTTTTATCCCGACTCAAGAACAGTCTTGACAAAGCTTGGATTTTAACTTTTAGAAGTCTGTATCATAATGCAGCTGTGGCAAAATCAACAACAGTCAATCTCAGGTGAATGACTAAGAAATGTTCCTTTTCAGTGAAGTCTGCCAGAGTAAAGCCTCTGTGTAACTGAGCATCTACAGTGAAACTGAGACTCACCAGAACAGGCCCCCTCCAAATAATGTCATGACCCAAGTAAATGACAGTATTTCTCTTGGGAGATGTATTTGACAGGGTCATTTTGACCCCACTTTTGATGGGGACATTACTTATCAAGTTACAAATTTTGTGTCAATTTTGTGTCATAATTGTCACTTGGATGCAAAGAAGTCATTTCTTATTACAAACCATCCATCCAGTTAAGAAGACCTTGAACACAGACCACGTGAATAGACTATGTATAAGAAAATACCAAAAATACTGAAAATAACCAGGTGAGCTGTGTGTGCTGACTTACACAGCCAAAATGTTGTGAACCCAAGGGAGCGACAAGTGATGTATCAAAAACAGCAAAACTAGGGCTGTGAGATAAATTGGTTAAATTGAGTGGATTGTAAATATGTATTTGACTTCTGCGGCATCTATCTGACATCATTATCAGCCACCTGAAATGTATGAAGTCTAAGGTCAGGTAAACCTCAGGGACAAATCTCCTGAAGTTTTCTGGAAGTTCCCCTCAGTTCATGCCTGAGAACAGCTGACCAAAGTTTTTTTCCCTCTACTAAGACACTGTGTCATCCAAACGACCTCCTGTCCTCTCAGATATAGTTGATGTAGAGAAGCGCAAAAGTACACGTACATGTTCAGAGAAAACTACCAAGACATCAACATGGAAACTTAGGGTAAAAACACATCGAACAATTTTGATGCAGTGGAGACACACAAGTAAAAGGTCACTCACACACACACACATGTACACACACAGCTGAGTGGGAGGCCATGTCAGGCCAGTGTCAACCTCAGGACATATTAACCTCACTGAGACCCTGTTTGCACAGACACACTGGAACAGAATCTCCTCCAATCCTCCTCTACTTTCTTTTTCTCCTGTCATTGGTCCTCTCCTCCCTCTTCTCAGTGTTTTAGTTCCTAATTTTTTTACTCATTTTAGCCCTCTCCTCTTCTCTACTCATTTTCTTTCCTCACTTATTTTACCGTCTTTTCTCTGCTCTTGCCTACTTTCACAACCTCATCTCCATTTTCCATGCAAGGTTTATTCCTCTTCTCTTTCCCCTCTTTTACTCTGCTTCTTTTCCTCCCCTTAAAAGTTGCATTTATCTCTCCTCTCCTCTCTTCTCCTTTCCTTTCCTTTCCTTTCCTTTCCTTTTCTTTCCTCTCCTCTCCTCTCCTCCTTTCTCCTCTCTTCTCCTTTCCTTTCCTTTCCTTTCCTTTCCTTTCCCCTCCTCTCCTTTCTTCTTCTCTCCTTTCCTCTCCTCTCCTCTCCTCTCTTCTCCTTTCCTTTCCTCTTCTCTCCTTTATTCTTCTCTCCTTTCCTCTCCTCTCCTCTTCTCTCCTCTCCTCTCATTTCCTTTCCTTTCCTCTCCTCTCCTTTCTTCTTCTCTCCTTTCCTTTCCCCTCCTCTCCTCTCTTCTCCTCTCCTCTCATCTCCTCTCTTCTCCTCTCCTCTCATCTCCTCTCTTCTCCTCTCTTCTCCCCTCTCCTCTCCTCTCCTCTCCTCTCCCCTCCTCTCCTCTCCTGCAGCATAGTCACTATCTGTATGAGCAGTCTACTGATGAATGAGGTCAGTGTGTGTTTGTGTGTGTGTTTGTGTTTGTGCGTGTGTGTGTGCGTGTGCGTCAGCTGTCTGCTGTTGTGTTCGGAACAGTCTCAACATCACTTAACATCTGACATTTTTGGATGGGAGGGGGAATGAAACTACACACAAACACACACAGGCACTTTACGATGTGAAAACACACAGTGTCTCTCAGTCATTTCACACACACACACAAACACACACATACACACTCTCTCTCTCTCTGACAGAGCGGGACTAAAAGTGCATTATGCAACCGTGTTCCAGACAGTGGTAATGTAGTGTGCCAAAGGGCCGGGCAGATGAGAAACATGCATGTACGTGCACACACCCACCCACGTACACACACACCCACACACACACATTTATATGCACACACACATTTTCAGAAACATCGCACACTCTCCTTGTACACACAGATCATAAATAAGTCACTCTATTAAAATGTTTGTTTAGACTGACTCACCCGCGTAGCAAAACAAACAACCCCCCTACACACACACACACACATACACTCACACAAACACACTCAGGTCGTAGCAGGATGTGATTCAAAGGGCCTTTGACCTGGCGCTGTGCCTTCGGGCCTCATAGTGTCTCCGAACATTAAAGGTAGGACTGTGTGGCGAAGCGAGAACGCTTATCTTTTTTATAGCAGAGTGTGTGATCCCTGGCCCCTCCCTCTTTTTTTTCCTCCCACCCCCAAAAGTATTTTTAACCCAAATCAGGACAGAAAAGATGACTGCCCCCTGCTTGTATCTGTTTGAACAGTTTAATGCTGCAGTGTGTTTGACACCGTTTGATGTAAAACTGTTGTGGAGCACACGCTGCCGAAACTTATGGGACAGAGCTGGAGCAGAGAGATTTGAAGTGAAACAGCTGTGTGTCTCCATGTTTTATGCAACATTTAGCCAGAACAATGTTTCTACTCTTGTTTCCATCCAAACTGTAAGGCTCTCTTATGCCTGCCTCACGTCAGACAAAAGGAAAGTCATACTCCAAAGAACTTGGTTTCATCTGACATGAGCATTTAAAAACACAAAAACAAGGTGTTTTATATACATATAATGACATGAGGGAGATTTTTTTAAATTTTCATTTCAAGGTAAAAGTCGAAATTTCGAGATTAAAGTTGAAATTCAAAAACGTCGAAATAAAAAAATTGCGAGATAAAAAAAAAATGCGAGAATAAAGTCGTAATAAAATCATTACTTACAAGAATTAAGTTGAAATATAGTAATTACTTATTAAGTTGTAATAAAGAAATCACGTATGAGAATACAGTTGAATTAAATCATTACGTATGAGAATAAAGTCCTTGTATTCTAACATTTTGTTTCAGATGACAGTTGTTGAAAAAAGAGCCATAGAGCATTTCGTGAGAATTTACGTCAATCTAGGTTTCTCAAACAAGGAGATACTTAATCTTTTGCCAAATCAGCACCACATTATCAGAAGTATCATAACGATTTTATTACGACTTTATTCTTGTAAGTTCTGATTTCATTACAACTTTATTCTCGTTAGTAATTACTTTATTATGACTTTATTCTCATTAGTAATTACTTTATTATGACTTTATTCTCGTTAGTAATTACTTTATTATGACTTTATTCTCGTTAGTAATGACTTTATTATGACTTTATTTTCGTCAGTAATTATTTTATTATGACTTTATTCTCGTTAGTAATTACTGTATCATGACTTTATTCTCATTAGAAATGACTTTATTCTTGTAATTTATCGACTTTAATCTCGAAGTCTTCATTTATTTTTTCTTAATGTGGCCCTAATACTCCGTCGTATGTAAAGGATATCAAGGTTCACAATTTTTATTAAGATAATTATTACAAAACCTAATATCAATAGGAACTTGAAGTAAGAAGGGGCAAAGAAACAAACAGATCAAAGAGGTTTCTGAAGTTAATTATTTAAAGCTACTTCTTAATCTTAATCGAACACTATTCAACATGCTTCATACTAAAGATACCTCTCTGTCTTTCTTTCTCTTTTAGCGGCCAGCAGCAGTTGGCTTCAAGAACACGTGGCAGATCTCAGTCGAAGGTGAGAATCTTTTTTTTCTCATTCCTCTGTTTGTTGAAAGTCTTATTTTGGTTTCAGGATAGGAAGGGGTAAAGTATGAATCAAGAGTGGGAATTGATTGTCAGTAAAGTGCAGAGAGCTGGACTAGAACCCAGGCCACTGGCTTCAGCTATATCCATTCACAATCATGAAAGTTGACTGCGAGAGCACTTCCTGAATGTATTTCACAGCAAAAGTCTGAATGTTCGTTCTGTGGAGAGAGTCTTCACAGTGCTGTTATTCTGAAGCTGTTAGTGAAAAGTGAACAATTTTGCATAAATAACGTTGGCTGCAACTAACTTTTCAATTTTGAAAGTTCAATTTTCTTTCATTGACGACCAATTACAGCAGATCCAACTCCTTTTAGCTCCTTTTTGTAGAAAATTAACACCGATGGCTTTGCTGAAACTCAACATTTTGATAGTGGTTTATCATTTTAATAGTTAATGATTTTATTTCGAGTTAAACTTCTGGAAAGTACAAAGCTGACAGCAGCAACTCTGCTGGTCGTGGCCGTGTTGTACCAAGTCAGAGCCGTCACACAGCCGGTACACATCCAGTATAAAACAAGTGTTTTAGTCCTCACCTGTCTCCCTCTCTCTCTCTCTCTCTCTCTCTCTCTCTTCCTCTCTCTCTCCTCTCTCTCTCTCATCCTCATCAGCAGATTTTAGTCTTAGGTAGGAACAGGAAGGATCCTCTTACACTGACTCAACACAAACTCAAACACACTCACAGTGGAAGCGTGACCCCTCCTGTGCGTCACTGCCCACAGTGTCAGTCTGTGTGTCCAGGTGTGTGTATATATACTGGCACAGATGGCCTTCCTCGGAGGTCAAGGGTTACTTTCACTCACTGTGTTAGACATTAGGTCACAGGGTCAAGGGGTCGAGGGCAGGGCTTGAGCGCTTGCTGATTGGCTCATTGATTGAGCTTCTTAGAAAGGGCTGTAAGTAGAGGAGGAAGAAGTAACTTAATCTTTTACTTCTGTGAAAGTGAAAAAACTACTTAGCTCTAAGAAACAAACTACAGAGAAAGTTAATGGTCTTCATTTTTAGAACTATTAGGTTTCTTTTGGATTATTGACTCGATAGTACAAAGTCTCTGTCTGTGTTTTACAACTGTATCTGATGTTTTCATCTACATGTTATAACCATATATGTGTCTCATACTAGAATAGATGGTCCTTATTTGGACTTGTTTTTTTTAACAAAGTGTTGGCTAGTTTAAGCAACAGGAAGGAATCTTACTTTATAAAACTGTCATAAATTTGTAGTAAGTATATTAGTAGTATTCCCAGTTTATGTTTTAGGCAGACCAAACTTGAACTTTGATCCTTCATTCTTACTATATAAAAAACAGCACAGTTGAAGATTGAAGGTTTTCACTTGATAGGAAAGTTTTCAAAACTTCAAATCTGTCAGATCTTTTGGTCAACAGTTTGATATTGACCTGAGGTGTGACGTCACTTGAAGGTAAATTATTAAAATAAAGTAGAAGTTAGTGATAGTTTGTACTTCAAGTGCTGTCCATGCATGTTCTTCTCTACAGTGACATCATTATACGCCCACAAATACACACACACCTTTCACGCTTGTGCTTGTTTCACTGAAATATATCTACTTTCCTTCATTTATGATTTTGTGTATTTAAAAACTGTTCAAACTGATGGGATATCTATTGACTTTTGTTGACATCTAAAATGGTCACACTTTTTCACTCAATGTAAAAACAAAAACTTGATAAATCTTTTTTTAGGTCGATACAGAAAACTTTTAAATTTTTAATACCTCTCCAGAAGTAACTGAGTTGTAGTAGTTGAAGTAATTGTTGTAGATGGTGATCTACATCTTAAGAATTCATCACGTTTTCCCCTTCTTAGTGTAGCATTTTATGGAGCTGTGTTTGGTGTCCTTGTTCCTCCCTGCAGATGTGAGATGGTGATGTCTTTGTAAGCAGGGATCCAAAATTCAGACCAATGACACTTTCTGTAAACCTGATATTAGTGCTTGAATGCAAACTGACACTTTCCACTGGGATTAAATATCACTGAGATTTTGTAAAATAGTTCCTGGTAGAACTGCAAATGTTGTCTGGTTTCTGCTGAATTTCAGCCAGTCAGGAGAAAAACACTTAAGAAGCCGGTTTTAAACTTTAATGGCTCACTGCGCCGCTTCAAACCAGGATGAAAAACACTGTTTATGATGTACCAAAATGTTGAAGCCTGGCCAGTACACCAGCAGAGCTGTTAGGGTTAATTTTGTTGTACATGTAGTGTAGCTGATGAAAATTACGCCTGAGATGTGACAAGAAACTAAAGCTCTCAAAAAGAGACCACTATCCCGTATGTTTGAGGTCAATAACAAAGTATTTCTCGACTAAACGTCCACAGACAGGTTTATCATGTAGACCTCAAGTTTAATATCTAATCAATCACAGCTTACAGTTTCTCACAGGCTGCTCTCTGTATCAATAATTCATCAGAGTCAGTCTTCACTGATCAGGCTTATTCACATCTCTCCAGCATCAGGGAGGAGGATGTTGTAAAATAGGGCAGCAGAGGGCAAAGTCACTCTGATGTGTTCATCCCTTCATCAGGGTCTCTTGAGATGTCCTGGGGGCTGAATTTTCTGCTCTTCTGCTGTGACACATTGGATAAAAGACAAATTATTACGACACAAGCTCAGTTTAGTTACCCAACGTCCCATGTGTGTAGGTTCGGGATATTTAGTTGTTGTTTTTTTTTAGGGGTTGTTATGCAGTCTGGTACAGAGACAAAACTCAGTGTGCTCAACTATTTATAGATCAAGAACATTTCCTCCGCACAATAACACAACTACCAGCCTTAACCACTGGCGAAGGGCAGATGCCCTGGGATTATTCTCAAAAGACATGGTTTATTTAATGTTGGACTAATTTGATTTTTTTGCAACATTTTCATGCAAGTCTAGAAACTTTGATTCATAGAAATCCTTCAAGAGAAGAGGTGTTTTCTTGACATGTTTTTAATGAAAGTTAAAGCATTTAAAGCAGGTTAAATTATACCTAAAGTGCTTGACATGTTTTCTTTCTTTATCTGCAAGGATGCTTATTCATAATAGAAGCGAAGGAGAGCTATTGATGTACCACTAAATTGTATATTACATAAAATAATAGCATTTTGTGAGTCTTCCAAGTTGATTCAAAGCTGAGTAAACTCCTGAAACCAGAGCACTCATCTTTCCACTCCTCCTCGCTCCTCCACATCCTTCTTTAGTTGCTTTTGTAACATTGAGACCAACTCAAGAACAAAAACTGATGTTCTGTGTCAACCAATGCGATGAATTTTACATCCAACTGTGAATTCCCACATCTAAATCGGAAAGTCTGCACACATGCACACACACGCACAAACACACACACACACAGTATCACTTTGGCGGCTCAGTTAGTGCAGGTTACTCGGGCCGACAGCCTGGAGAATTCGGCAGCAGAACTGAGCTGTGATTGGACGAGAGAGCAGAAGTGAACAGGACGTCCCAGCCTAGTTTCCAGCGAGTGTGTGTGTGTGCGTGTGTGTGTATTGAAGCTGCCTGCATGTGTGTGTTTGCTTGTAATGTGTCTCTGTGTGTTTCTGTCTGTGTGGTAATAGCTTGTCCCTACTTAACCTTAGCAGGGTCTGAGGGCCAACTGGGTTATATAAAGCTCGCTGCTCTGTCAGCCTCACCAGCCAAACGCCCAGATCTGTGTGTGTGTGTCAGTGTGTCTGTGAAAGTTATCTTTGGCAGCAGTGAGGGACAGATATTTTTAAGTATGACGGAGGGGGAAAAAAAGGAGTTTGGCAGATAAAGAATTTTAACAAATGCAAATTCAACCCCCTGTCACATTAGCTTAATTTGAGAATGGCTGTAATATCAGACTTTATGTAAGATATATGAGAGTTAAGTTCAGATAAGTTCACATCTTTATCTTAATATTTAATCCATCATAGCCTTTATAACATACACAGTGCATTCATTTTTTAAACAACATTATATTTCAGATATTTCTGTCTGGATCAGGCGAAGTCATATTGATTTGATTTTAGGTCAGTTTAAGTGCTCATTGCAAACATTTACATGTGTATTCATCCTTGTACACTCTCTCTGTGAAAAAGTGTTTCAAGCTGCTACGATCGCTCCAGCTGTCCTCCTGATATGCAATGAAAGACAGACAGTGGAAGCAAAGCAAACACCAGGACAAGCTTGCATGATTGTCCGTGGCTCTGATTTGATCCACAGCAAAATGATCCAAGATAAAGCTGTCCAACACCTGTGTTAGTCAAAAACATGTCTTATGCCCTTCTTTATGATCCATTTGACTCTAAACAGGATGATTATTGACAAAACGGACATCAGGAAGTATTCGGCTTTTGTAAGAAATAGGAGAAATAGAGCAGAAATAATGAGTTGTTCATAATTATACCCTCTTTTGCAACCTAAGAGTCACTCCTTGTTGGCTGTTGGAAAGTGAGCAGGCTCAAGATGGTTCTGCTCTGTTTTTACAAACCCTGATCGCAGATCCACTTCTTATAGTGAGTCTTTGAAAAACATAAATCAATACCTGATCAAATGCAGCAGGGAAGCATATTGGTGTTGTCTTATTTTAAAGATAGTACACCTTGTAAACGTTGCTGTTGCATGTCATAACAACCTCTTTAATCTGGTTTTATAGGCAATAATGACGGGCAATCATGAGGATTTGAAGTGTCTGACACATTGGATACATCTTGAGTATTCATGTCCAAACACTAGAGCACAAAATGACGTATTAATTAGAGCAAAGTGGCATTTCTTTTATAAAACCTTCCATCACAAATGTCGAACTCTTTCCCCAGAGAATCAACTTTCAACTTTCAGAGTAAGATCATCTTCTGGTTTTGTCCCACAGAGTAGACCTAAATCTGCTTTAGATAACTTTGTGTCCCTGCGTGATCAATTGTATAACTCCTCTCAGCTCTTCCTCATGTATTCACCATCATGTGATTGTAACTGTGACTCTGAACCTCCTTTTTTTTCCATCACATCACACAGGCCTTGTCATGTAATGTTCAGTTTTTGCATGTGCGTCAATGAAGCCATGTCCTAAATGGTTAATTAGGTGTGTCCCTCTGTGGTCTGATAAAAGTCCACATGCTCACAGTCTTTAGGGGCATCGAGGATGTATGAGGGGTTCATGTCTTTGACATCAAGGCCTGGGTATTTTATTTTCCTGTATGAAATTTAACAAAATGTTTTAGCAAAAAAAAAAAAAAGTTAAACTGCAAATCTTTACTCAACAGATATCGTCAGTGACAGTTTTTTGACCTCAGTCCAATGTGGAGCCAACAGACTGAGATCAAGTGTTTGTTTTTCTCTTGCCTTTAATCCGTCGGTCTCTGTCTGCAATGTGTTTGGATTAACACACACATACACTCCCGAGGTCACATGTCAAATTATATCAATGCATCAAGGGGGATTATGGGTTCACTGGGATTGTCAATCTCATCCTAAACTCTCCACTTTCTTTTTGCTTTTCCTATTTCCCTCTGTTCCTTCATTCCTCTCTCTCTCTCTCTCTCTCTCTCTCTCTCTCTGTCTTAAAGTCTGTCAGTTTGTCTTTCATTGCTCATTGCTCCTCTCATTATTTCTCTTCGCAGTCATACTGGGCGGCTTCATTTCCAGCATTGTGTGAATAGTGTCTAATTTAGAAATGTCGAGTCACAGTCCAGGGCTTGTTTGCCTTTACTGCCCCTAAAATAATCTTCTGTTCTTGAGGTTTATTTAATCCCGGTAAAAACAGCTTGGGGAAGTTTTTTTTGTCCATTCTTTAGATTAAATACACAAATATATTTACAACCACAGTGGGTCTGTGAGGCACCGTTCAATATAGCTGCATGATGAGGACACTGCACAGAGGAAAATATCATTTGGGTGTGTAAATGAAATTTATTCTGACTTTATAGGGTAAATTTATTGGGATGCATACATTGAGTAATTTCTCTCCTTTTCTCGTCTCCTCCTACAGAACATGTTTGACAGAATTCTTATCTTTGTCCCTGTTCTGTGATTTAAGTCTTTATCTGGTGGCAGAAACCTTGCCTCATGCAGCCTCGTCTGCGCTCCTCCTCATGTTTGTGACAGCGTTCGATGCTATAGGCCATGGCAGACTCAGAGCGTTGGCCTTTGACGTATTGGAAATTCAATCTGACACATAGCGCAGGAACGATCTGACTGGATGAGCATTCATTGACCCGTTAATTGGTTCTGGGAACACGCTGTAACAGAGGGAGGGTACCGGTTCCACCCTGTTTTTGGGAATTACCTGAATGTTTGCGGGGGAAACCAGACCATCTGCACTTAGCCGCAGAGTGCTAACTCATGTCAGCGGTGTCATTTATTCATGCAGGAGGGGCAATCCAAGGAAGAAGCCTTACCTTAGCTTTTGACTCAGTTTTAATCAGGCTTAAATTTTTGATCGACTTTTTTATTCCATTACTTAACCTCTATTTATTGTCTGTTCAGAGGATAACCATGCAGCAAAATCAGTCTTACTTTGTCAATTTGTCTAATAAAAAGCTGTTGAGGTGGGGGTTTGGCTAAGCGGTTAAATCAATGTGTCCCAGGTATAAAAACCAAAGTCCCCAAAGCAAGCAGTCTGGGTTTGATTCCCACCGGCAGCTAGGGCTGGGTAACAATACGATATATATTGAAAATTAATTTCCCTCAGTATCAATAATAAAACATGGTCGCTATTCTTCTCAACAGTCGGCATTCTGCCATGTTTTGGTAGACTATATGAATAGCCAATGAAAAGGGGAGTTGCTCCGGGTCTGCTTCGTGCTGAACCAATCATGTGCTGAATTAGAACCAAGTAGCAAACAACCGTGTAGTAGCAGGCTGCAGCTACAAACAACCATAGCACTTAAAAAGGTGAAGCCGGCAGTACTGTAAGTGAGAAAAAAATGAAATTGAGAAACAGCAGAAACGACACTGGCACGAAAATGTCAGTGGTGTGGAGGTATTTTGTTTTTTTGAGGTCGGACATGAAGCAGAGTAATGTGCACTGCAAATTATGTCGAGTACATGTTCTCACGAAGTAGGGGTATATCTCAAATCTTTTTCACCACCTGAAACAGTGCTACATGGCAGAGCACGTACAGTGCAAAAGGTTACAAACCCAAAACGGAGCAAGGAGCCCATGGCGCCTGTGCAGCCGAAACAGCCAACCGTTCAGTCTGCTTTCTCTAGCGCAATGCCTTAAGACAAAACGTCAAAGAGACACAAAGACCTCGAAGATGCAGAAGCTTATTGTATTGCAAAAGACATGCTACCAATAAGCACTGTTAAATTTCATTTTTTATATCCTGATGTACATCGATATCGACTGATATGAAAAAAAATATATTGTGATAAACTTTTTCCCATATCGCCCAGCCCTACCGGCAGCCCTTTACCACATTTCAATCTTTTACCACTCTATTCGCTGTGCTATTCTCTCAACAAAGGCATAAAAAAGCTTAAAGTAAACTTCATAGATAACATCTGTCTAGACCACTTTGTTAACAGTTTAAAATGAAGGTTTTAAAGCAAAAGCTGAGCAGTCGAACTCTTTTCTGATGCTAATTATGTATCAACAGAGGGTGCTAATATTGTTTTGCTTAGCGTCATCACTTTCCTCACATCTGTGGATAAATAAAGGCTTACAACCTAAAGATCGGGCAGTTCACTGGCACTGAGACACAATTGTTATCACATCCTCAACAGGGCAAGTACCGTCATTATCTATCCTAAATAAAAGCACATCTGTCCCATCATCCATGAGCAGCACATCAAATCCTAAACAGTCACTGAGTGGTGTTTTAATTTTGTATTGTAATAATTGGTTTTGACAGGAGTATTCACCATGTTTAGCCATCCGTAGTATAACTCCAAATCTATGTCTCCATTGATTCATTATCAATGAATCTAAAACATTACTAGCTAACACAATGATAGATATTAGATTTTAGTTTGTATGTCATACTGTAGCTGTACACTGACTTTCTTTTTTTACCTAAATATTTACCTTAAAATAAATAAGAATTTACTTTTCACTTTTTAACTATTTAAAATTGCCGGATGGAAACCAAAATTCCCTTTCGACAAAATGTAACTGAGCCACTTTTTAACATCTACATTAATTTGATTAAATATTCATTCAAGTTCAGTAACTCTATTTTTAATTTGAAGTGTTTTTGAATTGTCTTATTTTGTCAAATGCCAAAAACCAAACTGACAAAAACACACTCGGTAGGTTTACATGCACAGCATAGCTGAGCTACAGTTAGAGCTCAATCAGGCGATTTAACTGGATTACTGTCTTTGTCCCAGTTTACAAGCACTGGGCAAAAATGGAATTACCAGCAGAGGCATGTCCACCTCTGCTGCGGTAGGTGGTGACATGCCCCATTTCTACTCCTTAATGTCAGGTTGTCTCCTGGTTAAAGTGTTATGTTTCAAAACAGTTAACAAAACGCGTTAGCAAGAGGCTTATTGGACATCACCATAGACTGTATAGAGAATATACTATATATGCTTAAAAACTGTAATTGAGCGACCACTAAAGCAGGAGTGGCAGCAGCAGATGACCATCAATGTTGCATGCACAGAGATGTTGCCTGAGTGACTCTCCAAGAAATTTTTCCTTTTAGTTTAATTAATTTTCTTTTTTGTTCAACCGTATAAGATTTCTATTAATCCCTTCATGTTATTGAAAATGGAATTTAAAACCCGGTATCTTGCATGATATCATGATAATAAGGTCTGCAGTCCCTGACCTGTAAGAAGCATTTAACTTACAGGAACTGAAGTTTTAGTTGTTGACGCAAAAAGGGAGCATGATGATTAAAGTTGATCATATGAGTGTCAGTTTCTCTACATAGTAATTACAAACCTTAAATGGGTAAGGAGTGTTTCCAGAAAGTCTCAGATCAGGGCCTCTGAAATGTCAAAGTCATGGCTGGTGCAAGGTTATCATTGTCTGTCCTCAGTGACCTCGTTCAGTTAAACTCACAGCAGTCAAGTCCTGCTGATTAAATCTCTGTTTTAGAGACCCGGATCTCACAGCTGTTCTTTAAACCTCCAACATCATGTGACCCTTCGTCCTAACACTATCCAGCATCACATCATAATGTTTCACATTGCGCTGCTTTACACCAAGTTGTTAAATCACATCAAACCTCATCATCTACATACACCTCTCCATGCTGTAGTGCCTTTAAGCAAGACATGTAATCTTCAGACCACTTTGTAGACATTGACTTTGGACATTATATGACCAAATAATGTAATATTGCTCTGTTTTATCATTCAAAATCAACATCTGGACACACTGATGTCCCTTTTTCTTGGACTGTTGGGTTCTTTTTGTGCTCTCAAGGGCTAAAACAAAAAAAAACTGAAATGAGACAGAAATGAAAAATGCAGGATTTCTTGAGTTCCTTCTCTGTCTCTGAGGCAGGAGCAGTTGGATGTAAATTCGCCAGAGCTCAGGCTCCTGTCACCAAGCATAGACCAATATAACATGAAACAAAACAAGAATGATCCAATCAAGTCCAGTTCAAGTCCACTAAAGTCCATTAGGACGGTGTGATCGGGTTAAAGGCCTAATCCTAAAGACAAACATAAACATGAGGAAGCCACAGCTTAGCGAGGAGGAGGAGGGAACAGACACAGTCCTCCTGAGACCAGAGTGAACAGATGGAGGAGCTGGTTTGTTTAGAGAAATATGAATCCGCTCCTGTTATTGTTTTTTGTCTTTTTGTCTTTTTTATTCCTGGGGTCAATTGGCTTACGCGGAGTCGAAAATTTATCTTGGGTTTGCTGCAGCCAAATAAGTGAGGTTAAGTCAACAAACTTGACCGGCTATAAGATGTATGTGTAAACATCACAAATCCTCACAGATAGTGCACGCTAACTTTCAGAACTTATTTTTTGTTTGTTTGGTTGTTGTTTTTTTTTTGTTGGTTTTTTTGGTCTAACTTTATAATAATCAAACTGCTCTCCAAACATAAAACCTGGAAAATCAAAACAACCGTCAACAAAGTGTATTGATTTTGAATTTCATGTTTAATGTTTTAGGGTTTTTTTATTCTTGTCTTTTTCTTTTCTGTAAAAGTTTTAAACCTTTATTTTCTCCTGTACTAACTGGACTGTTTAGCTGATGTTCTGTGACTTGAACAACATGAATACAGGTCACATTTAACCAGTACAGTTACAAAAATGAACTTTTGTATTCAGATTTTAGTCACATGGTTGTTTATTTTCTCTACTATTCGTTTTCACATAAATGAAAATTACTGCATTATGTTAAATGAAAACACCTGGTAGATTCTTGACATTTTTATCCTCTTATTGCTCGTTTGTGTTGCCTTTGGAATTTGCGAACACTTTATAAAATGTCATATTTTCTTTAACAAGTTTCATTCTAAATTACTGTTTTTACCACTTTTTCAGAAATCCAATTCATTAGTAGAAAAGCCCTTGATATAAAAAATATATCAGCCGAAAATATTTGCTTTAGATAAAGAAACACATTTTTTTAAGAAAGGACATTTCAGTTTCCAAAGTTGTAGGTAATCAGTTTTCTTCTGATTAATCATCCACAGAAGTTTGGAGCTTTAATGCTCAACAATATCTAAAGTTTCTTGCTAACTTGAAAACCACTAAAATATCCCAAGATGATGGTGTGCACTAATCCTGTGTTTGTGTTGTCTTTTTTGCAGTTTGTGTGGCATCATTCCTGGTCTGAGCAGTGTGCTGCTTCCTCGCATGAATCCGTTCGTCCTGATCAACATGGCCGGAGCTCTTTCTCTCTGCATCACCTACATGCTCATCGAAATCAAGTAAGAATTCACCTCCCTCTGAAACCAGCTCAGCATCACTCTTCATCAGACTTGGCCAACATTTTGAAAAGAAGAGCTGCTTGCTTTGATGAGGTGACTTTCTGTCCCTGCTTTAAACTGACCTGATCTTAGTCACATCTGTCCTCGTGTTGAACATCCCAGTGGGGAAAGAACATGCAGAAAGCGGACAGAAAGTAAGACTTTTTGATTGGTGGCAAAAGTGTAGTGACTTGTTCCTTAAATCATTTAGAGTGATGTGATAAAAATGTAAAAAGCAGGAGTTCACTGAGGGTTCATTTAGAGTGACATTTACATGTTTCGACCAGCTCAACTTATGGAAAGGAATAAAATACAGTCGTAAAACATCATTTTGTAGGTAAAGTCATCAGATATTAGAGATACATTTTTTTATAACAGAATTGCCCAGCATAGGAAAAACTTGGTTAATGGACCTTCAATTTCGAGTGTTTTTAAGATAGTCTGAAGTACTTTCTTACTGGTACACCCTCCAAGGGTTTCCACCACAGAAGATCAAAACATTCCCCACCATCCCTGACCTCAACAATCCAAGATGGCTACTTTATGGATCAGAAGCAGAAACAGCATCAGTGTTGTGCCATCTGTCAGCATTTCTATCCATCCTGTTGCAGTGTGTGCACTTTCATAAAACTTTATCCTCTGGTATTGCTTAAATTTGCCTTTTTCATCCATACACTACTCTTCTCAATGTATTCCAACATTACCTTAAACTGAATGATTGATTCCTCTTTAAACTGTTCTAACAGTCTGTATGAATCCTTTTCCTCATGTTTATTTTATTCTTTGTGTTAACATGCTTAAATGTTATCCCCTGTTTTGTGTTTGCTTAGCAACTATAACGCAGTGGACACAGCCTCGGCGGTGGCGATCGCTCTCATGACCTTTGGCACCATGTATCCCATGAGCGTCTACAGTGGCAAAGTGCTGCTGCAGGTATGAACAACACATCCTGAATCTTCAGCCTTTCGCTGACATATGTAAAGCTGCATGATTGTCATTACTGTGTCACCTCTCTTTCACAGACGACGCCGTCCCACATTATCGGCCAGCTGGACAAACTGCTCAGAGAGGTGAGAGTCACAGTGATTTTAGTAACCCTTTAGACTCAAATGTGGTCTTTTTTAATGTGTGTATGAGCTCTGACTGCACTCTAAATCAAATCCTCACTTGGAGACATTACATCTTAATAGAAAAAAACTGCTAAAACTTGATTCTTTTAGTGTCTGTGTGAAGAATTGTGTAAAGAGGAAAATTACTCAGGAGCAAACTGGTTTAATCAAAATATCACTACTTTGAATCCAGATGTATAGAAAAGACTAAAAAGACCTTTGGTGGTCTACTCTACACAGTCACCTAATTACCTGCAAATCAATGAACTGGAAATCATTCAGGAAAAACAGCAATTTCAAGCACCAGTCAGGAACTTTCATGTTGCGTTGGTGTTTGAGGACAAATAGGGAAACTGTAAAACCCAAGCGGTCATAGGTGCATGCATCATGAATATCTGTTTTCTTTTAACTGCAACAAGTTTTGAAAACAAAAATGAAAAATAATTAAGTGTTTCTCTTTTTGTCCAATCAGGTGTCCACTCTGGATGGCGTGCTGGAGGTTCGCAACGAGCACTTTTGGACTGTTGGCTTCGGATCTCTGGTATGTCTGTCAGGCAAAGAATCGAAAAACACAGAGCACTTGAAATAGAGCTTCTTTTATAGACGAGCTGTTAGAAACTAATACTCAAATTAAAGCTCTGAAATGAGCTGAATCAAATCAAATATTGCTAAAAAGGATTTAGACACTTGTTGCACTCTTTTCATGACATGTCTGTTCCTTGTTCCCTCAAACTTCTTATCCAGTGAAGTGCAAACTCGATAAGAAATACTTGCTGTAAATGTCAAATCAATAAGCAGTACTAGTGACAGAAGGTGCAGCCGAGGCTTCCTGGTCCCACAGGGTTTAGGGTCTTTGCCGCTATCTGATTCTGTGTCTCTCTCTATCCTGCCTCCTTGTTTTTATTCTGCTTTCTGTAATTATCCTCCTCTCCTCATATCTCTCTGTTAGTTAGTTTGTTTTGTTTGTCTCCATCCACCCCCCCCCACTCCTCCGTCTCGTCGATCCTCCTCTGCCATTCGTCGGTTCTGAGTGACGATCAGCGGTGAATTTGTTCACTCAGGCAGAAGGAAGGAACAAGTCATTCATGCGGAGATGTTCTCTCTCTTCCTCTCTTCCTCCCCCTCTTTCTCCAGATTTTGGAGGGAACACTGTTGATGTGTGTGTTGCGCGGTCATGGCCTGAGTTTCATGTTGTTGTCGTGACGGCACACATGCCCAGCTGCCTTCAAGCAACCGAGGGTCTTAGAAACCAAAACCTCGACACATAAACCCTGAGCACATAACATACGTAATCTGGAGGCATCTTGGCACAAACTCACTGAGGAAACAACAAATTAGGTTTTAACTCATTTGATCTGCTTTTGAACGTCAAACTATGACGGATAAGTTAACCACACGAGGCTCCTCATTGTCCCGCTGAAATCTACATAAACAGCAGATATGTGTAGAGAATAAATCTGACATTTTTAGCTCTGATGATTGGGTAAAACATGCACAACTGATTGGGAACATTAGAAATGGGTCATGAGAACAGAGGGTTTTATTACCAGAAACTATCAAATCTCTGTTAATTTATTAATATGAAATTCATATGACAGGGCTTGACACTAACTTTTTTTAGGAGGGAGCACATGTGCCCCTAAGTTGAAAAAGTAATGAGCACATAAAGGACTTTAGGGGCACAATGAAAATTGATCAAATAATGTGTGTCTTATTGGTCGACATAAGAACTATTATTTGAAATCAATTTTAGGTCAATTGGTCTCATGAAATGGAAGCTATTGAAGGAAAACAGCCTTTTTTGAGAACTTTAACAGGTAATTTATTGATGGTCCCTTACTCAACGCCCGACGTTGACAGCGAGGGTGGAGAGTAGATTTAGCCACGCTGCTGTTGTGATTCCCGGTAATGGAGAGTGAGAAGACATTGGTAGATCCACAGTGAACGTCTGTCAAATATCCAACCTGTAACTAACTTCACCACAGTGTTTACATGAAAAAGAAATGTTGCCTCAGCTGTTTTTTTTTATGCGAGCATGTGCCCCCAAATACATTCTACAATTTGCACACATCTGTTTTTAGTCACAAATGTGAGTAAAACGGTGGCACTGTCGAGCCCTGTATCAAAACGTGTATTTTAAAATGTGTGTCTAAAAGCTATAGACATCAAATATACAGTCAGGATTTTTGTCAATCTGTGTTTCTCGTCTCCAATCAGAAATTTGTCATTTGTCATCATTGTTGGTTTACCGTCAGTAGATTAAGTAGAGTAGCCCGGTGTCATTAGGGCAAACATCTCAAATGATCCTGCACCCCCCATAGCCGTGTCCCAGTACACAGGCTGCAGACTTTAACGATCCAATGCGTCACATCAGCATATTGATTTGGCCACATCGGGTGTATCCTTCATGGACAAACATATCTTATGATTTCTTGTGCGTCACCTCAAACTCATTATTTCAGAAAGGTCTACTCAGACTGACATTTGATGTTCTGCTGCAGAGTCCAGACTTCCAACTTTTTCATTTAGTACTTTGTTGTGTTGATGTGTTTTTTATTGATTTTAATATTCTACTCGTGTGTCTTTTAATTGCCCTGAAAGGCGCCCACAAATAAAATGTATTATTATTTTTATTATAATTAAACAATAATAATAATAAACTTTGTCCATCTAGCAAGGTTTTTTTGAAACCTTGTATTTAAGTGCTTCACAATATGAGGAGAAATAGAGGAAGAATAAAAATACTGACAGAAAACAGAAGGATACAATAAAACTGTTGACAAAATATAGCAGCAAGACATCTGGAATAATGCCAAAATGAATGGTCAACAAGAAAAGGTTAAAATTCAATAAAAGATGCAACTTAATTCAGTTAAAAGATAATGAAACAAGTTAAAAGTACACAACTAAATCATATCCAGTAAAAAAAGAACTCTTGAAAATGAGTTTAAAGGAGTTTAAAGGAGTTTAAGGAACTTGCCCGTCTGATCTTTTTGGACAGTTTGTTCCAGAGAGTGGGGGCCCTGCTCGGTCCTCCTTTGGTCCTCAAGCTTGGACTGTGGAACAGTCAGCAGACTCTCTCAGCTGAGGACCTCAGGGTACGATGTGGAAGGAGATCAGCGATATACTTAGGGTTAAGTCCAGATCGTTCAGTTCCTAAAATCAGCTCTCAAATTAACCAGTGAAGGGAGGCAAAACTGGGGGTGATATGCCGTCTCTGTTTCAACACAACAGTGAGCTTAAGAACACTAAAGAATCAAAAACTGATTCTTCTGCCTAATGATGAGGCAGTTGTGTCAATTTTAGTTTATTTCTTTTGTTAAAACTTTGATCCACATGTTAGCCACTCTCTCATACCGTGCCCGTGTGTGTGTCCGTAGCAGCTGTACCTTCTGCCGCCTGCAGGGGGAGCAGCGCCCTCTCTTGACCTTCTCCTTGACGTTTATCGTTGTTTTTATGTCTGTCAGCGATGCTGCGGCTCCTGTTGTCGTTGCCTCTGATGTTCCTGCAGTTACACAACTGTTGGTTGTTGGCCCACTGCTAACAGAGCAGCTGTCCAAACTGATTTGACCCCCTGACTGCACTTGTGCCCCACGGGAGACTCTGTATGTGTGTTTGTGTGCCTGTGTGTACTTATGTGTGCGCTCTGTCCTTTTAAGGTCTGAATGTTCCCATGAGGACAGTGAAATTAGCCAACACTGACAAAATTTAGAGTAGAGTTTGGTGTTTTAAGGTCAGATTTGAGAGTTCGAGGCTGAATGTTGAGGTGAGACATGCTGTGATGGAGGTCGTGGAGTCCTTTGGATATTTATTTAACCAGCTGTTAGTGTTTTTATTTATATATACAGAAACAACTGAGGGAATCAGACATTACAATTAGAATCACATGTTTCGGCGGAAATTAAGCGGCTCCCAGTGGTAACTATGGTTGCTATAACGAGTGTATTTTCTGGCTCTGAATGTTTTCGATGCACAGATGAGCCACACTTTAGACAGATGAAAACATGGACTGAGGCTGAGAGACGTCACTGATTGGTGTTTTAAGCAGTATGATGAATCCCTAAAATGGCAGGCGCCACACTGGAAACTAAAAGGTGGATTTGAGGCCATGTCCTCGCTGCCCAGTGGACAGTTTTACAAACCTGTCAGTCAAACTAACCAAGCACTCTTCCAAGCCACTGTCAACTAGGCAGAATCCTTAATCAAACTGAAGGAGTTGCAAGAAAACACACCCCTTCACGGTTAAAAATAATGAGCTACTTTTTTGCCAGGTGTCAAACATGTTTGATTCTGTGGTTTAGTGGGAATTTAACATTTTCATCCAGCTTTTCTCACTTCTATTTATACAGCAACTCATACCCCTTTTATCATGTGCAATATGGCACTTCACACCTCATTTATCCCACCAATTATCCCCCATTTCATATATTCACTCTCAGAACAAACGTCCTTGTGCACTATGTAAATATTCCTCTTATACTTTAATACTAATTTAATATTTTTGGATCCTTATTTTATTGTAATCCTCTCAGTACTTTATTGCGTGTTTTATCTGTACTCCTTTTGGGTCGAGCGGTCCTCTCATCCAGGGCATTTTATTGCATTGTTGACCTTGTTTAACCTGCATATGAGACAAATAAACAAATCTTGAATCTTGAGTCTTCTAGAGCAGAGGTTCTCGAGGCCCACTGTCCTGCATGTTTTGGATGTTTCCCTGCTCCAACACACCTGATTCAAATGATCAGCTCGTTATTAAGCTTGATAACGAGCTGATCATTTGAATCAGGTGTGTGTCTCAGCACCTATTTTCCAACATTTTCATCCTTTTTTAAAGTAAAAGATCATCAGCGTTATTTTCGTTCAGATTACAAATATAGACACTTATTTTTTATTGTCCACACCCTGCCCCCGCTCCATGATTTCTCTTTTCCTCTGCTCTCTTACTCATCTCTCTTTCTCTCCTCCTCTCTGTCTTTCAGGCTGGCTCTGCCCACGTCCGTATCCGCCGGGACGCCAACGAGCAGCTGGTTCTGGCTCATGTCACCAACCGGCTGATGCCTCTTGTCTCCACGCTGACAGTCCAGATCTTTAAGGACGACTGGACCAGACCACTCCTCACTGGGGCCCTATCCTCCTCCACCTCTGTCCCCCCTATGGGTGTTGCTGAGGGCTATACCCACACCCACTCCTCCTCCTCCTCGTCCCTGCCCCCTATGATGTACTCCTCCTCTGGAGAGCTGGACCCGCTGACTTCCACTCCCTCCAAACCCAGCAGCCCTCCTCCAGAGTTTGCCTTTGACACACCAGGGAGGAACATGCAGCCGGTGGTCCTCCCCACACCGGGACACCACACCCACAGGCCGTATGGAGGCCTGGGACTCACCTATGGAGCATCCCCCTATGCGGGGATGCTGAATCAGGGGCTGGCACGGCCTGGAGGTGGACTTGGACTTGGCATGCAGGGTCTAGGAGCGGGGTATGGTCTAGGTGTGGGTGGGAGTGGGATGCCTTCCTCTCAAAGCTACAGAACTGCATATGGAGGGTCAACAGCACCACTCGGGTTTGGAACCAGCAACCCTTTGGGTTCACAGGCACAGTACAGACAATACAGACCCTGATCATGATGGACTAGAACTCTGCTTCAGGAACTCTGAGAGGCTTCTTCTCATGACGGATTTGCTCCTTTGGCAGTAAGGGGGGTGATGCTGCAACTTTCAGTCCTGTTCAAAAACAAGGCCGCAACTTTAGAGAACAAATCCAAGGGTTGGGGAAAAACTGGCAGTGGGGGCATCTCCGTAATGTAAAGAGTGATGGAGGGTGTGTGATGGTATTTATTTAGTGACAGTGGGACCAAGAGGCGGATTCAGATTTTTGAGGTTTTTTTTGTCGTTTTAATCAAGATCTTAGAAAAGCACCATACTGTGGGAGAAAACTACGTTTCCATTCTAATTGTAACTTTGATAACAAGAAACATTGGGAGGAAATCTTTTTATAAAGCAACATTCCCTGAGAGGAAATAAAAGGCTTGAATTATATTTAGAAAATCACTGTTACACTACAGACTTCTGGCATTTTGAGGACACGAATTTAAAAAGTTGCACATTTGTTGGGTTCTCCATCACAAAATCAGTCATGATGAGGTCAAAGATGATTTTCTGGTGTCCTACAAAGACAAACCACAACAACAGTTTATTGGACCAAACTAAGAGATGAGGAGATTTGGAAACAGACATTGATTGTCTTGTAAATTTCAAGTTCAGTGTTCTCTAATTACTTGAAAAACATTGAGACATCTGCTCCAAAGTGTTGCCTTAAAATTGTCCTGAGTGTTTTTATCGCACATGTCCTGGATTCGTTCATGAAATGTTTACCTGAAACCAAAACATATGACTGCTTCTGTTTGAAAGTGAAATGTTCGGTTTGTCCCTCCCTTTGTTTTGATAATATTCAAGCTTTATTCCCCTCAGATTCAAATGTAGTTTTGGAATAAAATACTTTCATCCTTTGTTCTTAAAGTGTGGACGCTTAATACTGACTCATTGAAAAATCATCCAAGTGCAAATCTTTCTATTAATAAAGAATCTGGTGATGGAGTCTTTGTTTAAGGGGAATCATTATCAGTGAAAGCAGCTCTGCAGACAGCTCCACTCTCTCCTCCACAGTCTGGTCTGTCCTCTCTGTTTTTGAGTTATTCTAATTTTACATACTTGGCGAATTCTCTATTTTCTTGAGCCACATTCAGACATAAAAATACAGTTTGATAGAGTACATTTGTGTTATCTTTAGCTTTTGGAAACAGTGGGAAAGGACCATTTTGTGTTTCATTTTATTCATGAGTGATTTGAATCATCCTTTCTTCAATCCCTGCTAAGGCTGAGTGTGATAAAGCATTAGGTTACCTACAATTGCTTCCTCAAAGGTCACTGATCTAAAAGCCCTTAAATAATTAGAATATTAAACTAGAGTCTAAAACAGATCATTTCAGAGCAGAACAACACACTGACCCTTCACGTAGAAATTCTCTTTTTAAGCTGACATTTCAGTGACTCTCAGCCCTGCAGGTGATATAATCCATTTATGTTTTTTAAACAATGAGGAGCCTTTATTTATTTATTTATTTTTGAGAAAAAGCTTAACAGAGTCGCCAATTTCTTATATTTTCAACTTTTATTGAATAAAGGGAAAATATATTTTTTTTCAGCTGAACTCAAGTTAGAAAAAGAAAATCCCTGGCTGTTCAATTGCAGCTCATTTTGTGATTAATTTGCTTTTTTCACATTAGATGAGAAATTGCTCAGAATTTTTGACTGTTTGGCTTCCGTTGAGTGGGATGAAGGGTTTGTGATTACATCCAGTGCCAGTGATGCCACAGAGTCCACCTTTTCACTGAGCATTTTTTGGTCTAAAAGAGGTCTAATAGACATCTATGTGTAGCCTAGACGACTGGTCTAAAATCAGGCTACCACAGGTCTAAAAATGAAAGGTTCTTAGACGTCTAAGTTTAGACAGAAGACTAAATCTGGGCTATATCTATACTACACTGTATATTGCTCAATGGCTATCATAATAATTTTGGTTAAGTACTTGGAGATCAGTTATGCAACTCACAGTTGCTTTTTGAATTAAATATTTATCGAATAATGGGTTAAAGTGCAACGTCTAAATTTCATCTAAAAATATACAGAATCTAGACGGTTGACATTAGGTCTAAAAAAAAAAGGAGTCTAATACCCGTCTATTGCTTTGTGGGTTTACTCAACATCAACACAACACTTTCAGAGAGGGTTGAATCACATTTTTAAAAAAAAACATAGTATGGAAGTTATTGACAACTATTATCCTGTTCTGTCAAGCTTCCATCGGCCAGAATAATGTGATTTATGAAGGAGTTTGACCATGTCTATTATAAACTTCCTCCCCTTAGAGGCAATTACTATTTTTAACTAAAGTCATCATCATTTAACGACAGAGCACCATGGATCACGTTAGCTTGGGAAATAAGTTACATCCACTCAGATCCAACAACAAAAGATCAGATTTCAGACCAGGTTTCATACGGCCTAAAGGTACCACAAAAAAATAAGGTTTTAAAAAGGTTTATTTCTTCAATCGTCCTCTCTTAAATCTATTCCCCCACACAGGTGTCACTGATCCATATCAGTGGTTGATGAGTCTGTTCATTCCCCCAAGGCTCTGTTAGAGACCTCCTCATCAGATCCTGACATGAACCTCTGACCTCACAGCATCTGTTGCACTGTCCAAATCCCATCTCCATTTACTGAGCTGATGCGCTAGTAAGTAGATCAGCATTGGGTACTGTATGAAGGGGTTGGGATTCTTGTTTGTCCGGGGAAGTATCACTAAAATTTGCTCCTGTTTCTGACTAAAATTACCATCTATATCACTGGCTATTTGATTCTAATGTATGATTTGTAGGTACACAAGACAACCCTCAGAATAAGGGTGCAACAAGGGTTGTTGCACTTTTTCCTAGTATATGGTATTAACACTTTCAGAATATTGCAAATTAATAAAAGAAAAAATCAATGGTGATGATGTTTTGCTGCATAAGGTTTCATACTACTGATCAATTTAATCAATTCAAGATTTTACAACCGTATGAACAGCACTTGAAACTCCAAACAGCTTGATACCAAAACCTTCTGAAGCCAGAATTTTGGCTGGTTGCATATTTCCACACAGTGCGACTGAAGCTGAAAGTCCGACTGTCACTTTCAGAGAGAAAATTAGCTTCAAGAAATCAAAGAAAGATACTATTTAAAAAAAATGCCCAATGTTATCTCAGGAAGCTTGTTCAACTCCTCCAGAATTGTTCCTTCCCTTGATTATATTTCAGCCACACACATTGTATAATAATGTATGACACACTTTAGCGACTTAGCAGGGCCTGGCCATTATTTTGTCCCCTGAAATCATGTTCCCCTTTTGGCCTGCAGTTCATTGCCCTCGCATCCTTATCAGCCCGGAAAATATTCAAATGAATGAGCTGCGCTGCGGGCAGCAGAGTGAGGCTGAGGTGAGAAGACAGCTTTGAGTCCGGCAGAGTCCCAACGTGTTAGGAGGCCAAAAGGCTCCTGACCCCGTTACTGATGGACCCGCCTGGTCTCCAGGAAAACATTAATAGGCCCAAGTACTCCTTTTTTTTCCAGACCAGTACTCATTGATCACTGGGTTTGTTTCAAATCTAACAAAGGGATGAAGATTTGGCACATTTCTCCTCCAAGGGAAGCTTTCCCAGGAGTTCAGTCAGATAACACGGTGGATGTTTGTGGGCTTTGTTCCAAAACATGATTAAATGCAGCGACTGTGGAAGTGCCAAACATTACGAGATGCTCACTGACAAAGCGCTTGAACTCTGGCTCCTTCTCCAAAACAAATTAAAGCTACCCTCTGAAGTTTATGTAGCTCTGTGTACTATTTACGGCACAGAAAAGCCCTGTCAGCTGCCCTGATTACCGTTAGATGGACAAATCTGTTTGTCAGCTTCTGTGCTGTTTTATCTCTCTGGCTTACCTTTAAACTCAAGATCCATGACAAATCTCTTAATTTGAAGTGATATTTCTTTGGACTTTTGGACTTTGGACCACTGAGAAACAGCCTAGCTCTTTCTCTTCTTTGCCCAGGTGAGACTCTCATGAGGTTGTCTCTGGTTCAGGAGTGTCTTGTCAGTAAGAACATGACACTTGTAGTCCATTTCCTGGACATGTCTGTGTGTAGGGGATTTGATGCTTGGACTCCAGTCTCAAAATGAAATATTTTAGTTTTTGAAATACAGCTTTTTTTTTTTTCTTTTTCTTTTTTACTTTTTTTTTTAGCTTTAGCACATGAAAATAAAAATAAAACCAGAAAAACACTTGAAACGTGTGTAACAAGTGCAGATTATAGAATAATTTTTCACTTTCTTAAACAATCTGTAGCTTAAACCTTGAGTGTAGCTCAGTAAAACCAGAAGAAATATGATCTTTTATTTTAATTTTTGTGTAAATTTATCATCAAATGAGTAAGTAACAAAGAAAAATTAGCAATGTGTGGGTGTTATTGCGACATTTTTCTTGCTCCACGATAACAACCCACTCTCTGAACAGTATTACTCAATTAAAGCTCCTGTAGGGCTTTTTGAATTATTAATATAAAAAAGTAAACAAGACCCTGATTTATAAGATTAGTTTTGTTATATGTACATTTTAAGGCCTGAAACAAGTGCCATGGGGTGGGTGTCAGCAGAGCAGCTGAAGAGACAGCCCAGTTTTTACATAAAGGATCTGTGATGAATGACCCAGCCACCAGATGCGAATTTTTGTCGACATTTAACGCATATATAGAGGACAAGATAAGCAAAGACTGTCAGGGAGTGCTAAAATTAGCAGATCAAAAGTTTCTCACTGGAGCTTTGCAGAAGTAGCTAATGATCCCTTCTTGGATGTCTCTTCTCTATTTGGCAGTGGGACTGGTCAGGAATGGAGGTCTGGACCAGCAGCTCCAAAAAGTTGGTCACTGGTGCCAATCACTTCAGTGACCTCCTGCAGCTTTCTTGCAGTACTTTCAAGATCCAGTGGTGGACCTTCCAATGCAACACACCAGTCTGAAACTCCTCTCGGTTCTGCTTCTAAAAGTAAACTGAGGTCTGCACCGGGGTTTCAAAATAAAGGCCTAAAAGCATAAAAGGAAGATAGTGTTAAAGCTTAAAGGAAGATTTGTTCAGTGACTGAATTATCAGCTAGTCTGACATGACTTTTAAACATGCTGTGTGTTCTTAAATCTTGTTGATGCAGGTGTGTTAAGTCTTTTGTTTAGGTTACACAGCATAGCTGCTCCTCTCGCACCACCATCTGGACAAACTTTACAGTTTTCTCACATTAGCGGAGGAGTTGTGAGAATACTGGATTTTTCCCTTGTTGACGTAATGCTCTCTGCTGCGTGATGGGCTTTTCTGCCTCGAGGACTCCAACAGAATTTGTTGTTTTATTGTTTGTTGACAAAATGAGTCTCATTGAGTCTCTATCACTGCTGATATCTCCCCAAAATATGCATCCAGGCACCCAAATAACCACAGACTTTATTCATCCTGAAACCTGTTTAAGTGCCTCGTCTGAAGAATTTCATTTCCTTTCCAAAAGAGGATAATCCCTCCACTGTTTTTGTTCACTGGCTTTTGGAAGAGATTTTCAACAAACAATCAAAGAAGTACTTTGCCCTCAGAGCTTAGCAGGGCTTCTGCTCCCCAAGCATTGGATGTGCTCAATGGCCCTAAGCCTCTAAAAAAGGTCCTCTTGCATTTTAAAGTTCAGAGCTGCGTCGTTTGTATTAGTGTTGACTTCACATGCTTGTTACAAAACAAATGGGGTAGAGCCTTTGTAATCTGTGCCCAAAATCCCTGGAAAATGAACAAGATCTGTGCTGCCGTCCCTCAGCTTTCTGGGTCATTCTGATGCAGGAGCTTCACACTACCGGGGTCGCCATGTTCTGCTGCAGGAACAGATTTATTCAAAACCTCTGGGCCTGAGCAAGTGACCTGACAAGTGAGGGTCAGAGGATGAAAAAGGCAGGTTACGCTCTGTGTTTACAAGTATTTACTATTTTAACTGTGCATGGGACACGGGGTGATGAATGGATGGATGGAAATGGCTCAGGTTAAGTCCAGGTTTGGTCTTGATTTACAGCGATCTGCTGATACAAGCTCAGTGTCTGACAAGGGGAATCAGAGCTCAGAGACTAGAGGATTCAGTTGGCCTTATCACTAAAATTGGAAATGAAATTCATAAATGGGCAGCTCTCTGAGCATTTGCCCTTTCGTGCTCTCACTGCGATAAGAAGTGTTAGTAGTCAAGATGTAAAAAAAATCGGGGGTGGTGGTGGATTTTATCGTTTGGGACAGATGTTTTGTGGGAAATCAACTGTTTACCCATTTTTTGTTATCTAAGCACAATGATAATTATTATATTACCTTATCCCTCAGATTGAGCTGTCCGTGTTGCTTGGCCATGATACTGAAATAACAACAGCATCACCAGCGCTGCTCAGTGATGTCTTTTTAAACAAACAAACAAACAAAAAGAAAAGATGTCATTTTCACATGTGCCACCTCACCCAGAGTATTTTACTAAATATGCGCAAAGCCCCCTGTTGTGGGGTTATCACGCAAACAATCACAATATAGCGGAAAAACACAGGAGCAGCGGAAAACCTGGTGATGGTGATAGGATTTGTTTACAGCCGGTCTTCCAAGGTGTAGTGCAAAAATATTTACAAAAGTGCAAAAAAATGGTAAAATACTATTTACAAAATGTACAAGGCCAAAAATAAAAGGCAGGAGCTCCAGTACAACTCAAGATTCTCACTTAAGAGAAAAAAAAAAACAGAAACACAGCAGCACCACAAAAAGTCAGTTTGGCAGTCACCTTCCATACAAAAATACTCTAGTCTAAAAGAAAGACAGGCCCAGCCCTAGTGGGCATTATCAATAAAGTAAGTTTGAAAAAATAATAA